CCCCTCCGTCTAGAGCTTAGTAGATGATGCGTAGTTGCATCTTGAGAGACCAGATATTCCCATCCTTAAAACGCCATGTAGAGTTACAGAACCTAATCGCAAATCAATCCTTGCTTTCCTTTGCCTCCTTGTCTTCCTTGTCTTCCTTGTCCTTCTCTTCCGCTTGCTCGGCGCTTTCGCTATTACCCATCTCCACATCCTCATCTTGGGCAGCTGGCTTGGAGGACGCCGGCTCATCCTCCTTCTTCAATTCGGGAGCGGCGTCATCCTTCTCCTTCTCCTCATCCTCTTTATCCTCCTTGTCCTCCTTGTCCTCCTTATCCTCCTTCTCTCTCCGCTTCTCCAACTCCTCGAACTGGGTCTTGTACTCGTCCTTCTTCTCATCGGACAGCTCCTTCCATCGGCGCTCCAGCTCCTCGTCGACATTGGCATCTTCCTTGTCCTTGCTCTGCTCCTCTACTGCCGCCCGCTCCTCGGAGCAGAACAGCTCGAACGCATCGCCCGGCTTGGCGGACTTCTTCGCGCCATTCGTGGTACCTTTCTTACCAGCGTCGCCTTGCTCCGACGGCGCGGGTGATCCAGATCCGGCTCGCTGGGTGAAGGAGGCCGAGGGGGTGTCTTTGCCGTCTGCGTCGGTCTTGCGGTGGCCGCGCTTGATCCGCAAGGGCTTGTCCTTAGGCTTGCGGACGTTAGCGTCGGCTTCATGGATGCCGGCAGAGAAGTGCTCCTATTGGCACACAAGTATCAACACTGAAATGAAAGTAGGTTATAGAAAGAAATCGGAAGCTGGAAGCTTCCAATTCTTTGACGTGCACGCTTGACGGTTCATTTGGGGGGGAGTGTAGTGTGGACGGGGGAAGCAAGAAGCAGATGAAGCGAACGCGGAGGAGAAACAGCAGACATGCCATGATGTGCTACGGCTAGGAGAGCGGACGTTGGAGGAATTGGTTATTGAGCAACAGAGCGTGTTATATCATACCGTGGGTGGAGGGCTTGGGCTTCCCTCAGAGTCCTCGACGTTGGTGCTCGTGCGCTTAGCAAGTTGTTCCAGGAGGAAGGCCCTTTCGATCCTCAACTTCTCGACTTGGCGCTTAATTCGGGCGAGACGAAGTCTGGCGGCGTCGTTGGCCTCTTCGACCTCGTTGGTGCGATTCTTTAGCTGGATGCATTTGCGACGGTAGGCCTCCTCGACGGATGGAGGCAGCGACGGCGGGACGGCTGATGCGGTTGGAGCAGAGTCAACTTCTGTATGCTTGCGCTTGGGTGGCATCGCGACCAGGCGAGACGGGACGAGACGGGAGGCTTTGGGGAGGAGGGAGAAGGGAGATGGACGGAGGATGGTCTCGATGGTTGTCGGGATGGGGAGTGATGAGGAAAAAGTGGGAAGATGGCTGGCCGAGAATCGAGCTCTGTTTGCCTTGTCTGCATGCGCAGGCCGTACTGGACCGAAGGGCAGCGCGCCGTTGGTAGGTAATTTGCCTTGACAGACAGTGCTGAACTCAACTGGGTGGTGCGGTTGCAGGAGAGTCGAACAGGGTTCAGGCAAACAATGGGGACCGCGGACCTGGTGTAAGGGAGGAAAACTTACATTGGGGAGCCATGATGCTATCAAACGCCAATTTCAGGGACGCGCAGTGCAGCGCCGTGCGGATAGCCCAGGGAAGGACTGATTGTCTTGCGAGAACTCGACTCCCAGCAAGAACGTGCCAACGTGCAGCAACTCCCAATTGCGAGACTCGATCGCGCTCGGAAGGCGGTGGGCGAGTTTATAGGCTCCTGCAGCTCCTCTGGCAGTCCCCAGACGCCTTTCTCGGCCGGGTGGGTCACCACGCTCCTGCGCCAGGGACGTGCATCTGTCGAATTGTGCATTTGGGATTAGTGCTGTGTTATGCACGTTGTGCAGAATTGTGAACACCCAAACTCCTCCATCGTTACCGTTGATGTGAGAAATGAGTAGCAAGTTGACTTCCATACAGATAACTAGAGAGCTACAAATAGTTAAAAAAAGCATAGGCTTCCATCACAGAAAACTCAACTGCGAGAAGACAAATTATTCCAGACTTGGCCATTTCGCTTCAGAGCAAAAGATCTCTAGCAGTCTATCAAAAAGCTGCTTTTGCATATTTCCCAGCTCCAAGCACGCAGAATGACAAAGCAAGCGGTGGAAGGCCACTATCAAGAGATGATGAGTCCAGCGCTGTTGCCTCCAAACTCCACCGCCCACGTCCAGGGGCAACAGCAAAGGTGGAAGCTTCCCGCAGCTGGAACGGATTAACTGCACCCGGAGGGGTCCGCAGCCTGCCTGATTGGCTAGCGGGGCACTTCAGCAGCACAAACATCCCCCAACACTGTAGATTTTCTGAGGGCGGCGGTATCCATACAATTATATTTGGAGGCGACGCTTGACTTGTCCTCGAGGAGAGTCGTTCAGCTTTCCCGGACTTTTCTCTCCCTTCTTTGGGCCATCGCTAGAAGGACTCTCAAGTCAACATGTCTCTCAATATTCCCGGCGCTCCCAACGCCAACCTGTTCAAGCAGGGCTACAACAAGTAGGTCCATTCTCCTTAAGCTATCTGTATTCCATCCCCTTCCTTGCTTCACCCCACCAAACGAAAAAGAGGAAAAGGGAAACCACCAACATCCGCCTCGGCGCTGCACTGCCGCCATTACGTCCGAAGACAATCCATATGTTCGATGACATGTCGGTATCGGTTCAATGCTGACATTCAACTGGCAGCTATGACGCTGAAGATGGCGCTGTTCTGCGCAACATCGATGCCTGCCGGGCAATCTCCTCCACCGTCCAGACCTCGTTGGGTCCCTACGGCCGAAACAAGGTCATCATCAACCACCTCCAGAAGATGATCCTTACCTCCGATGCCGCGACTATTCTCCGAGAGCTCGATGTAGTACACCCCGCCGCCAAGCTCCTCGTCATGGCCAGCCAGCAGCAGGAGGCCGAGATGGGCGACGCCACCAACCTCGTCATCATCCTGGCTGGTGAGCTGCTCAAGAAGGCCGAGGATCTCTTGCGAATGGGCCTCAAGGCCTCTGACATTGTTATTGGTTACGAAAAGGCACAAAAGTTTGCTCTCGAGACCCTGGAGGAGCTGGAGGTGGACAAGGTCGAGAATATGCGTGACCAGGAGGAACTTAGCAAGGCGATCCGCACTGTCATTGCCAGCAAACAGAACGGCAACGAGGACTTCCTGGCCGAGCTAGTCTCTGAGGCTGTTCTCTCTGTCTTGCCAAACAATCCAGCAAACTTCAATGTCGACAACATCCGCGTGGTCAAGATCATGGGTGGTAGCTTGGACCAGAGCAGGGTTGTCAAGGGCATGGTTTTCCCCAAGGAGCCCGATGGAAGTGTCAAGAAGGCCACCAAGGCCAAAGTCGGTGTGTACACCTGCCCCATCGACGTCAGCCAGACCGAAACCAAGGGAACTGTTCTCCTTCACAATGCCAAGGAGATGGTTGATTTCACCCAGGGCGAGGAGTCTCAATTGGAGACTTCTATCAAGGAGCTCTACGATTCCGGTCTTCGCGTCGTCGTCGTCGGTGATCGAGTTGGTGACCTGGCCATGCACTATCTGAACCGATTTGGCATCCTATGCATCAGGATTCTCAGCAAGTTCGAGCTGCGCAGAGTCTGCCGTGTCGTCGGTGCTACCCCTCTAGCACGTCTGGGTGCCCCTATGCCTGACGAGATGGGCAATATCGATGTTGTTGAGACTTTGGAAATTGGTGGTGACCGGGTTACTGTGTTCAGGCAGGAGGATGAGGTCACTCGCACAGCTACTCTGGTTCTTCGAGGAGCCACACAGAACCATCTCGATGACGTCGAGCGTGCTGTTGATGATGGTGTCAATGTTGTCAAGGCTATCTCCAGGGACCCCAGGCTCGTGCCCGGCGCGGGTGCTACAGAGACTCAGTTGGTGGAGAGGATACAGGCATTTGGAGAGAAGACCCCTGGTCTCAGCCAATATGCTATCAAGAAGTATGCTGAGGCTTTTGAAGTTGTCCCGCGCACTCTGGCAGAAAGCTGCGGCCTAGACGCTACCGAGGTTCTCAGCAGGCTCTACGCTGCTCACCACAACAGCGAAGAGTGGGATACTGGTGTTGATGTTGACGTATGTATTTCTTCTTTATCCAGCATTCTGGGCTCTCCGATCCTATACTAACCAAGATGATTATCATAGAACGAGGAAGATACAGGTATCCTGGACACCAAGGACGAGGGCATCCTCGATCTTCTCGTATCCAAACACTGGGCCATCAAGCTCGCCACCGAGGCAGCAAGAACAGTTCTGGCCGTGGACCAAATCATCGTCGCCAAGCAAGCCGGAGGACCCAAGCCACCCGGCCCCAACCCCGTAAGTCTATACCCATCACCCTGATCGTCAACTCCGAATACCCGTTGTCTTCAACTCCATAAAAGTCTTTCCTGAGCTAACAGCTATCTTTAGAACTGGGATGAGGATTAAATCTAGAATAGACAATACAATGATGATGCCCAACGCCCCGAACCGATGTGAGAAAAGATGAAAGGCACCTGGCGTCAAAAGGGATGAAACGCAAAATGCTTATACTTCTATCATGTAATGCACCCAGGTGTAAAAACGGTGTTTATCTATCTATCCCCCTAGGTCGAAAATTACCTAGAAAGTACACCCAGGCAAGATGGTCAATATCTTGATTATATCGCAGCCTGGGAATAATCTAACGAGCCAGGAAACAAAAATAGACTGCATTATGATGAAATTTGAGGATTATGTGAAGACAATGTATTGAGGAGCGTTAGACAAGGTGCCCTCGCAACGCCTACGATGACCGGAACGTGAACCATGTAGACCCCTTAAATTTCAGTTCCGGGATCATCACGACTTGGACTTGCGAGCAATCGGGCCAGCGCATGAGGTACTAAACTTGATGTTCGTGCTTTCTTCTTTAAACATTGCATACATTTATATCCCCTGTAGCAACATCTCATTGCGGCATTCCGTCTTCAGATGCCCATGTCCTCGCAAATGTAAAAATTGTACAAGCTTTCTCCCAATGCCTCGATATTCAAAGGCGAATATGTCCTCCAGCCTTTCAAGCCACCATATGCGTAAGAGCATCATAATCGCATACTTGAAGGGGCAATGACTCCCATCTCCATAAATCATAGCAAAAAAAGAAAATGATAGGTTAAAGGAATTGATCAGATATCAAAAAGAAAGAGAATATCGAAGAAATGAATTCCAACGACGTAAATAGGAATGTAAAACCTTGAGGCTGCACACGCTATATGAAATAAAATAGCAGTGGCGGGTATGAGAAAAGAGAGAAAATGATGATCAACAAGTAACCCAAGAGGTATCATTTCATGTCTCGCACTCCGGCCAAAGACGAAAGAGCATGTATCACGCGTCGACGGCAAAAGAGCATTCAGCATAGTGAAGGGACGAATAATGGACGACAAAAAAGAAAAGCTGAAAAGCATCTCCCAAAACACCGATTTTCAAGACGCCATTGTCAAATCGCTTGAAGAAATAATAGAGCTGATGGAAGTTGCTCATGCTTCTTCCACAATGCCACCTTCTCCACCACCCTCGTCACGCCATTCGCGGCTCTTCTCGGTAAGCTTCTTCACTCCACCGACGCGGCCGGCCCATAAGCTCTCAATAGGTGTTCTAAAGGTGAATCCACGTTGTGAGCTAATGACACCAATAGCTTGGAGAACTGCCTTTCGGCTGTCGCGGCCAAAGACCGCTGGGTGGTTGATCCATTCAAGGCTGCTCTCGAGTTCGTGATCCAGGGCTGCTACAGTGGTAGCGTCAATTCCGGTGCCAAGGCTCAGACCTTCCTGAGACCGTGTTGCAGGGAATGGTGTATTCGAGTACCCATTGTTATTCCCGGATGAGGTTGCTGAGGTAGGCGGCGAGGGGCTTCGTTTACGATCCGGCGTGTTGGACGGATTAGATGATGAATCATTGCCTGGAAGTGGTGTTGGGGGCCCGGCCTTGCTTGCCATCGGTGGCACGGGGGGAAGGCCACCCTTGCCAAGGCCTTTAAGAATTGAGCGTGTCTCGTTGAGGAGAGTATGCGCTCTCTCATGCTGACCTCGACTGACCAAAGTCAAGGCTCTCGTCAACATATCAGAGGTAAGCAATTCCATGCGCCTCTGCACAATGTGTGGGTGAGGCGGAATAGGGGGGCTTCCCTGCCATGACTTCTTCTGGCCACTCCCGGCTGGCAACATTGTGATTGCCAATAGCGACGGTCTAGGCATTTGCATAGTTGTGCCATCTCTAAGAATGTCGCCCCATGAAACGTCGGCCTGGATAAGAGGAACCTCTTCAACTGAGACTGCTCGCTCAGCATCATTGTCCATTGAACCACCCAGAGCCTCCAGGCCAGATACAATACTGTCCCAGGAATCCTGGGGGAGCTGGTCCTGGTTAATATTATCAGGTAACACGACGAGCTGAACAAGAATATCACGCTTATCACCAAAACGAAGATCTCCTAGTGCAGCTTCGGCATCACGACCGGTGGCGCGCTTGGTAATCTGCAGAGCGCCACTAATCTTGTGAAACTTAGCTGGTGAGCCTTCTGGCAACTTCAGCTTGAGCTTCACATTCTGGTGAGAGAGGGTCTGCATTGAGCCAAGACAGCCTGCCAAGCACTCGCGAAGCATCATCCAGTCCTTGACATAGGTATACGAGGCCTTGGTCCTAGTGGAGAGCTCAATCATTGTATCTGGCTTATGAGCGGTTCCTAAACCAAAGGAGTGAATGGTGATCCTGTCCGAATGTTAATACACCGAAACAGATTCGAAACAAAATAAGATACGGGATACTCACTTGGCTGCTTCTGCTCGAGAAACGACAAAGTCGACACTGTCGGCATCAGATGTTGATGCATCGCTGATAAGCAGAATAGAAGCAATCGGGTTGTTGTGCTTGCGTTGCATCAACAGATCCATAGCAACGTTGGCGCCCTCAACAACATCTGCCCGATGGCTCTTCTGGCCAACAGGCTTGATGGAAGTTAGGATGTTGCCCCATCCAGGCCATGCTTTCGTCGTCATACCAACTACGGGCACACCTCCACCTCCAGATCCAAAGGTAACCAGACCCATGCGATCTCTCTCCCCTAGGGTGTTGACCATGAACTTTAGTGCGTCTCGGACAAGGTTGATCTTGACGCCTTGCATAGATGATGAGATTGGAACAACAACCACAACATCAATAGGCACGTGGATGGTACTAGCAAGGGTGGCGTTGCGAGGGAAGTTGCTCGTGTACTCTGTTGCGGCGGTCGTGACTGATTTGCCAGCACCCCAAGATGATGCAACGGACGAGACCCTTTGAGGGCGAGATGATCGTTGCCAGTCGGCCTCCTCCTCCTCAGACATCTCGCGCTCATAATCTGGGCTGCGCATGGGCGGGGCCTCGATTGCATTGAGATCTAACAGAGCCTGCTGCCAGAGCTTGAGTTGATTTCGGTTATCAAAGCGCAGATGGAACTGCGGCAACTCAGTAACGGACAGGCTCAAAGTCAAGACGTTTTCGTCGATAGATCCTGTTTCAGAAACATCGTTGAGGTGCTTCTTGATCAAGATAGAACCCTTGAGTGTGCAGCGGGGCTTGCGGGGGGTTCCATCCTCTTCCCACTGTTGTTGTGACTTCTTTTCCTTGACGCAAATAAGCATCTCAGCAAAGAGGAAGCATTCGAGCTCCTGCCAGTTTACCCTATCCTTGCCCACCCGAAGTGTTCCATAGAGTCTTAATTTGCCAAACCTGCTGAAATCCAAGCCGTGCCAGTTATCTACCCGATTGCGTAGGCTCTCTGTCATCTCTTCGAGCACCTCAGCCGATTCGTATGGGAAGAACTTGGGTGCGCTTCTGGCAGGCGAGGGGGGGCGGGCCGCAACATCGTCGATACGTGGATTAGGATGAGGCATTGACTGTGCGACAGCGACGCCAAGATCCTCTGGGTCGGGTCGCCATTTGTTGTCCGGAACCTCAATGGTGACAAGGCATGTGAGGGTCTGCTGCTGTCGGGAACGGTTGAGAGTCGGGAACTCGGAGCGAACTGTCACGGTAGGCGCAGGAATAGGGTTGCGGGTGATGGACCGTGGGCTACCGGGAGTCGTCTCCATTGCCTGAACATCATAATCATGCCGTCGAGCTGGACCACTCTGTGGTGTCTCTGGATAGGTCATACCAGTTTGACCTGTAGCCTCGCTGTCAGTCCGGGCATGTCGTGGGTTGTACCGATCAGATGTGGATGAGGCGTCTCGGCTGTCTCGACTGTCACGCAGGCTGCCGCCCCGACCACTCTCTCTTCCGCTGCCAGACTGCGATAAGTGGTGTTGTTTCTTTGGGCCGCTCTCTAAGCTAGGCGGTCTGAGAGTCTGAGCATCCCAGGTAGGAGTAGGACTGTGAAGAGAGCGCGAGTCGCCCGCTGATCGGACCATGTTGCTAATTTTCTCTGTTCGCATGGTTAGTGTGAGTCGGATAGGAGCATAACGTTGGAAGATTCGTACCAATATCGATAACATTGCCTCCTCTGCTCGTGTCCAAGTGCAGTGGTGCCTCGCATGTTGGGCAGTACTGTGACTCAAATTCGCGAATGAATTCATAAAAACAAGCCTCATGGGAAACATGAGAACAAGAAAATTGCAAAATGCGTTCACCTCGCAGGGTGTGCTCTAACGGCTCCTCGCAAACAGCACACTCGCTTCCCACAAACGTCCTCTCCCGACGCGAGCGGGATCTATCTGCCGAGCTCGCCATGACGTTGTTATCTATACCACCAACCCGTCGCGAAACGTTGCTCACAGTTGAGCGGACGGAACTCGCCGATGAATGCGACCGATTCTGTCGAGTGCTTTGTGAATGTGTTGAGTATGAATATCCTATGATTCTGCTGGTTAGTCGCGTTACATACGGCGGCTACAAACTTTGTGCGACGCTCGACTGATTCACCTCAATGACCCAAGGTAGGACAAAGAGGAAGTATCAGAAGATATCCAATACAAAAGGAAAATCAAAACGAACAAGAGCGGGGAAGCGTACCCTTTTCAGATGTTGAAGAGGAAGGAATCAACCTGGACTGAGAGTCGGCTCCCGAACGAAGGGAGCCCAGCCTCACAGGAGAGAAACCGGCAAAGCCAGGTTCGGAAAACCCCGAGGAGTCGTAATTGTTGTGACGCTGATTACCAGAGGAGTTAAACCCTGAGTTGTTTTGGCCGTGATTCTTGTGAAAGCGACTAAACATTGAGACGCGGTCGTCAAATTAGCAGGGGGCGCAAGGAAAGTTTGTGTCGGTCGGTGAACAAATAAGGGTATCAGGTCGTAGATGTAGATTTTGGCCAATTGCGGTAGCAGGACTAGAAGAAATGGTCGCCGGGTGCCAGGTTGGAAATGCAGGACGGTGGAAGTCGTTTTGGTAAGGTAAGACCGGCTAGGACGAATGGACCTCTAACAGCTATTTCAGATGCGGCGTACTATCGCGAATGATAGGCATAGACTGTGCATGATCGAGGTGTAGAAGGAAAGGATGAAATGATTGACCGAAAAGAAGACCGAGTTGGGATCTGTCAAAACCAAATGTGCCTTGTCATATGCGAACCGCTCGTCATAAGGTGATCAAATGGAGGCGTTCGCTTGCGAAAGGTGACCAGCCGTTACAGGACCCGCGCCACCAAACTTCCTCGTGGTACAGGCGGCAGGTCGCTTCAGTGCGTGGCTGCGTGGATGGGCTTGGGAACGGTTCGATTCAACACAGATCTGTCTGGAAGGGCGCGTAAGCAGTCGTGAGCATTGGCAGACAAGTTAGGCGGAAAGCGAAAGAGGAGGCACTGGAGATAGGCGGGACAAGGTGTGGAGGAGAGAGAAAGAAGCGGACCCAAAGGGCGAAAGGCGATAAATTGGGTGCAGGCCAGATGAGGGCGCGCGGGAAAATCGATACCTGCACAACGCCAGCAAGGGCTTAATGCAGAAGGCAGGGAAAATGCCAGGCCAGGATGGGGAGGGGGATGAAGAGGGAAGAAAGGACCACCTCACCTAGGCAAAAAGACAGGCCAGGGCTGTTGCTGGACAGCACTGACTGCTGGGAACCTTGGGTTTCTTGGTTGTGGAAATCAGATGCAGGAACCAGGCGCTGATAAAGGGGGTCGCTCAAGAGGAGCTTAACCCAGGGAAAAAGGAGCCCCTTCGGGAGGAGTCTTCAGACAAGTGGAAGGTTGGGGGGTCTCCCTGATCCTTGACACAGAAAGAGGGCCCCAGTTAGGTCTGGGGCGACTTGTAATTACAAGCGTACAGTAGCGTGCTGGCTGAGGTGTGCGCGGGTACGTAGATTGGCCTAGCGGTACTAGCAGTCCTGGCAGGTACCTCCCCCATGCTGCGCTGGCCCCAATACACACTGTACGTGGTCCTGGTCAGGCGTCCAGGTGCATCGGTCAATCAATCCCTCAATTCTACTTACCTACCCACCCGGTAGAGCTTGGACAATGGAGGCTCTCGGCAATGGCGGTCGCGGCAGGCAGGTTAGGCTTCTGGCATGGATCAATCCAAGAACCACCAGCAGAGACCACTTCGGTCAGGCTCTTCACCGTGGCCGAGCCAGCAACCAACTGCCTCGAACCAGGTTGGTCCTCGCACGCGAGCCAGTCATCTCCGACACGCACGTTGCAGAGACGAGGCAGCTCTACTGTGCTTGTTCGTACTTCAAGGATATCTGGAGACAAGCATGCGAGTACGTACGGGGGGCCAGGCCAACCTGCATGCTGCTGGCTGGCTGGTCGTAGGGAATAGGTTAAAACAGTGTGGTGGTGTTCAACGTTAGACTCGTGGCATTGGAGATCTCCAGGCGCCCACCCCCGCCCACAACAGGCGACTAGGAGAAATAAGGACTGGCGAAATTATACGAGATCCATCATGGCTTGCGTACCACCACCATGGGCCTGGCTTGACCTTGCCTTGCTGCACCCGGCTGTATGGACGCTCTCTAATTATGCAGTGGGAGCTCACAGCGGGACAAAGGCTCCCACCTAAACACAAACGTATGAGATTGAAAATTCATTCGGATGGAAGCCCTCATGCCTCAACTCCCGTATAAGCCATGACGCTACGCTGCGCCTTGTTACGTTTTGAGGCCTCACGTCGGTGGGATGCCATGTTTCGAATAACCCCGCGTGTTGAAATCAGAGCAGAGAGAATAGGATAATACAGACCACACCAAGATGTAGGCAGCATCCACCCACCATCGCATGTGCCGTACATGCTCGTTCTCGTCCAGACTGGAGACTTGTCCATGCCGCGCCCCTACATAGGTTAATGCTTGTTTGGAGGTGGTGGGCGAGCAGGACGGGTATGCAGATGCTCATGGAGCATTGCTATAATCGGCGACCTGGGCTGTCAATTGTGCCCTCGGTGCCAGACATAGTAGCACTCGGAGTCAGCCTATGAAACGAAAAGGGGACAACTGTTTCAGGGGTGATGTATCAGAAGACAATTCAGTTGACAGGCAGAGCACATCCAGGGCGCGCACTCATCTCTGGGCGGTAGTCACAACTAAAATAAATTAGCAGGCAATGGCTCCCAGTTTATTAGGTGAATGTCATTGCTCAGGTCATAAGGGAGAATGGAACCAATAGTAAGGATACGGTGGTGGTGAGAGTGGTGGTGATGTGATGGATGTAACTCGGTCCCAGACAGGCAGATCCCACGTCCCGACAGCGAGACTGGCACTGGGCAATTAGCACTGTGCTTCAAGGTCACCACTTTGGTACCTGGCGGGTGGAACCTGACACCGGCCCGTGGAAGGTTCGAAAAATCTATGAGAAGACCTACCGAACAGGCAGGTACCAGTCCAGGGGGGTGGTGGGGCTGCCCTGGGTCGTCGACTAATAAATCTAGCCTACCCAAGCTCTAACAAAGCATCCAGCTCAGATTCATTTGCGCCTGTCATTGGATAGCAACGTGAAGAAAGCCAGCTAAAATATAACATCATCGGGTATACACCGAAGGACATTGGCCAGCCCAGGCCTCTTTTTATTGTCCGGACCTTATCACGCGGTTTGATGGTGACTGTTCTGGGGCTCCCTTGCTGCCCGCTAGTTCCCAACGTTGGCCCGGGCTGAGAAGCCAGTCCTACGGGGCGGCGGGGGGGGAGCCCAGCGACCTAACATTGGCTAATCCCAGCACGTTAGTAGGCCTACCCTGCCAGCAGATGTCCATCCATGCGTGGTTACTAGCGGATTGTGTGAAGTGGGCACTAGCAAAGAGCCACGCTCAGCCGGCGACAGGACGATGCGGCCAGGGCCATCAGGCCTGGTTCCCCGCCAGGCTAAAGCGTTTGACCTAGACAGCAGATTCCTTGCTAAACTTCCACATCCAAGCTCTCGGGCTATTTGACACAGGAATCTCCATTCTTTATTCTTCGCGGGCTAACTTGGCCAGCCCAAACACCAAGGGCCGGGTCTGCAATGCTGCTGATTGTCTCCGCGTTCTGGTGGGATTGACGAGGGCGCCAAGGTTGGTCCTGCCTGACCTTCGAGTTTCCTTCATGCAGGGCGGCTCATGTTCCTGGTTGGCACGAGGCCTAAGGGCCGTGCGGTCCCTCGTGGTGGTGCTGGCGTAAGACATGCACATGTCAGTGCTCAATAGGCGTAAGCCACGGGATATCTCTGCCAGGTTGGATCTCTATCTGCAGTAATATGCTCCATTCAGAGGTGCGAGCTTATTGCTCATACGTAGCAAGTGTCGCTGTCGCAGACACCAGATAAGATTGCCTCGCCACCTCTACCACACCAGACTTGGCCTACATTGGCCGTCGATACCAAGGTACCTAGGTGACATCGTCTCATGTAATATATGCCCCCAAGGCGTATTCTCGACACGGCAGAAGAAACATCACGCTAGATATCGGTCGAGTGCTTTTTTGTCTCGTTTCTTTTTTGAATAATACCGCCGGTCGCCTCAAATTATCTCAATGCAACTAGTGCCACTAGGATACCTAGTTATACATAAGATACCGCATAGAGCAGACCGATTTATACTGTCCATGTCGAAACCCTCACTGGCTCTCACCGATAAGATCGATCTGAATAAGGTCTCGTTGGCCAAATGCATCAGACGTCATATGTTCCTCCTTTCAGAGCGAGCGGCTTGGGCTTCCACACTGAAGAGGGGCGCTAATCGATAAAATCCGGTCAACAGCAGTGGAGGGTGGCAGTGCTCTGCCCTATCATGTCTCAGAGGTGCGTCCGAAATGATACTCTGGCGCGGCATAACGAATCCTACCTCTCGAATGTAACGCTACGTTGACAGCATGCAGGCAGAGAGCGTACATTGGCGCCCATGCAACTCGAGGATGAATCTTGCGAACCAGACAGGCTCACTTGAAGAATCCACACCACCTTCGTGTTCATATGTATCACTGCCGGCCACATATTGATCAGCACCGCTACGAAAGCAGTCCCGAGACACGAGAGGTCGACTCTATCGGGGTGAGTCAGCCTCTCTCACCCCAAATTGGGAGAGGTTGCCGCAACGAATCAGCATACAGCGAACACATCATATGTCTCGGCATCCTAGCAAGCGGCGAGCTGAGATTGAGATCGCGACGGTGGTTGATAAGCCCGCTGTATGCGGCGGGCGGCGCCTATGTAGTCCAGTGGAAGAAGGTGTACAGATGGCCGCGGTAGTGCATGCCCCGCTTGAAATTCCTACACGGGAAAACGAGAATCCTGGTAGGACTGGAGTCATGTCATCCGTCAATGATGCGAGACACCCTGGCAGCAATCCCAGCTGAAGCCCTGAAGTGTTGTGCGGTGTGTTGCCGCCGCTGCGACGTGCGCACTAAGCGCCTGGAGGGAGGCAGGTGCACAGCCAACACCAAAACTAGACGCGGTTCTGGTGCATCGGATGACTGGCCCTGGCCATGTCTCAGCTGAATTTGGCGGTTATTATGCATGAGCAATGTCACTGGGCGAATTCCTCCGAATTCGCCTCAACGAACCATGAGCTTCGCAGTCTGTTGCAAACTGCTACTCTGCAACTTCGCTGAGGTGCACAGCCCAGTTGTCTCTCGGGGGCAGCTTCCGCCCAAGCAGATTGTGGTCTCTTCCTTCCCTTTGAGCAACTGATGGATGTTCTTGCCACCACTCAGGCGACCCTGCCCAGTATTGCGGCCATACATACCTACGGTACCTAGGTAGGTACGATGTACTCTGATTTTATGATAATACATCCACTGTAGGCCAAACCAAACACTCTCTCAAGTACCAATCTAGCGCCAGAGCCGCAGTACGAAGTACTGCAATTATTAAGGGCCTAATCACCTTATAGGTGAGTGCAAATATCATCCAGGCCCCCAGCAGGGCCTGCTTGGCCGGTTCAAGTTAACTGTCCAGCACCCATGCCTGGCCTGGTTACTGATAATTTGCAATAATTGATCGCTCCCGAAATGCATCCGGTGTTTCTTTGCATCTACAGCACCTAACACGAGATCTGCTGACCCATCGGCCCGCGAAGCAAAGGAATCGAAGGATTATTCTTATGTGCCAGCATTCCTTCGACTTCCACTTCCACTTCGCTGTTATCCGCTGACGGCCACTTGCACAAGGCCATGCCCCCGAGGTTTGGGCGCTGGCAGGGCATCTTCACTACGGGAGCGGCTCGCTTCCCGGCAGCCAAGAGGCCGACATGGGGATGCAGGTTGCGCTTTTCGTGTACCTTGCCTCTTGAGGCAGCCAGGATGGGGACAGCACTACAGGCGTACCTTGCTACTGCTGCTGCTGGTACACCCATTGTGTGTATGGCACGTTGTAGCCTCAAGCCTCTGCCGATGACCTCTTGCTCAATCAGGATGAGATCTTCTATTTCTCGTCAATTGAAACCCCGAAAACAGGTGACCCTATCCTTGCCTACCTGCCGTCTCCTTGAGCCCAGACGAACTGGCTGGCACAGCCATGAATGCATCAGCACCCTCCTGTTCCTCAGAGGCCGAACTGCTCTGCGGACAACTCACTCAGAGCTACGTCTAGCCTCGAGCCGTTCTGTCACACCCACTGTCCATTCCAACTCCGTCCTGGCAAGGGGCCAAATCACCCTGGGACCGTTGCATTGGGTCTACCGCTAGCAGGTCCCCACCCACTGGTTCAAGCAAGACACCAAAGGCCCCGGGGAGCTTTTGCTCTGGTGTGGAGGAGAGCCTAAACGAGAGCTACCCATGCCCTGCTGTTCACGTCCATCGATATGGGCAACCGAGGCGAGCGGACCGTACATAATGGCTTTGCCCTCAGTCTCATTAATCGCGCCAGCGACTCAATTTGGCTGCGCACGTTCTTTTGGGACTCCGAGGAGTTACAACGTGCCACTCGGAACAAAACATACCATTACCCTGAGATATACAGTATGGTCTGCCTCTTCCTCCTCCCCTCTCCCTCTACCCTACCCAAGTCAGAATCATGCAAGAGGGCGGGGGCTGGGGAGCTCAGACCAGCACCTCTTGAGAATCTACTTCAGCAATGGACGGTCAATGCAATTGAATAGTCCAGATATACGGTTCCCGCTGTGAAGAACGAAAAGAAACCATTCCCCACGGCGTAAAAAACTCTGCATATGAAATTCAGATGGTGTTCTGGCCCGCTTTCGCAGGTGAAGCCCGCGCATTAACACCGACATGCCAATAAATTGTTGTATGGTAGGAGCTTGCCTGTGCATGCATATATGCATCCCCATGGAGTATCACCATGCATCATGGCCGACGAAGTAAAGAGCGGTGGCAGCCGCCATGATACCGACAACGAAAAGACATCGGGGGCACGTAAGACAGGGAGCACAAGTAACATCGGTGCATATCCCAATGAAGAGCAGATGGCCCGAGCATGCTTTGGGACCAACGAAGCACTCCCACTGATCTTTCTGGTCGCGCTCCAGAGCACTCGATTATTTCTAGCATTGCCGATCGTAGGGACAATCTACGCCTAGGGTAACCGGCTGCGAGGGTGTTGCTTGTCCCAGCCATTTCTTTTCGCCGTGCCCAACCATACTACTAGGATTGAACATCAAATGCTATGAGCAGGGCAATCGGTCAATTCTCGTGTTATGGATATGTTTGACTCGCGCACGCCGAAATTTGCGCCCCAGTGATAAAGGTAAATGAATTAGCACTCTCAGACCAACACGCGCACGACGATCGGCCCCAGGGCCCAGGGGGCAGGATGAATGATCCGCGTTGGCGGGCTGAGTTGAGACCTTCACTCAAGACGGTTAGACATATGCATGGTGTTAATTGGCTGCAGAATCGGCAGGGTCTCTATCCTCTGAACCAGGGGTTCCGCTGTTACCTGTTACGTATGAACAGAATTCTTCAGTTGGTTTCATCATGTTCTATATATGAATACAATGGCTTCCTGAGTAATACAGAAAGACGCAACATATTAGGTATGTTCCTGTTTTCAATCATTGGTTGGTTACCCCAACTGTCATTCTGGAATACCGCTACTAATATTCTATTCTACGCTGATTTTGTAGACGCTCGAGGCCGATGGCCCATCGAGCAACCATTGTAGGCACTTGACTTCGTCTCCACGTCATCTCCTATTATTATTAGCGAATTCGGGAATCAGGGTGCCCGAGATGCAACGAATGATGGTCTTTTCAGGGTGTTGATGAGGTCACGCTTTAAGTGCACGCATCAGCTACACCATGAAGATGATCCAGTTGAAAAAATCACCCACTACCGTTCGTTAGTTGAGCCCATGCAACAGGACATGTCACGACTAAGGGTCTTAGGCATAAGCACGGCCTGATTCTCACCACGTGGCGGCGCGAAGTCCGGGTGGTTCTGGTCTACAAATGTGTCTATGATCATCGTGGCCTGAGAAGAGGGGATTGAAAAAAAAAAACAAAGAGAACGAAGATAAAGCTAGCATGTCAATAGCGCTACTCGGAGATTCCACCGTTGCGAGTCAGGTCCAGTGCAACAAGAGGGCCTGGCTTAGTGCGCCTGGTGGTCGTTGGACGTTCGTCCGGCCGCTGCGCCAAGGCGCCGGGCCACGGGGACGCATGCTTTGTGTCACATCATTGGAGCCTGCTGGCCCCAAGTACCAGTCGGTCACCAAGGGCAAGCTACTGCAGCTAATGGGGTGGCCTCACCTCGCTGCATGCCACCTGAAGCGGGCAATGAAAGCTCTGGAGAGGTGACATCCCAGCTAGGCGATTGCTGACGTATCACGGGGCGGCCGGGAATGGTGGAGGGGCTCTTGAGAGATGAAGGGCAGAAAGAACTTGGAGCTATTATGCTTTCAGGGATCGCGGCCCTACGCCTAAACGGATATTGATTGTGTCTATTGTTCTGTCGGCTTGGTGGTGGGGTCGGCGGGAGAGGCCACCGCGAGATGGATGCATAAGATGCGGTGCTATGATAGCATCATTGGCTATTGCTTCGTGAGTGTGATGAGGGACGCAGGACCCCTCCTGCACGCTAGTCCAGTCACACCGTATTGAGAGCTTTGTCTCTGCCATGCTTCCACCATCACAGGCGCTAAGCCTGCAGCAAATCTTCAACCTCAGGTACGTACCCTAGACACTGGACAAAGGTATTGTGCTACATCAAGTTGTTGCTCCGGTATCTCTTCCTGGCAGGAGTACCTCATTAGTGAAGAACGTTACTGTGAACTGTTCTCAGTAAATGAAGAGATTTTCGTGAGTCATGCATTTCAAAGGTGTTGAAATGTAAGTCGAAATGGCTGGTAGTTAACAACAACATGTGTCCCACTGCGTTGGAGTATTGGCAACTTGCGTGGAAGATTTGCCTGCATATGCCGTTGATTGGTATCCTAATAAGAACATCTAGTCCCCTATCTGCTTCATACGATAATATTGGCCGTGCCAAGCCCGAAAGCGACAAGAATGGGAGGCATCGGATACTGGCTCATGGCGGACAAGTCCATACCAGACAAAATCATCTGAACAAGAGAAGCCCGAAGGCGAATACTCGACCCAACGTAGCTTGAGCCCAAGGGCGAAGGTTTGATATACCTGCGAGACAGCAAAGACAGCAACTAAATTTCAGGTTGGGTCACTCTAGCCGAAGATTCCTGTACTGAAGCACATCAAAGTGCTGGCTAACAAGCAGTCAGTTTGACGAGAGACATGCGCTAGTGATATCCAAACTCCTAATTTTGATGTAAAAATGGGAAATCTAAGTGAACCGCATCCCCAGTGCGCCTATATATGTATATATGCATGTACATAGAACCATGAAAAGAATCGTCGACCCATGATGTAGAAACCTGAAACGCCAATTCAGAGACAACCTCTGGTTTGTGGTGGTATCTCTTGCACCAACTCACTCAATCTGATTCCTTATTATTCACTCTTCAAACATGGCCAAGCTGGCTAACGGTGGTCTACACTGGCATTGATGGCACTGTATTCCAGTGCCGAGACAGGGAGCTCCGTCCAGAGGGACATCCAACAGTTCGGTTGACAAAACTTTGTTTCCCATGAGCTCAAACTGGGGCTGGAATGGTAAAATGCTTTGTGGTCATAAGGATTCGAAGGAGCCCCTGAGGCAGCGGTTGGTGAGGAGCCGCGGATATCGCAACAATAGTTGACATTTATTTCTTGAAGAAACCACCCCGAGACGGAACAGCAGTGCGGTTCCTCCTTAGTAGGACGTCCTTGGCGCTCTTCGTGTACTTTTTCGCTTTTGGTGCTAGCCTCTGGTCATTTTTGCTCGCCACCCGATAGACGGTTGAGCCGACCGTCTCATCGCGCGGTCCACGGTCGAGGCGAGTGAGGCTTCGTTCCACGCTGGCGACTTTTCTGCGCTTGGGACCCGAAGCCAGCTCTAGATCATGTCGGTGATCGTCCTCTTCATCGCTCGACGAATCAGTGAGAAACTCGTCGGGAAGAATAGCGGGAATCTGGATCTTGTCCCCCCGTATTCTCCTGCTTGAGACAACGTTCGAGGACGGACCAGCGACGTCTTGACTGTCGCTGCCTTGAGGCTCCGCTGGCCCAGTGGTTTCCTGGGTCTTCTTGCGCTCCTCTGCCTGCTGCTTGAACAAGGCGTCTCTTTCTTGCCGCTTCCTCTTCTGGGCAGCCGCTTGCCTAAAAATGTAGAAACAATGGTCAGTTGGCGATGCTAAGATGAGCATAGCAGAGCGGAGGTTCAACGTACTCTTGTGAAGCCTTCTGGGCAGCCTGAGCGGACCTCTTTAAACTTGATGCAGCGTGATGAGTGGAAATTGCTTCAGGAGCCTCATCGTCGTCACTGTCGCTCTCATCCTCATCCTGAGGAGGCGGTGCTGCTGACTCTTTCGTTTCTACTGCGGGCTTGGCTGAAACAACCTCATCCTCGTCATCATCGTCGTCGAAGACCGTCAAGTTACCAGGAGCAGAAGCAGCTGAGTTTGATGATAAAGATTTTTCACCCTTTGTTCGCACAGGCAGCTTGGTGGTGTCTTCAGCCGTGTCCTCTGCTTGTTTGTTGGCGACTTTTCCTGCTCGCGCCATGATGTGTCACTCGAATTTGGGACGGAGGCTAAGATTCGTGCAGTGCCGTCTAGAATTGGTATATCCTGATATCTTGACAGTATAAGCCGACAGTCAATCAATACAGAGATAGGCTTTGCTAATGTAGAGAATGCGCTGATGGTTGAGCAACTCATGGTCGTGAACCAAAAAAATTCATGTGGGGACCTTATCGGACCTCGGTGAGCTTATCTTCACCGTCGGTGCGACACTCGCGGTCCCATTGGCCAATCAGCTCTCGGACCACTTTGCTCTCACTCACCTCAACCCCCCAGATACTGTACGAAGCTGTGAACCACACTCTTGTCGAGGGAAGCCACTCGGAATCTCATTTTCCTCTATTTAATCCCGAATCTATTACTTAATTGTTCTAGATACTTCCCGTCAAGTTGCCTCGCCTAGAATGGCATCTAGACGCTCATTGAGAGCCCTTCTGAGGGTCTCATCATCAGCTGTCATCCCTACAGAAAGATTGGCTTCCCATCAGTTCCTATCCTCTTGTCCGTTTTCAAGATGCGATACGAACTGTTCAATTTTGCAGCAAAGAAGATACTATGCCGTAGCGCGTAAAGCGCAAAGAGGCAGGACGATGAACTGGGGACCTGCTAATCTGGATACCATAACGCTGAAAGATTTTGAACGTGCTCTCAAGCCGGACATGTTCAAGAAGTCAGACCCCTTTTACAGTTATGATCCGTCGACGTATTACAACTGTCTGCAAAAGTTTTCTACCGTGTCCGAGAAGGGAGATCACCGCTGGCTTGTTTTGATTGAAGAAGGTGGGAGTTCGCCCTCTCTCCATGCCGCAGAGGATATGGAACCACATTGCTAACTCAACATAGCCGAGCGCCCGACGCCAGAGATTTTGCACGAAACTGGCTGCATTATGCGTGACATGTCATGGAACCCCCAAGCGTCCCGCTGGTCCCTCGCTATGTGGGCAGCCGCGGCGGAGATGGACTTTAACCCCTCCATCGCCACTCTGGCACTGTACCTCGTCCGTTCGGGCATGTTTGGATCTTCACCTCTTTTCATATCAGCCGAGTCCCGTTTCCAAGCGCTGGCCAAGACGGGCCAGGACCCTAACGCGCTCGTGGTTGAAGGCGAAATGCTCCGACGGCGGGGGACGTACAACGCAAGCATCAGAGTTTTCCAGCGAGCACTAGAGACAGGGGGCGAGAATTTCACCTGGGCGCCGTTGTGTGAACAACAGATAGCCCAATGCTACCGAAATCTTGGGAAGGAAAGCGACGCGTTGGAGCACTACCGGAGAGCGGTCAAGATGGGGCTTGAGGAGGCGCATGAGGGTATCGCCATGTTATCTAAGGATGCTGACGAGACTTACGAGAGCATGTACAAGGCTGCGTGTCTGAACCCAAAGTTATTTTCACACTTGGCGCAGATGGAATTGGAAAGGTCGACCGAATTGAAGGATGAGGGAGCCCTCAAAGAGGCTGTGAAATGGGCGACTGAGTGGTCGGAGTTAGCAAATGTACCAGAAAAGCCCTGAGAGCTAGGTGCAAGAAACTCTTGCATTTGTAAAACCAATTGAATATATCACCGAGAGAAGCAATCAAGTGGGTGACAGGAGAAATCAGACACTCAATGGAAGAGTGGTTCTACTGTCTAAGATAAATTAAGAAATTTAGCAGTATAAAACGAAATAAAGTAATAATATTTACTAAGTTTTCTCTTAAGTATATATTATTTATACTCAACAATTTAATAATACCAGCCGCAGACTCGAGAATAAGCAGCTTAATGTTGGTGTATCTCAACTTCAACGTCACCCACCTGGCAATATAATTGGACGTGCGACTATGCAACTATTTCTAGAAGGAATGATGCCGAGTCGTTGCAAAAGCAGCTTCTGCAGGAGTTAAACTACCGAAGATTTTTGACATTGGTGTTGCTTAGATGTTGCCCAAGTACGTGGCTTGAAGTCATACGCTTCTACCCTGATCTGCAGCATGTTTTCCACCTGACGACAAACACAAGAAGAAGACGACTTCACCAAGCACAGCACTCATACATCTCGATAAAAGACTCAAGGTATAAGCCCATATTGATGATGCTTGTTTTTGAGTTGATCTTAATAACCACGAGGCTGGTAGGCAAAGGTAGGTGTCAGATACTGTACTTGATGAGCATGCCGATGTATCTCATCTATCATGACACACGTCAGCCTGACGATCTTCTTACAAGAGCCACAGGCCAACGCACATACTCTAAACTAGAGGAATGAGAAAAAAAAGCGATAGGATATCGGAAAGCATTACGGCTAAAGGGAGAAACGCCCTTGTGCCCATTGGACATAGACCCGCTCGCAATGGCACCTTGATTTGCCGCCCGCCATAATGTCGCACCGAGTTTGTCAGGGGGAGTCTGTCAAGTGCCCGCGATAATGCGAATTCCGGGTCAATCACTCCGTCTCCCTCCCTTCCCCCCTTCCCTCACCGTGAGGATCGCCTAGTTGCCCCGGTGGTAACTAGTTTACTTTATCCAAAGAGTCGTTGGGTCAAAGTGCGCTGATTGCTGGAAATTATTTCTAATATCCAGGACAATGAGCTCGGCAGATTGAAAAAGACCCACGCACATATTTATTTCACGAATAGAAAGCTATTTCTCGGTTAAGATGAGTGTTTGATTAATGAGTTGAGATGATTAACGTGAAGTTGGTGGTCGTACATGAACAGTCTTCATTAGATTTCTTCTCACTGCCAGCCAGCATAACACATGATGAAGATCCTTTTCGCTCTTGTAGCGATTTCTAAGCTTTTGTTTTTAGCCTCTGCGACAAACAATGGATTGACAGACGCCGTTGAGTGGGATGAGTATAGCCTGACGGTGAATGGGTCACGACTGTTTGTTCTGTAAGTCGTCCGTGTGATGTATCAAGACAGGAATTGGATTCTGATAATACATTAGCGGCGGAGAGTTCCATTATCAGAGATTGCCCGTCCCGGAACTGTGGCCTGTAAGATGTGTCAATGTGTTCGGATGAATATTTCTGATGCGTCAAATAGGACATCTTCCAGAAATTCAAGGCAAATGGATTCAACGCTCTGGGGTAAATTACATATTCCATCCTCTCGCAGAACATCTCTCGATCTAACAAGATTCATGATACAGACTTTATTTCTTTTGGTCCTATCATTCTGCCGAGGAGGGAATTTACGATTTTGAGACCTCTGGAAAGAACCTCCAGAAACTTTTTGATGCTGCAAAAGAGGCTGGGCTCTATGTCATCGCCCGTCCTGGACCATATATTAATGTATGTTCATAGGACCCTTGAAACTGAAATCCACGTGGCTAACATCTGCTGCTTCAGGCAGAGACGAATGCTGGTGGCTACGCGTTATGGGGATCTGATGGCAGAATTGGTCAAATTAGGACGAACGATGAGCGTCATCGTGATGCTTGGGCTCCCTATATCAAGCAACTCATACCGATACTGGCCGCCAACCAAATCACCGAAGGAGGTGTCAGTCATTCCGTGCAATTCTCCGCAATCAAATTAAATTCTGACTATACCCATAGCCGGTCATCTTGGTTCAGGTGGAAAATGAGCTTCGACAAACCGTTCACGAGCCGGACCACACCCTCGTACAGTATATGATCAAGCTTGAAGAAGCCTTTAGAGATGCAGGAGTTGTGGTACCACTCACGCACAATGAAAAGTCAATGAGCCGGCAGAGTTGGTCGTCAGACTTTCAGAATGTTGGCGGTGCGGTCGATGTGTATGCACTTGACCACTATCCTGGTGCCCTCTCCTGCACAAACAATGAGACAGGATTTGTTGTCAACCGAGGCTATTACCAGTGGTTCAAAAAGACAAGTTGGACACAGCCTGAGTATATGGCCGAGTTTGAAGGGGGCTGGTTCTCAGGTATGCCAACTGACTCTGCTCCTCTTGGCCCATGCCGTTGAACGATGCCATGCTGATCATCTTGTAGCATGGGGCAGCGATACATTTTACGACGAGGTATTGAGCTTCCTGTCAACGGTATTTCGATCTTGAATTGACATGCAGTTTTAGTGCTTCACCGAACATAGCCCGGAATTTGCGGACGTCTTCTACAAGAACAATATTGGACAGAGAATTACTCTTCTTGGGATATATATGGCTTACGGAGGCACTAACTGGGGTCATTGTATGTTTACGCGTGATTTGACTTGAAGGTTTCTGTAAGAGTACTCCTTCTAACTGAAACCAGCTGCCGCTCCGGTTGTGTATTCAAGTTATGACTACAGGTCTGTGCAAGCTTCTTTTAACAACTCTCTTAGCTAACGGAAATGTGCTGACTCCTTATTCGACGTAGCGCGCCGCTGAGAGAGACACGGCAGATATGGAGCAAATTGAAGCAAACCAAACTTCTGGGACTCTTTACCCGCGTATCAGGAGACTTGGTCCGGACCGAAATGGTTGGGAATGGAACCGGATACAGCGTATGGTCGTCACCCTGTCCTACTAAGAAAGATCCCCATTAACAACTTTTTAATGCCTAGACTTCATCATCCGATATCTTTGCATGGAGGTTAAGGAATATAGATTCGAATTCGACATTCACAGTTATACAACATAACAACACCCAATCGAGGGGGTCGGTGGAGTTTTCTGTTTCCTTCGATACATCTGAGGGGACCATCGAGGTTCCAGGTGTATCTCTAGATGGGCGACAGAGCAAAATCCTGGTCACGGACTACCTATTTGGTACCAAGAAACTTCTCTACGCCACAGCGGATATTTTAACGTATGGGATCTTTGATACCGAGGTTCTGGTTTTCTATCTTCAAGACGGGCAGGCGGGAGAATTTGCCTTCAGCGACCAGGGGCAAGATCTCACATTCGAGGTATTCGGGGACTCTGAATTTACAGCAAACGCTCGCGATGGGCGCTCCGTGTACTCTTGGAAGCAAGCATCCGGGCAGACAGTAGTCAGGTTCTCGAACGGGGTCATTTTCTACTTGTTGGAGCGAGAGACTGCCTGGAGCTTCTGGGCCCCTCCCAAAGTCAGCACTCCCCTCGTAAAACCGGATGAACACTTGTTTGTCCTCGGCCCCTATTTGGTCCGGTCGGCTCGCATAGCGAACAAAGTCCTCCATGTCTCTGGGGACAACGATGTGGCGACGAAATTGGAAGCCTATGTCGGCCAAGAGATCGAAACTGTCGTCTGGAACGGCCTCCGTCTCGCGGCAGAGAAGACGGCATATGGTGCAGTTACGGTGGACATCCCCGGTGCCAACGACCGAACGATTTCTCTACCTCCTCTGAAAGACTGGAATTCGGAAGACGGGGCCCCTGAGATCAGGCCTGATTTCGATGACTCGAGTTGGACGGTGTGTGACCACAACGAGACTCTGAATCCTTTCTATCAGCCAGCCACCCTGCCCGTACTCTACAGCTCTGATTATGGATACTACGCCGGGGCCAAGATCTACAGGGGATATTTCGAAGGGAAGAACGCATCGGCAGTGAAACTCACCTGCTCAGGCGGATTGGCCTTCGGATGGAACGCCTGGCTGAATGGCAAATTCATCGGCGGGGATGACGGCGCCAGTCTTTTGGGGACCACTAATGCAACACTCACTCTTCCGAAAGATGCCCTCTTGGATGGCGACAACGTGCTGACGGTGTTCGTAGACTACCATGGCCATGACCAGGATTCCACTGGAAAGGGCATTAATAACCCGAGAGGTATCCTGGATGCTCTAATTCTGCCCGGGGGCACTCGGGAGGATACCGGGTTCAAGACATGGAAGATTCAGGGCAACGCCGGTGGTTCAGCTAACATCGACCCTGTCCGCGGACCCATGAACGAGGGCGGGCTGTACCCTGAGCGACTGGGTTGGCACCTCCCTGAATTCGAAACCAAGGGCTGGACTCGGTCTACGTCTCCGCTAGACGGCATCAAAGCCCCCGGCGTAAGGTTCTATATTACATCGTTCCATCTTAATATCGACTCGGACCTGGATGTACCACTCGGCGTGGAGCTCGGTGCGCCAGAGGGAACGGTGGCCAGAGTCATGATCTGGGTCAATGGGTATCAGTACGGCAAGTTTGTGCCACACATTGGCCCGCAGTATCGGTTCCCAATCCCTCCTGGCATCATCAACAACCGTGGGAAGAACACTCTGGCGCTCAGCCTGTGGGCACAGACGGAGGATGGGGCTGCCCTGGATAAGGTTGAGCTGTTCTCGTACGGCAAATACCACACGGATTTCAAGTTTAACAGGGACTGGAGCTATTTGCAGCCAAAATGGGAAGATAGATCACGATATGCTTAAACACTGGTGGAATTTTTTATCCGCTTAAGTAGCTAAACTACATTCTCATGCAGAATTGCGTGTGCGGGAGCTGGTGCTTGAGAGCCAACATCCGGAACGACATTATAACTTACAGTGGACGTCTACGATTAGTGCATTGGGATTTCTAAAATGATAGGATAAGAAGAGGGGCTTGGATTTGTGAATACTGCGGGTTATATTGCTGTCTTCGGTGCTGAAGACAGGATGGCTGGATAGGATATACCGTCGTACAAAGTGTGGTTCCTGTCGCTGTTCTTAGTATCGCATTTAGACATCGAATAGAGATTTCAACCAAGTTTTGTTCGGCTTATGCGCGCCTGAGGCTTGGGTAGGATGCACCTATGGTATATATGAAGTTAGCACTATAGCAACGGGATATAGAAATTATATACTATGGGATGTTTGGTTACTTGTGTATGTAACAACTTATCCGAGGTTTAGAAATGATTACAATTATGAGGCAAGTCTATGCTATATTCATGCTATATTCATTAGCATCCCGTATTCTGTCTGTTCTGCCTGTCACCACCTTCATGACACTGAGCTAATGAGCCCGGTGGGTTACTTATTTCCTCATTATACTCTTAGCAGATCTTATGAGGATGATCCACCCAGTGCAAGATTGGAAAGGCCATCATACTGGATAGCAATGTGTTAATGCTGGGATCCGGTCTTGTGCTGCCTTTTAAATCGGGCGAATCTACGGGTGATGGGAATACTACGACTCTCGTTGAGAAATGACTCTATCTCATGCTACTTGAAGCCTTTGCTTGTATTTGCGCTAGCAATCAAAAGAGAAACAAGAGGACTGCTGACTGGGATGATGAGACATACATAGTACGCCTGCCATCGCTAGAGGTAGCTCTCATTGAATGTGACTAACACCCTGTCTGGTAACGACTAGAAATGCGATGAATGGAGGGACGTTTCCTCGCTGCTCGTCCCGCCCCTTGTGTAAGTCAGTAAAAGAAACCGGCGTCGACGGTGGGTCTCCCCTACACACAGACGCTTGTTGGCCACATACAGCTCATTGAGCTAGACTTATTGGATTTAAATGCCGTGGGATGGCGGGCTGGGTAGGTGAAGAGGCCGAGAGCCCAGGAGCAGGCTCGACTCATTTATTCGCTGACAAGGGTTGAAGCTGGGTCATGGAGATGGGACAAGTTGCAGAAGGGTTTCCAATTAAAATGTAGTCTAAGCAAGGGGATATGTTGATATGTGGATTGGCTTCAAGGCTTTTCAACCTTGGAGCGGTTGTGAGGATGTGACATCTACCCAAAGCGGGTGGGGTGGGATTCGGACGCAGAGTTCGAGATAATGGCGGACGGCGGCCGGATACCTACTGGCTTGACGGGACCTTTGGGCCATGTGGCAGACTCGTAATGCCCCTTGTGTGTGCATACGAACGGTGGGGTGTTGGCGACCAACAGATGAACCAAAAGCGGTGCCCTCTTGAGCTGTGCGGCTGGCCTCGTTTCCCCACCGGCATGCAGTCATGCAGTGGTGTAATCAATAATGCTACGCGAGGCGGATCTGGCTCGTAGCTGTCCGTAGCTCTAATAAGAGACGGGGGCGGCGTGAGCGTATTGATAATTGACCGAGAGCGACTGTTGGCTGCTTCCCCATCCCAAAGTTCCATCTATGAGGCTGCAGTCAGCTGCACGGGCGGTAATGGCATGGCATGGGGCAATCTCGGCTGATGGCACGCGGGAGGTGTGTGTGTGGGAAGGCTGGTTGTGTCACAGTAAGCCATGGATGTAAGTCCAGGTCCAAAGAAGGGCAATGCCCAGCCTGATACCGAGCAAGACTCTATTCTGCTTTGCTCTTTCCATCTTTATTTCCAACTTCTGCGTTCATATTGTGTGAGGCTGTTAGACAAAATGCTTTTGTTCAGCGCTTTCTATCTCTCTCTTGCTGGGATGGGCGTCATCGCTGCAACCACTAGAGAGACATCAAATTGCGTGCCTGTCTCATTTCATTTCTCAGTCTCAGCCCTCAATACGGTTTGGCTTTCGCCCCCGGACCCAGGCAGTGAAACTTCGATTCTGGACTTCTTCTACTCTGGTTTGGCAAATGGCACGGGGCCGGCAGTGGCTGGCACCACAAAGGAGACGGGCACATTTCAAATTAATGGCATATATTGCTCTCCAACCAGAGAGAAATCGGGCCAAGCGCTCCAAGTATTGGTTCATGGCATCACATACGACAAGTCAATATGGTCCGGCACTGGATATGGTGCTCAGTATGACTGGCAGGCGTTTGCCACCAACCAGGGCTATCATACGCTCGCCATCGATCGCCTTGGACATGGCAGCAACCCTGAGCGCCCTGATCCTCTTGCTGTCGTTCAGGGCTCGTTCCACATAGAGATGATACACAAGTTGATCTCAATCGTTCGCAACCAGTCTGGAAATCCGCTTGGACGCACCTTCAACAAGGTGGTATACGTGAGCCACTCGTATGGAGGCTGGGTGGGGACCGGCCTGATCGCGAGATATCCCAAGGATGTTGATGCCATGGTCCTCACTGGATTCAGCACCGTGCCCAACTTTGCTCCATTCGCGAATTCGAAGCTGAGGTCCGCCGCGCTGCTGGCTCCCGGCCGGTTCCCTGGTTTGCCGCTGGGGTACATCACCTTTGGCGAGAGTAGTGGGCGGAAGGCAGCCTTCTTTGCCGGCAACTTCGATCCAGCCTTCCCCGCACTGGACTATGCCAGTCAGGAGACCTGGACGATTGGGGAGACCGGTTCGCTGGGTTTCACGTCCACATCGCCGGTCGACTATACAGGACCGCTCTTCCTTGCCACTGGAGCTGATGATGCTATCTTCTGCCAGCCACCAAAAACGGCCTGCGAGGCTCTGGTACAAAATTCTAAGCAGTTTTATCCCAATGTGAAGAAATTTGGGTTTTTCGTGCCAGAAAACACGGGTCACACGCTGACGAGGCATTATTCTGCGCCGGCCACTTTCGCTAAGGTGCACCGGTTTCTGAATGAGGCTTTGGGAAAGTGTTAGAGAAGCATGGGCACGAGGATTTAATATTTCGTAGAGTGGAATCTGGCTAGGTACAGTCGTCATGGAAAGCAGTCGTTGTAGTGGATCAATATGATATGTTCATAGTGAAATGCAAACTTCAGCCTGCTGTGTTGCACTGACCTAACATCTCGACAATAAGTATGTTCACCATGAGATATAAACCCCATCTAAAGCTATGTATTTGCAATTTCAACTAGAAATATGGAAATGCGGACGGCTCTCTTGATCACTCCTCTCAGTGTTTCTGACGAAACTGGCTGAGGCCTACTGCCTCTCGGCACAACTCTTCCAGGGGCGAGTTTCCCAGCAGCACAAAAACTGGCATGTCAGCACCGACTTCTCGGGCAAACCAGTTTCTTAAATCCATGGCGATCAGAGAATCAATCCCATATGTGTGTGCCGGCTTCTTGGTATCCATGTCATCAAGAGCTAAGCCCAGCATTTGGGTGAGCTTGACTTTTAGCCAACCTGTTACCAGAACTGCTGCTTCATCGTCAGATGACGCTCCGCGGATAGCAGCTAAGCGATTGATTCCCAAGGAAGCAGACGAAGCAGGCCCGCCATCTGAGTTTAGATGGGCATTTCCCATTGCAAACAAATGCCGAAAGATGGGACGATGGATGGAATGATGCAACTCCACGCCCTTGGCAAGGACCGCCGAGGGTAGCTCGACACCGACCAAGACCTGGGCGTCAGCATGGCTGAGAATAGGCAGCTTTGGATCACAGTAGTATTCCATCAGGGCAATTAGATCCTCCATATTGATATCGATTAGATGGCCAATGCGCCTCATGCCAGCCAGTATTTTTTCATTCTCGGCGACCATCCCCTCGTCAACCATGAGGCCGAGATCGATAGATACCGCTTTCTGGCCCTGAGAAATGCGATGATGTGCCAACGCATCCTTGAAAGTATTACCCGCAGCGTAGTTGGCCTGGCCACGGTTGCCGAATATGCCATTGACGGAAGAGAGTAGGATAAAAAAGTCCAGCTCCTGGGGTAGGGCGGCATGCAAGTTCCAAGAGCCAGTCACTTTGGAACTCGTGCTTACGTGCCAGTCCTCGAATGACATGTTCGGCCAGAAATTATCCTAAAGTCCATTGATGTCAGTCTTTCGTTGATCTTGAGAGGGAGAACAAGCCGCAATGGCTGGACCTACTCTCAGGGCGACAGTAGCTTGAATGCATCCTCGGATGGGAGGCATATCTACACTCAAACGGCGGATTGTTTCTTGGAGCATTGCCAAGTTGCTGATATCCACTGCTGGACAAGCGACTGCCGTGCCCATACTTTCAAGGTCATGGACAAGAGACACGGCCTCGGGCGTTCTGGCACCTGAGCGCGATAGAATGACGAGGTGACGAGCGCCTTGCCTGGCCATCCAACGCACAAGGCTGCGCCCTAGGCCACCGAACCCTCCAGCGATGACGTATGTGGCATCCTTGGAGAAGCTAGAGCGTGGCAACGCGATCATGCTGGCCTGTATTGGAGTTTTGTCATGTTAGCAGTTGGCCCATGGTGGCCAGAAGAGCTTGACTTACGGTAACTGAAGCATTGGGTTGAAGCTCGACTATGCGCTTCCCAAAATCTTCCCCTCCAAAGTGTGAGAACATTTTCTTAATGTCAGAGCCCTGAAAGATATGCAAGAACTGCGGAGGCTCAAGTTGTTGTGTTGAGGCAAACGCAACGGCTTGTCGTAGGGTCTCATAGGCAACGCGAGGTTGGTGTTTGAAGAACTCATCCATTTGCACAGAGATGAAAAGAACATTTGCCTTCCTGGGAATGCGTGCCGAGGGGTCTAGACTGAGATCAATAATGCGGCCCAACGGCTTCACAAAAGTCGTAAAGTTGAGCTGGTCCACCCCATCTGATAACGAACCAACTACGACATCAACACCCTGACCCTGGGTACGCTGAAGAATGGTACGAAGGGACAGTTCATCCCCCCCCAGGAGGATATTGGCTCGAGGTAGCTTGTATTGCTGCTGTAGAAAGTCCTTCTTGGAGTGAGAACTTGTTGTGACCAAGACCTCGGCTCCAAGACGCATCGCCAGCTGCAAGGCCACCTGGCCCAAACAACTAGAGCCATGCAGAATCAATACGGTTTCGCCAGGCTGGAGTCGCGCCACATTGACCAAGCTATGATAGGAAAGCCACAGGGCGGAAGGCAGAGCAGCGGATTCGTTAAATCCGAGATGCGGAGGGATACGCGCCACAGATCTGGCCGGGACAACCAACCGGTTGGTGCAGCCTGAGCTGGCGATGGTAAGTACTGGTTCCCCGCTTGTAAAGCCTGATCTTGCACCTGCTTTGACAATGGTGCCTGAGAATTCTGCTCCCACACTGGTGTGGCTTCCATGGCCTTTGGTGGCAAGATAGTCCTTGTGAGTGAATCCCACCGCGCGCACTTGCACCACGACTTCCTCCTCCCCTGGAACTGTGGCCTCTTTCTCGTCAAGGGCTCTTTCCTTCCACTTCAGAGTGTCACTTTGGCTAGGATAGTCGAGTTCCAACCTGATAGTAATATCGGAGCCGAGTCTGAATTCTTCTTCGTGATGGGATGAGGTCGCATCAGCAACTACTCGGTTCATCAATGAGTTTTCGGTGATGCGATTGATGTTCTCCAAACCGTTCTGGGATGTGAAGTTGGTCTCGACACTTTCCACAGATCTTTCAACAAGATCCGTCGAGACCGTTAATAAACGTGATACAATTCTTTCCGGACTCTCCAGTAAATCGTCAAGGTTGAGGGTTGAGAATTTGTACGTTGAGTCTTCCGACATCAAGACCCGGCCCAATCCGTCTACGATATGATGCCTTGGGTCGTCAGTACCAGATGACCGGGTCACCCATAGAACCCGTTTGGAACGTGACAGTGCCGCTTGCAAGTGCCTAAAGTCGTCTGCTTGGATACCATCCAGAAGTATGTTATCAAGCTCAACGAGAAACACCGTGACCATTGAGGTTGACACCAGGGTTTCAGCTTGCGCGAATTGTTCGCATGACCATACATTGCATGTTGGAGCCATCAGTTCAGCTACGCAATCTTGCGAAGATATCCCACGATCTACTATCAGGTGAATATCTGGCAGATTTTGAGGCAGTTTTGGCTTCAAGCAACGAATCCCCGAGATGATGATACTGCTATACCTCAAGGTGCCATCTGCTTGGCCCGGGATATTGACGTCCACGCCTGAAAAGCCGGCTCGCTTGAGACAATGATCCCACTGATCAGCGGTCAGCAGCGGGCTATGAACGGATCGTGTTTCATGCTCCAATGGTTTCCACCAGTCCTTCAACAGACCCCAGATAAAACCAATCTGTGTTACATTTGGTGATGTGGTCTCTATGAGCAAAAGCGTCCCATCTGGTTTCAGGAGCTTTCTGATGTTTTTGAGAGATATATCGATATCCTGCGTGGCGTGCAGAACGTGCGATGCTACTATGAGATCGTAGCTACTGGGCTCGAACCCTTGAGCCTGCGGGTCGTTTGAGATATCCAAGACTTCAAACTTCATCAAGTGCGCATACTTCTCAAATTTATCTTTCGACAGGGAGAAGAAGCCCGAAAATTTATCCGTGAAGTCATACTGAGACCACTTCAAGATTCCGTCCTGGCTCATTGCTTCGAGAAGACGAGTAGTAATCCCACCAGTTCCGGCACCAACCTCGAGGATCTTCATAGACGGGTTCTTGAATGACAGCAAGTCCACAAACTCACATACTGGATAGGCGTGGTGGTCACTTGCAAGCATTTCTTCGTAATAACGGTCGGCAAGACGGTTGTCGAAAATGATGGCCAGCGGGTCCACGCTTCCTGATAAAATCTTGGCCAAGTTACGGCCAAGCGTCATGAGCAACAGACCTTCAGTATCGGACTCTGTGATCTGTCGAATTCTCGCCTCGCGGATTTCCGCATCACCCAGAAATGTGTTCAAATCATCAATGCCAAATGGTGATTCTCCCTCCAACATCAGCTGAAGTTGGTAGGCCATCCAGCCTGCGTAGGATTGAAGATGGCTCTCTGATGGCAGAGAATCATGGACATCTAAGAACTCGAGAGCATCCTTGATGAAGGCCAAAAGGGCAAGGATTTTGATTCGTTGCTTGCTTATGATTTCATCATCTTGCTTTGGCCTGTTACTGGTACAATAAGCAAGAACTTGGTCGTGGCTCATCATGCTAATATCAGGCTTCTGAATAATCCGATGGCAGAGCGGTCGTATGACTTTAACAGGAGTTTCTGTTGAATTGCTAATCACCTTTGTTCGTAGACCACTCATAATGATAACCGGGCTAGTAGAGCCGCTGGAGGTGGCTATTACATTACCTTCGGCTCTTCTTTGTCCTTGCATCTGAAAGGAGCCATAGGCACTCAGTTCGCTTCCTTGTGAATCCAAGCCCTCGCAGTCAACCCAAAGGCTGTCCACGTGGACTGGCATCATAGTGAGTGACCCAGAAGTATTCTCACCGTGGGAGAGGGCTGGCACAAGCAGTTGGGCAAGGCCATCAAGTGTAGTTGGGTGGATGGGATAGTTCGGAAACGAAGAGTGTTTGGGCATCTTCGCCTTCCACGCTTCAGTGCCAATCTGGGCAGTGGCCTTCCCACCAAAACTGGGGCGAAATTCTTTCACATTCTGAAAGCATGGCCCGTAAATAATGCCCTCCGGATCCTGGTTGTCGTATATATTATGCACAGGACCCTCGCATGAGCGAGTGATACCGGTGGCCCAGGTGCTATGATCTTCAGTCCCAGGCCACGAGTAGGACGATACTATCTGGTTTCGATCGTGGCGATCCACAACAGAACGAATAGTTCCACTACAGCATTCGATGTAGCTGCCATTCTCAATGATAAACAACCTGAACTCGGATGGGGTGACCCCTCGGCCCTTTCTTGTGCTGGCTGGGGTGGATAGAGTAAATTGGGTTTCGATTTGGTCAGCCCCCCGGGGCAACGCAATGGCATGAGAAAAGGCAGCCTCTTCGACATAAAGACCGATAAGGGTCGATCTATTGCCATGTACCTGCATCATGGATTCCAAAGCCATCGCAATCATGCCCGCGGCAGGGAAGATGATCTGACCATTGATCGTGTGGTGCTCTAACCAAGGCACCTCAGCCAGTCTGATGACATTACGCCACTGCGCGATTTGCGCGTTCCAGTCCAGGCTGCGCGACCCAAGCAGATCGTGGCGAGGCACACTGGGAAATCGGAGGTTCTTGCTTAGCCGACCTTCCTTCCAGTGCAGCTGTGAGTGATTAAAGGGGTAGGCCGGCATGTTGGGCGGAGCAGGACGCGCAGAGTTCTCCAGGCCATTCACTCGCAGCAGATCGACAGGGCACCCAGCGCAATACAGGGCGCCGACGGCCTCGAGAAGGGCCATGTCTGCACTACGGCCACGAACGAGAGAGGAGATATAAGTGAGCCGAGGCGATGAGCCAGAAAACTGCTCGAGGCAATCCCGTATTGGGGCTTGCAGTGCGCTGTGCGGTCCGATCTCGAGCACATGAGTGGCGAGAAGATCCTTGGCCGTGTTCTTTTTCCCCAGCCGGGCTCTCGGCTTCTTGTTCCCCGGATGGGCGACTTTCGAGAAGGCCAGCTCGAACTCGACCGTGGATGTAAGATTCCGCACCCAATACTCCCCGTCAAGTAGTCGCTCAGGCTCCAGGACATCCCCCGTGACCGAGGAGACCATTGGGACCTGACAGCAACCGCCAGCCTCGAGAGTTTGAGAAAGGGACTTGCGGTACTCGTCTGCGACTTGTCTCATAAAGTGCGAGTGATAGGCAACCGGGACGCGAAGACGGCGTGCAAACCGGAGATCCTCGTTCAGCCACTGTTCAACTTTCGATAGCGCTTCCCACCGCCCAGTCAATGTGATGCTTTTCGGGCTATTTACGCAGCCAATCTCGATGTCGGGTGGACAAGACTCGTCTTTGTGGAGGCGGTTTAGGTAGGTCTTGACCTCTTCTCTTGACAGACCGACTGCTACCATTGTCAGCTGGTTGTCCTTTGTCGTCGCCGCGAGGTGAGCAGACACCATGCCGCGGTGGTAGGCAACTCTAACAGCAGCCTGATGTGATAGCGCGCCACAGGCATAGGCAGCAGCGACCTCTCCAGAAGAATGTCCCAAGACTGCTGATGGAGATACACCGAAGCTCTTGAGAAGATCTACTAGTCCTATCTGAAGGCAGGTGACTAGAGGCTGGCTGTATTCTGGGCTGTTGACCGGGTGCTCCTTGATTTCGTCAAAGATGATATCGACAGGTGACCAAGAACACCCTAGGGCTTTCAAGAACTGTCCACTTGATCTTAGACTCTCAAGGAAGACTGGGAAGACCTTCAGCTCTCTGCCCATGCCAAGATACTGCGCGCCTTGCCCGGTAAAAACAAACGCAATCCTGGGGCCACCAGGCAGTGCTTTGATAGGCCCAACGAACGACGCATCTTCCGGGGCTGGAGGAATGACCTTTGGCCCAGCTACAGCAAAAGAGCGCCACGAGAAATGGCTCCTTCGTTGAGCCAGTGTAAAGGCCAAGTCGTCCCAAATCACTGGTTGACGTTTGAGATATCCACGGTAGAGTTCGAGCAGATCTCGTGAGCTGTTTCGTTCCGTGCCCGAACATACAAGTAATCTTAGCCGAGAGTCCTTGCGATCTTCATTCCCATTTAGTCCGTTGACGACCTTTTCCATCCCCGCCTGAGTGGCCCCGGATCCAGACCGCGTTTGATGGAATCCAGAAAGACGATGTGTCTTGAGATGGTTGTAGGCGTCGTCGAGGATGACAGTCGCATTCGTGCCACCAAACCCGAATGAGTTTACCTGAGGCATGTAAGCAATGGAAAATACTCTCGAGAGGTTGGGAAATTGCTGGCTCCGACTTACACACGCGCGACGGAGTGTCTTAACTGGCCATGGAACGGCTTGTTTAGGAAACTTGAAAGCGTTAGGGGCACAAGTTGCGATGAATGAAGATTTTGTTAATCGAACTTACGTGCAGATGTAATGCTTCCTCGTCGATCTTGCTGTTGATGGTTTCGAAGCTTGCAATGGGAGGAATGACGCCCTTCTCCAGGACCATGACCGTCTTAATCACCCCGGCAAGTCCACTGCAGCCTTCTAAATGACCTATCGTTGCCTTCACAGCACCGATATGAAGAGGATCGTCTTTCGAGCGGTGTTTGTGGAAGGCAGCACCAATGGCACTGGCCTCGATGGGGTCACCAACCGGCGTCCCCGTTCCGTGAGCCTCGAAGAAGCGGGTTGGACCAAAGTCCAGACCTGCTTGGTTGTATGTGCGCCGGATAAGCTCAAGCTGAGCCTCAGCACTGGGCTGGGTAATCCCTGGTGTTCGGCCATCTTGGTTGGAGCCGGTATTGCGGATGACTGCTCTGATCGTGTGCCCTTCTCGCAACGCATCATCCAATCGCTTCACGACGAGCATGGCATGGCCCTCCCCTCGGGCATACCCGTTCGCCCGGGCGTCGAAACTCCATGATCGACTATCCTTGGACAAGAAGTTGAAATCAGTCATCATCTTCATGAAGTTTGGATGATATACAAGATTCGCCCCTCCTACCAACGCCTTGATGTTCGATTAGTTACTTGATTGTTGTTTTCGCTCTGAAGTGTTTTTCTTCTTCTTCTTTTCATTCAACTCACCATAGAGCAGTTGCCTGCGCGGAGATCTTGACAACCGAGATGTAGCGCTATGAGGCTACTCGAACATGCTGAATCCAGGTTCATCGAGGTACCCTTCAAGTTGAAAAACCAGCTTATACGATTCGCCAGCATGGACGGGGCCACTCCCATTACAGCATGCCGTTGCTCCGACTCAAGGTCTTGCTGTAATATGCTCAGGTAGTCATTAGTGAAGCACCCGGTATACACCGATGTGTCCGAGCCGGCGCATTGGTCAATGGAAATACCAGCTATGGATGTTAGTTGGCTGAAAAGACGTTCAAGAAATTCCACATACCATCTTCCAAAGCATGGTAAGTTGTCTCGAGGAGTCTTCTATGCTGCGGATCCATACAAGCGGCCTCGCCGGGACTGATGGAAAAGAAGGGTGCATCGAATGCCGCAATGGGTTCTTTCACGAAATGACCCCCACGGACAGGGAGCTGCGGTCCAGGATTTCAGTATAATGGTCAACCGATATGAATGAAGGAATAAGACCTACAGTAGCAGGGCGACTGGCATCAGGGTGATAGTATGCATCGATATTGAGCCTGTCTTCTGGAAACTCAGAGCCGGCTGACCGGCCTTCCTGGATCATCTGCCAGAACTTTTCTGGAGAGGTAGCATCACCCGGAAATTCGAAGGCAAACCCAACGATGGCTAGGGCAGCCGATGCCTGAGATGACTGACCACTAGGCGCGTACTCGTCCATTTTTTAGTAAAGACAGTCTGAGGGACAATATTGTGATAATATGGCACGGCAGCTACAAATAGGAGTTGGATTTTGCCAGCGAGACTGGTATGTACGACAAGAATCTTGTGACAATGTAGTTGCAACTCTTCAGATTACAGGTAAGAATCCTATTTATGCCTGAAAAGAGTCATGGATACATGCCTAGATCTTGGTTCTTTACAGCCTCGTTTCGAGCTACCTGGCAGCCTATGGGATTTACAGGAGTGTACTTGACGTCTGGCCGACCAACATGCAGAAAACATGGTCCGGTGTATCTGATCCGCGTGTCTTAGCTACTTGCCAGACTCGCGGCTCTGTATGAAAGGTGTTGGCAACACATGTTACCCAGATTAGTTATGGATGCCCCATCGGGAAGCAAGAACTTTGGCTGAGATTTCTGATTGCTGCCTACAGCCGCCTCGAGATTGACGAAAGCAACCTCACGTAAGTCAGGCAGAATCCACATTCTGGACCACACCATTTGCGGACTTGAGCATAGAACGCGGCGGTTAGAACACCTTGACCCTGTCAATATCTGGAAGACTTGTTGGTGCGGAGGGGAAGGGGGTGTATATCTCCAATTCACTACCTGGGCACCATCTGAGGCGCTGGTCTTCTGTTGCAACATGAGTTATGTGATATATTCTCAAAGGAACGCCTTGCATGGCACTCCTGCATGCTACATCAGTAATTACCCGACATATCGCCCGCTCACGCCGGAATCCTTCATTCGGCCACCATTCGTTTGACGGCTTCAGCTAGGGCTAATACCTCACTGGTCTCCCGTGGCACTGAATGCCCTGCACTGTGGGTGAGCTCTAGACTCCAAGGACCGGCGAACAGGCCTGCCAACATCTCTCCCTGCTTGGCATATTGCATATCCTGGGGGCTCCATGCATGGACTGCCCTGATGCTGAGTATCTCGTGAGGCGGTACGTCCCCTGGCCTAATCTCCTCCATCTCACCCCTCTCTAGGCTCTCCCACCTCTGCGGCAAGATCCCGCACAGGAAGACAACCGACTTGATCATTGACTTGGCCTCTTGCAGTTCTGGATCAGGGTCCTGGCAGAAGAGCAGCGTTGCAATCATACTGGCACCCAGCGAGAACCCAGCAACGCAATCATATGGCCCATTCTCGCAGATGTACGACGCCAGATCGCGCACCGCATCCACGGCGCTGCTCGCCGTTCCGTCGTAATAGCTGAAGCAGTTACGTGCGAGGGCATCACCGTAGGCCGATTCTACACCGGCCGCAGCTGGCCAGGGGTGGGCTCCATCTACGAAGGTGAACTCGTACTCGGGGCCGAGTTGGTAGCGCAAAGGCGAGGTCTGAAGCTCGAGAATCTGCAGCCAATGTAAGATTTGTGAAAGATACCTTTGACGGAGAGAGGGCCGGCAGGCAGAGTAGGGCAATGCAGCCCAGCACACATCCGTAACCGCAAAAATCGAGAGGTATTGAAGTAAGCAAATCCAGAACGCACCTCGCTATTGGTACCGATCCCATGAAGAGACAAGATCCGGTAAGTGGCTTTCTTCTCCCCAGGAATCATTGTTGGTAGTGGAATGAGGGTGCATCAATGACAATGCTGTCCCACTGGACTTGACTACAGACAAATCTATGTTATTCAACTCAATGGAACCCATCAATGCGCGTGTCATGAAATATTTTATCTACTGTCGTTGCATGAAGGGTTGCCTTGGCTTGACGTGGGTGATATTACTGGGCTCTTCAGTGCAGTGACCACTCCGTTTCCATGGTGCATGATGTAAGATCACCAACTGTCAAGACCGAAGGATTCCACCGGTGGCTTGCATAAATCGCCGAGCAGACGGCCGCATTCTGCCATCGTTCTGGCATTGGAACACCATCAGCCGGCGCTGGGATTTTTGGCGTTGTGTCGATGTCAGTCACGCCCCACGGCTTATGTATCATCTCAAACCGCTTCTCAGAGCTGAACCGCATGCACACACCCTTCCACATCGAATATCGTGCCGTAAGCATGCATATCGCACATGCCAAATCAGGGAGGGATCTCCTTTTGCTCGCCAATCGAGACATACCCCACAAAACTACCTCCCTTGGTAGGATGGCCCGGCTTCCACGTATTTGCTCTCTCTCCAGCTTGTGTTTCATTGAGTAAGATCACCAAGCATGTACCTCCTGGCAAGGCAAACTTGTAGCTTGGACCCTCAGTACTCTGTATATAGTAATCGATGCTCTGGATCACGTCCTCCACTCTGTTCAATCAATGCTACACTACGAGTGTGTTGATTTTAACTTTATCTTAGTGTGGACGGTTTGAGTATGGACCGCCAATTGTATTCTTCAAAAATGTGTGATCTGATCACGTGTTGCCTGATCTTGGGACATCCCCTTGTTTAAGGCGAAAACAAAAACTAAATAAAAAATGCTGCACTACAGGACACAGACAGACGAAAAAAACCACACAGGTTCCAGAGCCCTAGAAGTGATGTTACCCAGCGCATCAGCGCTGTGTGCTTGAGACTTCAAACTCTCTCCGCATCTGGGGAGGTGCCATTGCGGAGTGGTTGGCTTGCCTGTCTTGATTCTGAGCCATCACATCCGACTCAATCCGCACGTAGTGTGAACTATGATGCATCGACATATTCTGCATTGAGATCTGCGAAGTCTGCCACTCATTTTCCTTGCTACCCTTGGCCGACTTGAACCCTGAAATGGCAGAGCGGTCGCGGCCACTCGAGAATCCCGATGAACCGAGCAGGCTTGTCGAGACCTTCTTGGCATGCTTTTTCCCGTTCTGGGCGAATAGGCTGTAGACGGTCGGGAGGCATGCGCAGATAATCGAGGTGTTTGTCTCTACGTTGGTCCAAATTCCAGGGACGGCGAACGTGTCTGTGGTTACGAACGATCATCAGCAGCTGTTGGGTTGCAGGAAGCATTTGTGCAGCAAGAGACTTACACGTGAGGTCCGCAACATCGATGGTGAGCATATATACGATTCGTACTATGCTTGCGACTACCACACTACGATGGAAATAGTCAGTCAGCCTTGCGTCTTGACACTTCTTGGATCATTCCACTTACAATCCGCCCAGTAGGAAAACCAACGAGAGGAGGATTTTCTTCCGGCTCGACAGCTGTAGCCGCCACACTCGCGCCTGCGGGATGGCGAGTATGATTAGATCCAGGACAATATTGATCACCCCGCTCGCGCACCAAAATGGCTTCTGGTTGATACTGGTTGACGGTATTGTGAGTGTCCATTGTGCGTGGATCGGGTTGTAGGCAAAGATGAGGCCGCAGACTGCCGAGAGAAAGTGACCAAAGCAGACGGCGCCAATAATGCGCAGCTGGAGCTTTTGCATTTTCTCGATGCTGAAGATCCGGTTGTAGAAGAACAGCACAGACGCCTTGGAGAGAAAGATGCTTGCATTGTAGATGGTATTATTCGCGAGAGCGATCTGGGGAACCACCGTGGCCTGATGTTAGCCAAAGAACCTTGAGCAGTGCCGCACAGGATTCTGCCTATATACCTTCATGTAAGTCTCAAGCTCAGGGATGGTATAGCCTGTGATATGATAGCCAGCGTGGGCGAGTGTAGCGACCAAGACCGTGGTAGCTAGGAAGCCATATGCAAAAACGAGAGCTCCCAGGATACACCAATCGTCCCAGCCATACTCGGTCGAGTGCCGCTGGATAAAACGAAGAAGGACACACAATGTAGACACGCCGGTCATGACTGACGCTTCAATAATGAAGGTCACGTATAGTGGACTAATGCCATCAGGATGCGGAACGAAGTCGGCGGAGCTCATGTTGAAAACAAAGATTGACAGCTAGACAAAGCACGATATCTGGCGAGATAGCCACAGAGAATCACAAGTCGTTCGGATGCAAGCCTGGCTTGGCTGAACAAGTTGTCTACTATGTACTCGTGAGTAGAAATATCAGAGACATGATATTGTGGAATGGGCGACGAAGGTGCCGATCCTTCAATGGACCGACTCCACGCAATCAGCAATATTACGTTTAAAGACATCGGATGCTGATGGGGGTTCGTATTCTAATTCTCTTGCATCCACCACCTTGCTGCCGAGCATGATCTGGTGTTGGTTGGGCGGACACCCCGATGTCACCCTACCAGCAATCTGCAGCCTCGCATTGATTGTGCCTCCTGCAGGGTGACCAGCTGATGGGGTAAGCAGCCAACCAACCAACATATGTAACCTCCGTGAGGCAGCAAGGAGTGCGCCTCGGCCCTTTATGTTGGTTGGCCCTCTTCTGCATATCACAACACACAGGCAGACACTTGACGCTCCCCCTCCCCCGTGCATCAATTATTTCTCCCCCATCTCTCTCCTTCTTCTTGATTTCCTTTTATTCATTTTCCCTTGGATTAGAGAAACCAGCCCAAGCCCGTCTCACGCAAAGGATCGCCACCAGGGCATCAATTCCCCAAGTTTCTACCCTACATACCTTCAAGCTCACCCTTAAAGTAAGAAAAATGTCAGCCACCAGCAAACCAACTCTTCTCCTCGTCCATGGCGGCTGGCATGTCCCGGCCAGCTACGCGAAGCTTGCAGCCGCGTTGCGAGGTGCCGGCTTTGAGGTGCACATCCCACGCCACCCTTCCACCAACGGGAGCCGCCCCCCAAATGCCAACCTGGCAACCGACTCGGATCAGATCCGGGCCTACGCCACCAGTCTCGTAGAGGCTGGCCGAGATGTAGCCGTGCTGATGCACAGCTACGGAGGCCAGGTCGGCACAAACTCCCTGCACGGCCTGAGCGCCGCTGCAAGAGCCGCCAACGGCCTTGACGGCGGCGTCACGCACCTCATCTACATGGCCTCCTTTGCCCTCCCCGAGGGGAAGAGCATGACCGACAAGGTCGATGAGTTTGGCCACATGGACCGCATGCCCGTCGCCTTTGACTTCGCCGAGGATGACAGCTGCACGCCCAACTACGCGCGGGAAGGCCTTGTTGGCGAGCCCTTTGTGGAATCTGTTGATGCCCAGGAGCTCAAGGCTTACTTTGATACGCTTGTCCGCTGGAACGGAAAGTGCATGTACGAGCCGCTCACCAATACGCCAGCTTGGCGCGATGATGTGAAGGTGTTCTTCATCTACACAAAGGGCGATCTCACTGTCCCAGTTGACTACCAGAAGAACATGGCTGAGCATCTTGAGAAGGAGGGCAAGACAGTGCAGACGGTGGAGATAGAGACGGGACATTGCCCCAACCTAACCGCGGTGGATGAAGTGGTCCAGGCTGTCCAAAAGTTTGCATCTCAGTAAGCTGCCCAGGCCGATTTCAGGGTAGCGACTAGATGGGTCAGTTAGTCTTTCTTGCTAAATTAAACGACGATGAATTATCTGCATGTTCACTTGAATCAAGACGTGACTTCCTTTTCTGGGAACGATGAGATCCTTCAAAATCTTAAAATACGTGCTCTCTAAAAAGCTTGCAAAACTCCACGGGCAACGGCACTTTGTGCACATTGTCTTAAAATCAGGCGATGAAGCTCACTCATTCCAGTATAAAAGTCTCTTAATTCTTAGCCACTATACCTGGCATTCACCGTAGGCTAGCTTTCAGTCGCTATTTTTAACCCCCTCGATCACGACCTCTCTGGCTTCCTGCCGACCACTGTCCATCTTGTGAAAGCCCAGCATGCCCCGGCCCGAGTCTCTTCGGCGACTTTTGGCATGAGTTCTTGCAACTGCTGCGCAACACGGGCGTTGTCAGACTTTCGAGCGACCAGCTCGTGAATCATCAACGCACACTCGTGCATCTGAAGTGCCATGGCGGGCGCTGCCTCCTTGACGTCGGTCTCAACCACGACGAGCCCCGCCTCCCCAAAGAGCTTGGGCAGCTGCGGCACCCAAGTTGGGCTCAAGCGTTGGTCCTGTGGCTGGGAGAGCTGCATTAGCTGTTTCAGGGCCGATATGGAATTCCCAGCTTGGGTGGTGTCGATGCGCCAGGAGAGCATATCTGGCTCCCCCCACTGCAGGTAACCACCAGGCTCTGTGTTGCCGAGTATTAGACATGTCTTGCCACGATGGAGCCCGGGGCAATGAGGCCAACGGCACCACATAATGCGAGGGGGAGGGGGTGTACTCACTGATGAGCCTGACTAGATTATTCAGAACCTGGGGGGTCTCGCTGTCAAGGAGTACAAATAGAAAATTGCGTATGTGCACAATGTCGTAGTACCCCACCAACTCCTCGGGGACCTCGTCCTTGATGTTCCAGTGGCGAAGAGTTATATTCGGAGGCAACCACTCCACGGGGGGCGTGGCATGGAACGAGATGTCCAAGCCATCAAGCTCAACGGTCGAGGGCAAACGCGAGCTGAGGTCAGTAAGCCAGGTTCTAGCACCAGGCTCCGGTGAGTATGTCTTGCAGGTGATACCGAGTCTTCCCATCATTGCAGGATTCACTCACCCTGTGCCAGTGCCCACGTCCGCTATCTTGAGCTTCGCGTCGTCAGTTGGTATACTTGGGTGGGTATGATAGCCGAAGATGGAAACCCAGATATGATGCTGCAAATTTATCCTATCCCGGGCAGATTTCATTAGGAAATACCAACTGAAATGGGCAAACGGGCAACGTACCTGTTGTTGTCGAGATAGTCGCGCGTGAACACGTAGTCGGGTGCTGATGCCATGACTGCGATGTATATCCAGACCAGTCGGGTCTGCTTTGTGAATGTGAATCCTTGCCCTTTTGTTTTTCTCTTTAGGAGGAAGAGACTAGGCTAGAGACAAGCGAGCAAGATATACTTCGGTAGTACATGTTGGTTCACGTCCAGAATAGCCCCGCGAAGGATTGAACTTGCGTTGTTGGTTGCCTTTTTGTTGGTTGTTCCATTCTGACACTCGAAGGCATTAAGCGCCCCAGCGTAAGCACTCTTCCACTTTGGCATCTTCAGGCAGACATGGGAACTCTGCCTCGGCCAATCGGCGGCTGGTAGTTTTCAATCAACTGCACCATTTGCTGCGGTAAGCTCCTGTCCGACGGGTCTTGGGGGGCTCATCTGCATGTACATCCACCCTACCTGAGATCGGAGGACTTTTGCTTGCATACAACATGACTAGAATCTGTGGGGTGGGAGATGGATGGGATCTGCAATACACATAATATACCGTGACATGGCTTCCTGAACAGGGATTACGATACGCAGGCAACGGACACAGTACAGCGCCTCGCCAACAATCGAAGCGACATGGTGACTTTTGCCATGGATGCGCCCGATTTGGCCCCGAATCCGAGAAGTACGTTGGGAGCCAGCCCCTTTGTCTCAAGGGAGGAAATTGGGGTGAGCCGTTTGGAGTTGTCAGGGTGTGTTGTTCATCCCCAGTGCAGGTTCGATATCAGCTCATACGGCATGCAAAATGCCTTATACGTAGAGCTTGCTGGTGTTGGTGAGTATATGTCCCAGACGCCGCCCACTCCGTGCTATACTTAGAGAGAAAGTTGGAAGCTAAAATCTGCCCTGAATTGTCTACAGATTGAGTCGTTTGTGTTCTACCACAGAGTAGTTTCTGCTGTTCTGCGAGTCCAAACCACCAACTATTTCACAGCCATGGATAATCTCAACCTGGAACTTACCGCGGCAGCCGGCTTAGGCTTCCTCGCCCATTGGGCGTACTTTATACATGGGGAGAGAGATTTACAAGCTGCAAATATTGCCCGAGTGCATCTACTTTTTGCATTTATAATCCCGTATATCATGAACTCTTTCTTGAAGATTCCAATCAAAGAGGCAATCTATGAGAGCATCAAGATTGACGCTGCCTATGCGGCTGCCCTTTTCAGCAGCATCATCACCTATCGTTTACTCTTCTCTCCTCTCAGGAACATCCCGGGTCCATTGGGCATGAAACTGAGCAAGCTCACGCATGTTGTGGATCAAGCCTATTACCGCAATTGTGAAAGGTTGCACGAGCTTCAGAAGAAGTACGGCGACGTTGTTCGGACTGGTAGGAAAGACCTTTCTTTCTGGAGAATCCCCTCACTCACAACTGGCAGGACCTAATGAGGTGACGCTTTTCGGCTGGCATGCGTATCAGATGGTCCATGGCTCCGACTCAACTTGCGGTCGTTCAGCATACTACGACATCCTGCACCCTATGGTCTCTCTCGATACGGTGCGAGATCCATTGATCCACGCCCATCGGCGGAAGGTCTGGGATTTCGCCTTCAGCATCCGATGTGAGCTTTCCTCTCGTTATGCATCTCCCTTTCTTTTTTTGAATAGCCAAACTCACCAGCATAGCCATGGAAAATGTTGAGCCTCTCATTTATGAGCATACCGATAAGCTCATGGCGCAGCTCCATCGACGCAAGGGATCAAGCCTGAACATCTGCCAATGGCTTGAGTATTACACCTTTGACGCAATGGGCAAGTTCGGACTCTCGGTTGATTTCGATAATCTCTCGGGAGAAGAACATCCCATCATGTCGCTGTACCACATCGCCCATCGGCGACTGGGCCCCCTTGCTGCCGCGCCATGGGTCAAGCATCTTCTGATGGGCATTCCATTCATCGAACGCATGAAGTATTACCGCATGTTCTTCAAGTGGGCCCATGAAGAGCTAGACAAGAATATCGAGGCAAGCATACAAAATGAGAAGGCATTTGCAATGGCTGTGGCTAACCCAGGTGGTCAATATAGGCAAACAGCAAAGAGGAGCGTGCTGATGTTATCGGCTACGTGATTCGCGACGCCATCCAGAACGGAGGAGTCCAAAAGAACTGGAACTTTGTTCTCGGTGATTTCATCCTCGTCATCGTCGCGGGGAGTGACCCTGTCCGCCAGGTGCTTGCCAACATTCTGTACTACCTCATCCTTAATCCTCATCACCTTGTGCAGCTCCGCCAAGAGCTGGGCCAGATCAGCCTACGCGACTACAGGGCTCTTCATAAGGCCTCTCACTTCAACGCCTGCCTCTATGAGACCATGCGCTTGAACCCGCCTGTCCCTTCGTCCGGCTTGCGCATGGCACCCAAAGGCGGGTTGAACTTCCAGGGAGTACACATTGCCGAGGGAACAACAATCTGCACCCCGCAACACAGCATGCTCAGAGGTAAGTGGTTCCTTTCGTGTTCCGTGGCCGTGGCCGTGGTTTTCTGACAGGCGTAGACGAGCGCAACTACGTTGATGCTGAGAAATGGAATCCCGACCGCTTCAACACGAAGCCGGAGCTCATCTTAAACAAGCAAGCCTTTACCCCGTGGAGTATCGGTGAGTCTGTGAATCTCTCGCGTTTTATGATTGATTTTATGACTGATACTATGTAGGGAAAATGTCCTGCCTTGGCAAGAACCTAAGCCTGATGGAAATCCGGGTGGCTGCGGCCCAGCTGATCATGGAATTTGACTTTGAGTTCGCCCCTGGCGAGGACGGCACGAAGATGTTTACTGAGGCCATTGACTATTTCACCACAACCCCTGGGCCCCTTAATCTTGTCTTTAAATCGAGGGCTGCATCATAGTTTGGCTATCAAGATGACTAGTATAGGCTGCTACGTACATCACGATAAATCCCAAGAAATGGCGGGAGAAGATCTAGGCTTCCTTGCATGAGCTGTTGCAATGGGCCAGTTGCCCCGTATATCCTACGACAGGGACTAGCACATTAATTTGTGTAGCCCGCTTGAAAGCTTCATGCTTTCTATATAGTCTAGGTAGCCTGGAAGATGGCGTGCTGCCCAGTACTGTTCATCAATAACCTGAAACTCAATGCTACCATGCTTAACACCCAGTTGATCCATAAGGAAATCTATTTCAATATCCCACAGGTAATAATCACCAACAACACATATATAGTGCAGTCGTGGCAAACTTGATGAGCACTGTCTAGTAAACGCATGGATTACTGTAGTGATGTAATGCTCTGGACGCGACTCATCCATGCTCATGTTCTTGAACTCTTGATTTGAGACTGCTTCTGGATAAGACATCCAGAAAACCGCATCTTTTTGGGTAAGCATCGTGGGTGTCAGGCAGTGCGTTTCAAGCCTGTCCGGGATATAGCGCTCCATAGGCTGAGGGTCAGGCCCGACGCCAGTCAGAGACACCAATAGCACATCAAGATGGGTCAGTCGTTGGAAATCGCGAAGGCCGTTCCACGATCCCACGGTAGCTATTCCTGGGCCGGCAGCCTGTAGCACCTCCTCATCTTGCCGAAAACGCAGGGTCTCTAGCGTGCCTTTCACTGGTAATAAAGCTGTAACGATCCGATCATAGTCTAGAATAGAATCAGATCCTGTAGTAGCGTCCTCTCGATACTGCCAAATCCAGGAGAGTGTCCTCAAGTTCCGTGTGCAGGTGAGGATTTTAGCTAAACAACGTGGATAGACCCAGTCGACCTCAAGCGAAGTCAGATGGTCAAGGTTAGGCTCATCAAATGGCCAGTAGAATACTTCTGGATTTGGCAGACTGTGACACTTGGAAGGCAAAGCAGAGATATAGCCTCGATGAAATACTCATCATCATCATATTCTTCAAAGGGATCGTCTCTCTGCTTACAATAAACCAAGTGGCTCAGCTGCTCAAACTTAGGCAGCCTGCCAAAAGTTGTAAACTGAGGTAATTGACCAAGGATTTTAGACTGTAGAACTCGAGGGACGATTTCACACTCATGAATGAAGTTGTGGGTGATGGCGAGGAATACAGTCTTGGAGAGATTGACGATTAAAAGGCCAGCAAGTGCATCTATACTGCCTGACCTTAACTGATCAATCCACAAGCTGATATAAGGGACCTGGGTCTGCTTGATCGCAGCTTGGAATTGATCTAGGGGTATTGTAGTCGTATCCAGAAGAGGACGTGTTACCCCAGCTCCAAAGTCAGTTCCACACAGAGTTATCGAGTCTATGTAGACGAACAGCTCTGGTCTCTCCAGGAGGGTGCGGAGGAGCGGGATAACTGGAGGTATTTCACGGTGATACCAGTGCAGAAAAATCGTAGAATAAAGAAAGGGCTCAGTAGAGTGGCGCAGGGAGTTATTAACCCGGCAGAGCTTTGCAAGATCAGATCGTGGGACGAAGCCCAATATGTGATCGATAATTTCGTTGGGGAGGCTGGGAAGCCGCATCATGATGTTGTTGCGGATGTATGACGGGATTGAGATGGCAAGATGTTTTCAAGTAAACCTGAGAGGTAGAGGATTAGTGGCATTGGATCGGCTGCATCGAATATAAATGAAGGAATAATTAAATGGCCGGGCAAGTTTGACATGTGCAAAGGGGACACTTGGCTGGTCTCACTGTGCCCCTCCTTCTCCGTAAGATGAGTCTGATTGTGCCCTCCTCCGTAAGATGATCAGAAGAGAAGTCTTGATCCAGCCGATTAGTTTCCTAGATTGCTTGACCTCTTCCTTCAACACAAGCTAATGATATAGTATGCATTAGACATACACCTGTCACATACGACCATACCTATTCGAGAACACGCGATCCCGTCCGCTCTCGCCTAGTTAAACGGATAAGGGGCCGATTAGTAGTTGGGTCGGTGACGACCAGCGAATACCGGCTGTTGTATGTTTTTAATTTTACTTTTTGCTTTTTATTCTCCTTTTGGTGCTGGATCTTTGAGAGTATCTTGGTTTCTATGGATGTTGTCAAAGTTACCTGCCTTAGTAATACAAGTGAGGTCGTGATTGGCCAATTACACTTTAAAAGCTACTAGCTTGCACAAATCGAAAACATCTGGCATAACTACCGGCAGCTCCAATATACAAGGATTATTCAGGATGCAATAGTGTGTTATTTGCTTATTATGAGTTATTCTTGCCAGTCGAAGAAAGAACCCAGATCTGCCACATGCATATCCGAGGCCGAACGTGGCGTAGTGATGTGTCACTCACTTATAGATGCTTTTGCTCTCTCTGAAGTTGCTGACATCATGGACTCGTTTCCAGCCTCTTCACTAGTTCTCTGTACATACTCGCTCCCCGCAATGTGAAAAGTCTAAGACTTGTAGACCGATCAATGCTCCCCAAGTCTTTGTTAAATAAATCCTTGCGGCATATGCAGTGCACCTGAAGGAAAACTTGCATTGGGGAACCCTCACTCAGATCCAATGGCCAAGACTCGAGTCATCTACTGGTTCCGCACCGACTTGCGACTTCATGATTCGCCAGCCCTCAAAGCCGCCTTGGATCTGAATCCCACCGCATTCTGGCCTATATTCACCTGGGATCCGCACTATGTATACCGGGCAAGAGGAGGCCTCAACAGATGGCAGTTTTTGTGAGTTGCGCATATATCGTTATATCATCCTTGTGAATGGTTATTGACCTAAATCTGCATATCAAAGACTGGACTGTCAAAATGATCTATCCAAGTCCATAAGCAAACTGAACCCTAAGCTGAAGCTCTTCGTTTTGAGGGAAGCACCCCAGTCCTTGTTCCCAAAGCTCTTCAAGGCTTGGGAGGTCACGCATCTTGTCTTCGAAAAAGACACAGATTCCTATGGCCGCGAGAGAGACCAGGTGGTCATGGAGGCGGCCAAAAAGGCCGGTGTCGTCGTCATTGTCAAATCGGGGAGAACATTGTGGGACAGTGACGAGGTTGTCAAGAAGAATGGAGGCGAGCCCACAATGTCGATGGCTGCACTGCGCGCGGCAGGGGGCAAAGTGGGAAAGATTCCCAGGCCAATTCCAGCTCCAAAGCATCTGCCGGACCCTGGCGAAATGCCGGTTGACTTTGAGCAAGACCAGCCTGAGACCGCCCCGGATTTGAATGCCTCTCGCCGGACGGAGAAGGACACTGGCTACAAGAGCATCGCCGGCCCCTCGGGGGATTTCGCTATTGAGACAATGGAGGAGCTAGGATTTCCCTCCGCAACAACGCCTCACCGTGGTGGAGAGTCCATTGCTCTCGAGCGACTTGACAAGATCATCCAGGATACCAAGTACACGGCGACCTTTGAGAAACCCAACACCAGCCCGGCCCAGTTCGACCCTCCCGCGACGACATTCCTTTCCCCTTTTCTTCATTTCGGGGCTCTCTCGGTTCGCGAATTCTATTGGAGAGTCCAGGACGTGGTCGATGCCTACGGGAAAGGCGCCTCCTCGCCCCCAACGAGCTTGACGGGCCAGCTCCTCTTCCGGGACATGTACTTCGCTGCCCAGGCTGCCCTCGGCCCAGTCTTCCATCAGACAGCCAATAACCCATCCTGCAGATTCATTCCCTGGCATCTGCCTTCCAAAACCGACCCTTCCACCGGCATCGTAACTGGAGAGTATCACGTAGACAGCGACACGGCAGAGACCTGGTTCCAGCGCTGGAAGCACGGCGTCACAGGGTTTCCCTGGATCGACGCCCTGATGCGGCAGCTCAAGCAAGACGGCTGGATGCACCATCTCGGCCGGCACAGCGTCGCCTGCTTCCTCACCCGCGGCGGCTGCTACATAGACTGGGAGCGCGGGGCCGAAGTTTTCGAGGAGTGGTTGCTCGACCACGAGCCGGCCTGCAACGCCGGGAACTGGCAGTGGCTGTCATGCACCGCCTTCTTTGCGCAGTTCTTCCGCTGCTACAGCCCCGTGGCCTTTGGCAAGAAGTGGGACAAGGAGGGGGCCCTGATACGCAAGTTTGTTCCTGAGCTCAAGGACCTGGACGCCAAGTATATCTACGAGCCGTGGAAGGCCCCCCTCCCAGACTTGAAGAAGGCAGGTATTCGTCTCAAGGGCAATGGCTTAGATGGTAAAGAGGACGGGACGTATCCGAAGCCCATGTTCGACTTTAATGAACGGCGGCAGATATGCATCGATGCTATGAAGAAGGCCTACGATGTTGGCCTCCATGGGGCAGACAAGCAGGTGTTGGATGGGAGCTGGAGAGAACTCTTCCCGGATTCAGATACATCCGAGGTTCGCGGCGAGCTCGACACCGACGGTGAAGATGGTGAAGATAAAAAGGGTCGGGAGTCTCACGCGGGTGAGAAGCGTGCTAAGCCCAAGAATACCATAGCTGCTGCGTTCAAGAAGCAGAAGAAGTGAGGAAATCTCAAAGCAAGAGTAATCAACACTTCTTCCCCATCCAACTCCTACGCCAAAGTGGGACTTCTCAGGATGTCGCTCTTAACATTGCGCCGTTTTTGAATACTGAAGTTAACGCACAGCCAATTTGGTGGAAGCTGGTTGCGACCGCCATGTTCACCCTTTTATTTTGTCGCAACACATCCTTAGATTTAAGGTGTAGCCCTTTATAATTTGAACTACTTTATAAATTGATGCTTAGATTCAAGACTCTCGTCCCCCAATGGCAGGTCTTTTAGTTACGTATTGCTTACTGGGTTACTTTTGTCCAAAGTAAGCATATTCTCCATCTTTGAAGTTACACAGCGATGTAGAGTATGGCTGACTTCTGAATGTTGGTCCACCTATATTAACCAGCCATCCCACTCGTATCTTAGAGGGTAAGAAGCAACGACACATAAATTCTCCAAACTTCGACAGATCCAAGTTACACATTCTCTAGCCTCAATTTCAGACTAATATCCTCCAATATGCTCAACGCGACAGGAAACTCCATCGAAGCGTGCCTGGAGCTTATTGAGAGAGGAATTCCTTGCGAGTTCCCAGACGCTAATCGGACATATGTTGTGGAACCCCATCCTAACTCGTCGAGTATCGATCTGTCTCCCTCTGGGGCCAGTACCAGGTCCCCGGCCGGCAGAAATGGATCCATCTCAGGACTGGTGCTCTCCGGAGTGTATTGGGACGACTCGCTTCAAGCGGAATAGGAAGTTATGAAGAATATGATGTCGTGTATAAGTTCATGGCTTGTAGGTCACCTCCAACTGCTACTATGGGAGTTGATCTGCTACTATGGGAGTTGATCTAACACGTACTACTCCCTCTCTATAGACAAGGTTTCTGGCTCAACAACTCGAATATCAAATCTTCGTTAACGTACCCAAAGCGTCGAGATGAGCAGCGTTTCCCTGAGCTTTTCACATGAGCAGACCGAGGCTTGACAGCAGGAGGATCAGTTGTTGGTGGTTGAAGCATCCAAGCATCATCACCTCGTTCGAACCATCTCAGACAGACTTATGGATAATATTTCAATCAAACAATTTCAAAACTTGCCACTGCCAATTTCGCCCTAGCTACTCTTACTCGTCTGTTTAACGTTTGGAACGTTTGAAACATTCGGGAAACAGACTCAAGCGCCCGAGAGCCGACTAGAAGGTAACGTAGGTCATACTCAAGCAAAGCGAAGGGTCTTCACATCCTAAACAATGAGGTCTTTGTAAAAGCCAGCCCCACCACTTTTGTTCTCTTACAAAGCTCTACTGTGCAGAGTGACCTTGGGTGAACTAGCAAGACGGTAGACTTGATTGTAGAAACATTGCCATTAACTTCAGCACAGAGTATGTCAGAAACATTCTCCGTGGCAAATTGGCCGTGGCTCCCTAGGTTAGGGTTCTGCATGCTACTACAATCGCTTTCTTTGACGAGCAGATAGAAGGAATTAAGATTTCCACGATTTGGATTCATGGGTGTCCCAAAAGCCTTGGGCCGTAAAGCTCCTCAGCTACAGGAATATGAATTTGCCCCAAAAAGATGACTCAAGCAGTTTTCAAATAACTGATATACCAACTAGCCCGCACCATAGGAGAAAGTAGAAGCCTCCCAAGCTAAACCCCCAAGTATTTCATCCTTAGTTTAATGTCAATTCATGAGAATTGTCAAAACATCTTAGCCCCCCTTCAAAACATTCGACGCAAATGCAAAATTGTCCAGCCCAACATATGGTACAAAAGTAGAGCGGCGTACCCCGCAACACCGAGCCTATACAGCAATCACAATAGCCTCTTGATTTGCTCAAGGGAGGCGGGTCACTTGAGATGTCTCTCGCGCCATCCTCACTGCGGCAGCTTTTGATATCAGCACCATGGTCCATCAGGAGCTGCGTGATCCGTGGAGACCTGATATGATGTGCCCACCAAACAAAATCTCGCCCGAGGCCGTCCTTCCAATTCTTCCATCCCGGAGTTTTCGGTAACAAGAGCTGTACAACCTCGCTATGGCCGTTGCGCAAAGCATAAAATAAAGGTAGCAGGCCAAGCCCATCCGATATGTCTGCCCTAGCGTTGTTGCAGATCAATGCCTTGACAACATCAATCTGGCCACGACGCGCTGCATCGGACAACGACGGACGGCCGAAGAGGTTAAGCGTGTCTGGGTGAACCCCAGGCTGCCCAAGTAAAAAGCCCACTACCTTGAAATTACCGCTGTGACATGCTGCGTGCAAGGGCGTAGTCCATGTCTTGTCTCCTGTGTTTATACTTGCCCCCTTCTCAAGAAGTAGCCTGACCATCTCCAGGTGGCCTCGAGCTGCGGCGAAAAGAAGCGGAGTCCTTCCATCATTATCTGAAAAATTGAGGTCTGCCCCTTTCTCAACAAGCAGCTTGACCATCTCCAAGTGGCCTTGGCTTGCAGCGAGAAGGAGCGGGGTCCTTCCAGATGTCTTCTCCGCAACGGCAAGATCTGCCCCTTTCCCAAGAAGTAGCTTAGCCACTTCCAAATGGCCTTTTACTGCAGCAATATTAATCGGAGCCCATCCATGTTTCTCGACAATATTGAGATCTGCCCCTCTCTCAAGAAGAGAATTAGCTACCTCCAAGTGGCCTTCACGCACAGCGGTATGAAGCGGAGTATTTCCACCTTTGTTTTGGCATGATGGCCTCGCTCCCTTTCCTAAAAGGAGCAAGCAAACTTCTAGGTAGCCTTCACTTGCAGTGATGTGAAGTGGAGTATTCCCCTCTTCGGTTTGACATGATGGATTGGCCTCCTTGCCTAAAAGGAGCTCGCAAAGTTCCAGATGGCCAAATGACGCGGCTGTATGCAGCGGAGTCCAACCTTGGTCGTCTACGAAAGCAATCAGAGTTGGTTCTTCCTCGAGTAAAAGTTGAGCCAATTCCAGATGTCCGGCATACAGAGCTGAGATCAGTGGGCTATCTCCGACACCATCCCGGGTGAGGATAAGATCCTTTTCGCCCTGATCAGCAGGTGGGTAATTTCCGAGTGGCCCCTTCGTGCCGCTGCATGAAGGAGGCTTTCACTACTCCTTGGTCGAAGTAACAAGTCTGCCCCTTCCTTAATGAGAAGCTCCGTCATTTTGGAATAACCACCATCGACAGCTTTGTACACTGGTGTCTTTCTGGCCTCATCAAAGCAGTCAACTTGTGCTCCTTTGTTCAGCAAGAGCTTGGCCACTTCCAGATGGCCTCCAGAGGCGGCGGCATGAAGCGCGGAGCTCTTCTCATCGCTGCCATGGCTGAGAGGTCAGCCCCTTTGTCAATAAGTAACTCTGTGATGGGTACATTGCCGTTCATGCAAGCGAAGAACAAGGGTGAGTGTCCGCCATTACTAGACGCAGTGATGCCAGCCCCAGAGTCGACCAGCAGCTGGGCGACTTGAAGGTGACCTTCTTGAACGGCCGCCAGTAGGGGTGTATTACCCAACTTGTCTGGTAAAGAGATATCAGCCCTATGGCCAACTAGCAACTTGGCCAGCTCTAGGTGGCCATGAGACGAGGCCCAGATCAGTGGGGTTCGTCCGATTTCCTCGATATCTCTAATGTCAACATCAGCGCCCGCCTCCAAGAGAACCCGAGCCACATCCATATATCCTTGATCTACCGCAATGCACAGGGGCATAAAGCCCCCCAGGCTTGGTAAGGGTATGTCTGCGCCAGAAGAGAGGAGACGGCTGACAACCTCAACTTGACCAGTACGGCAACTTGCCGTGAGAGGCGTTTCTCCGTGGTATCCTCTTCCGTTGATCTCTAGGTTCCCTGCCATTAGAAGATCTTCTGTGGCATTTATAAGTCGCATGGATATAGCATAAGGCAATCGATTTCCCTGTTCGTCTTCATCAGGGACTTGCGACAATACACCACGGTTATACGCTTGTGTATTGATCCACCGTCTCCATTCATCAAAGGATCCAGTTGTATCGCTGAAAAACTGGTTGATCAAGATGATAACCTCAGCATTCTCTGATCCACGGTTTGCATGTGTGTGTACCAGCTTTCTGCGGCATAATCGAGGAAAGCTGTTTCAAATCCATGCGCTTCCTTTGGCAGAGCATTCATTTTCCATAACTGGGGATGAAAGATATATTGAAGGCAAGCTTCAGCAAGAGCGCTATGCTGACGTTTCTCGTATGGTGCAGAAATTGCCGAATTGCGTTTAAGTGAAACGTCAGAAATCAGAAATCTTGCGATAATGAACTCCTTGACAGAGAAGTGAGTTATATGCACCATCATAGAGCGTATGTCTTGTGTATTCTCTGTTCCCTTCGTACTCTTGTCGCCGGTTGTGATTTCAAGAAGTGAGCCACTGTGGGCTTTGATATTCTCTATAAGATGTAGCCCGTCATCAAAATCTGGTAGCTCTTCGACTGGCACACCAGGGCATCCGGGGTTGATAAGCACCGCTACAGCGATCTCACTAACTGACAGAGGTCGGATAGAAAATGCAGCCCACTTAAGAAGAGAGAGTGCCCGTTCTGTGTCTACGTCAGGATTCGTACTGATAGACTGCCATTCTCGCTCATATAGTTGTCCAAGGCCAGTCGGAGTATTGCTGATGTCTCTTTGAAGTTGAAATTTATTCGATATCTTTTGCAGCTTCGTTGCTTGCAACCGTACCCAGAGGAATTGCCCATCGCATTGGTCAGCCAATTGTTGCGAAATATCCTCTCTGAGATCTTGGGGCTTGTTTGATAATCTTTCGTTGACGATAGTTCTTGAATAAGAAACGACATCGTCATATACATCCCGAGCTATCACCTGTATTTCATTAAAACCGCGAGTAAGACTATTGTGCAAGCTGTTTCGGATACTCTCATCGTTGCGGCTAAAAAGCATGAAACGACTAGTAGATCTCTCTGTTGTTTCTCCAACGACTTGCAGGAAGGACTTGATCGAGTCATGGCTTTGGTGATGAAGGCCAACCCAAGTACATTCATCAAGGCCGTCCAAAACAAAGGTACAGTTAGGTATTGCTTGTGCTATCTCTTGGAAGAGAGAGATTATAGTCATGCGGCTCGCAGTCTGCTCGTGTTAGGACAGCCGCTTTGCTCGAACAAGGTTGAATGCATCGGCGTCCTGACCTATAACCTGAATGATCCATGATCGGATAGCTAGATAAGGGTCATCCCGACTAGCGTTTTGGGAGGATAGAAAGAAATGAGCAATTGGCGTTTTTAGGGTCTCTGAGAGGTACTCAACTACCCTTGCGCATAACACTGTCTTCCCACAGCCTGCAATGGCATTAACCCACAGCACCGGAGACACGGAAGAATCCCCATTTGGCTTGAGCCAGTCACGAAACTCTTTTCGGTCTAGGATCCAGTTGCAGGTGCCTGGTGCTCGAGTCTCTTTGAGATCTTCATAGGCGTCGCTCGGAACGTCGGCTGCTATCCACATATGCAATTCTCTCCGCGTCTCGGCCTTAATGTCTTGCTCAATTTTCTTTAGCGTGTTTTGGATATCCTTGGTCCACGATTCTGTGCCGGCTATCATATAGTAGGCGTTAGTTGACGCATGTGTCTTGACGTATATACAGGCAATTCAAACCTTGTAGCTTCCGAAAGGCGTCACTGTTCGTTGCACTGATTTCGGCTGCCTTGTTCGAGTCCCCGGTAGGGATGAGCTCGTACAGCTTCCGAACCAAACCATCCAGCGTTTCAACTTCAGAGGCCAGCCTCTCTTTCCCTCTCAACGCCCACGCAAGCTTTTGTCGTTTTGGCGTCAGGGGAGCGGATGGGATAGCCGGGCGTCGAGCCAGGCTGAACGGCTTCGTGACTACCGCGTCTTCTGGATTCCCTAGATCGCTAACTATGTTCCGAATCATGGAAATGATTTTCAGCGACCACAAGACAGACAGACAGGTCATCTAGGCCGGGATGGTGGTGAGCCGAGACCTGTCCTTTCTCGAGGCCAACCGCGCGGCCCCATCGCTCAAGGAGAAGCCTGATGGCATGGAATTGGGTTGCGAGAGCATGCGAGTCATTCCCGAACTCTTTGTTGGCATCGATTCTCGCGACAGTCGCCAGGCAGGCGTTGAAAAGCCCGGCGAGACCGACGACCCCGATGGCCGGACTTTCAGGCTCCATTTTGTGCGGTTTGTGAGAACCACCGTGTCTGCTGATGATCAACATCAGATACGGAAGATCCTATCATCGTAAGCCCCCTTGCGGATGAAACATGTAAGCACATTGTCTTCTGCGCCCGGATTACGTCACTACGATGCGTGAAACCGTTGTTGTGATAACCAACTGTTGAAGGCACAACTTGTTTGGCAAGTGTGCCCTGTGAACCTGACAAATCTGACTTCTTATTTGGTGATGTATGAAAACCCTAGTTTTTTTTAGAAAATGCTTTGTATTGCCATGCCGAAAACAGGGGTTGGCTTGTTCGGCTCGTAAATGGGCCGAGCATTAAGCTTAAAACATCCCGTCACTCATATTCAAATCTCGAAACGATCTTACCTAGTCCATTACAAGGCCAATCTAGCAGACTAGGCCTAGTGTAGCAACAGTAGCTGCGGCAATTGAACTGCTCATCTGTCTAGGGACCTAAGAGGAGGGTAAGAATAGCCTATATCAGAAGGATGTATAGTGGGCACATGGTCTATAGGCAAGCAATGGATAAATGATTCAGATGATTGATTCTTAAATTTCCTCTACTCTACCCATTTTTAGCACACCACGCCGAACACAAAGGTGCATCTCATCATGAAGAAAAGAAAATGACAAAAAATAGCTGCCCCTCTGTCCGACGTCTAGCCAAACAGATTTTAATCGGGGCATAAGAGAATCTTGAAAACCACGCCGTTCTAACTAAACCTCTTCCAGAAGCCTAGGATATGCCGGCTGGGACGAATAAAGTACAATCGAATTGAAACACCCGAGGAGCGGAAAGGAGCTTTGTTCCAGATCGACTGGTTTCGGCCTCGGGGAAAGCCATCTGGGCCCGATCTCCCAATTTGTCGCCTTTAACAAGTTGACAACCTCACCATCCCATATATACACCACGTTGTCCATGCTCCATTTCGTCAAAGCACGCAATCTTATAGATGGCGGTTGCCACGGTGGCCGTGTACGTGCCGGCGGACGTGAGCCGCTTCAGAGCTCTCGGCACTGTGGTCGGCGGTCACAGTCACAGTGTGCCAGACAGTCTGTACGACAACATCAACGGCGGCAATCTTGGGCTGGTCCTGAACGGCGGAGGAAGACTTGACGACCTCGAATGTGGTTGCAGGCTTGGCATCGTTCTGAACAACATTGGTAGGGTAGTAAGGGAAGTCCTGGGAAGAAGACGAAGAAGAGGAAGGAGCAGAGGAAGGAGCCGCAGAAGAGGGGGCTGCTGAGCTAGGAGCCACAGAGGAAGCTGAAGAAGAAGATGATGGGGCTGAAGAGGCAGATGAAGAGGCAGAGGGTGAGCTGCCACCACCGTTCTCAACCTTGTCACCGTACCCAGTGATGGGGTTGTTACCGGGGAGCTTGGAGAAAGGTCCGTCGACGTCCTCATCAACCAGAGTCTTGATAGTGCAAGTGGCGGTGTTCGGGGTGACACCGGGGCAGGTGTGGGTACCCTCATGTCTGACATCGCAGTTGTCGATGATGTTCTGGAGCACGTCCTCATCCCAGCCAGCCATAAAGTCAGCGTGCCAGCCATAGCCAGTCGTATCTCCGTTGGACAGGAGGAAGGGCTGAGGGCCCTTTCCTGAGGAGTGATCCCATCTATCCTGGAATCCCTTGCCCGGAACAATAGATGAGGTCTCGAAGTACACCTCCAGAAGCAAGCGAGGCACGTGAATTTCTCCCTTTGCGCAGTTCAAGTTACCGTTGCCATCCGAGGTAGGGTATGCCATGTTGTTCTTGTAGTCGGTCAAGCCAACATCGGGCTTGTAACAAGAGGGGAAGTGGATGTCACCCCGCAGAGGCGAGGCATAGCCATCGCAGTCCTTGAAGGGGAAGCCAATACCATTGTTTCCCTCACCCATTCCAGCGTTGATCCCATCCGAATCCAATGGCCACGATGGAGGCTCGTATGAGGAACGAGGGCAAGTCCACCTGACGTTACCGACAGGGCCCACACTGGGGTCTAAGTTGGCGGTATAGCCACCCTCGGGGGCGGTGCGGCGGGTAGGATCACCAACGAGGATAGAAAGGCCAGCAGGGAAGGCCTTGATAGTGTCGGTCGTCTTGTCCATGCTACAATGGGGCGGGTCAGTAAGTGCAAATGGGCTCGCGAAAGCGAGTCAAGAGTTTTATCCATCACTTACTGGTAGTACACATTAACATAACTGATGGGCACACTCTCCAACTCCCCAGTTATGGGATCCTTGAAGAACATGGCAGGGAACCAGTAGTTGGACATGTCGCCGGCAACCCTAGCATTGGTGCACTCGGACTTCAAGAGGTCGGCGCCGGTGGATGTCCTGCTGAAACCGCTCCCACCCATGATTTGGTGAATGTGGGAGGCAGTCTGGCCGGGGCTAACAATGGGATCATCGCGTGCCTTGCGGATTTCAGTGCCGGTGAACTGCATGACGGAGAAAGTCAAGGCGTCGTTGTACTTGAAAGCGGCGGCAGAGCCAGCCATGGCCGCCAGAGCGACCATCGAACCGTGCTTCATCTTGGCCGATTGGGACTGGCAGGACTACTATAGTGGATAAGGGCAAAGTTTTCGTATGTAACCAGGGCTACCGATGTCTTGGTTACCAGTGTTCAAGTGTATGTCTGTAAGAACGAAGTTTCGGACTGGCCGTGGGAGGAAAAGAGAGTCAGGAACAGAGGGAACTGTTCGAGGTTAATGAGAGGATATACAGGACAGTGCTCAGCAGCCTGGGAAATTGCAAACAATGGAAGAAAGGGGGAGAATGAAGGCCAAGAAGATCAAACAAACAACAGGTGGAGAAGCAGAAGAAGGAGAAGAGCTTGGGAATGGGCGGCTGATGGGGGCACATATATTAAGACGCAGGTCCTCATCAACAGCCGCGATGCTCAGGCACCGGCGCCCACAAGCGGTCTAGCGGCTGCCAGTTTTAGATCTTTCCAAGAGAAAGGCTGGCCAACAACCAAGCGGAGACAAGATAAAGCCCACAGTAGTGGCAAGGCCTAAACTGCACAAGGATTGGTCTTGGCTGTGGCCAGGGGTCGGGTTTCATGGTGACACATGCTAATACGGTGTTGTAGAATTGGCGGTATTCTCGTCCATGGGCCAGCCACGGGAGGTGGTACACGCCAGGTATTGTGCCCAGTACACTCAGGCACTCTGAGGACCCAAGGACTTGGCAATTAGTGATGGAGGGTAGCCAGTCCCTTGCATACCTCAGATGCTCACGGGGAAACGTGGTTGGTTATGATGTCAGGCACATAAGCCGATCAACAGATGGCGGGATTTAGCATTGGAAAGTAAAATTACTCGCTCGGGTGGCGCCTTGCTGATCGACCTTGGCGCCCTTTGTTTCCCCTGGCGCTCTTGTCATGCGTGCGAGTGTAAGCGTCTTTCTCTTTATCCCTCTTTGTGAAGTTGGATTGTCGTCTTTGTGGTGTGAAAGGACGGGCCCCCAATGGCGATGGATTGCATTGTAGGTGAGAAAGCAGTAGTAAGACGAGTAATATGACACAAGAGGATCCTGCCATCTGGATTTTGGATTCCAGGCCTGCTCCTTCTGCAGCGAGTTGAGGCATGTGCATGTGCGATGTAGGGCAGGCACGGCAAAGTGGAGCGGGTAGTACCTGCCAACAGTGGCAGTGAATTGAAGTGCTAAAATAAAGCCCTCGTCAACACCCTGGCGGGGTGCCTACCTTAATTTGTCACCTAACCTCCTAGGCAGGCCTCCCATGCTTGTGCTGGGAAAATGAAGATTTCCCATCACCATGCTGGCTTGAGAAGGTGAGCCAGAGGGACAGGGCAGGGTTCCACACAGAAAACCCTCATGATCACCACCCGCGGAATTCCGACAGCAAGAGGGTCAATCGTCTCGGTGATGCACCCGATGAACCTACCCGACATGTACAGTGTACCTGCGTGGATGAGGCTGAATGAGAGGGCACACAATCAGCCATAATTGATTTTTCCATGGCATATCCCGTTTGGAGATACTCATGGGCAGGATGAATTACCCCATTAGACAAGTACTTTGTCAATGCTAAAATTGGTCCCGTGCTTATTTAAGGTAAGGTAGGTCCTGAGGTGAGCACTAACCAGCATCTGCACCGATGACTGGTTGCACCTAATCCCGGCGTAATATCTTAATTCTGGCAGATTCTGGCGAGTCCTGTTGGTCCAGTTCCACAAGGTCATACGAATAACCATTAGTCCAGGACAGCGACGGTGACAGCTGGCGACCGAGCCAGCTGGACAACTTGTCAATTGGATTCGGGCCCGATGCGCTCGGCCATGCGACCAACAGCCAAAAGCTCCCAAAATACGCAACAAAGAGGGAAATATTACTGCTGTGCCTGTTCCTGCAGCCGCTGAAACACGCTTAATTCAGTCTTAGCGCCAGGGGAGCAAACCTAATGTCCCTTGCCGCTGATTGGTTCCCATTCTCAGCAATTCCCCACGTCACCAACCACTTCGTGCCGCTGTTCGTCGAAGCGCATTCCATCCATGGTGAACACCGAGAGGGGCCTGGCCACGGCGCTTCGGGGCACCGGGTAACCGCTGGCTCTGGTCACAATCACAATTGCCAGCTGGGTGTGTTGTGTTGTTGGTCATTGGAATCTATTCAGCTGCCCCACAGCCAACCTCACCGCAAGACGAGGCACCAGATCTCTGCGCTGCGATTGCTTTGGGCGCAAAGCGAGAGAGCCCTTGCGGAAGATCGCCAACAACTCCATACCTACTACAACGCGGCATGCGGCCGGAAAGGCTACGCTACCTATTTGGTTCGCGAGCTTTTCGCAACCTAGAGCTCTAGCCCCTCCTACCTCCTCAGTTCACAAGGGCCCATGTCTCTTTTTTCTCTCTTTGTAACTGTCCCTTGCCTGCTTGACGCCGGGGAATTTCAATCGAATTTTCTACATACCTGATTTTGAGATGCTCTGGTACGAGGGTATCGAAACAGGCAACCAGGGTCCCAAGGGTCGCAACATTGCTGTTATTGCTCGGATGGTCACCGTTGGTCAGCAAGGCGGGATTGGCCCAAGTAGGGTTCACTAGGAAATTGCCTGCATTCACGCGGGTACTTCTGAAACCCCAGATAAACTCTCAGCTTTCAGGCACGTCAACGAGGGCTAGAAAGTGGTAAAGTCTAGCTCCCGCCACATGTGCGCCCACGGTTACGCTGCCCCTGTTTTGGCAAGGCAATTCTCGTGGCAGCTGATGGTTTGTTGGACAGAACGGCCACATGACTGTCAATGCCTCAAGCGGTATAATCAATCGAGAGTGGGAATACTGCAGGTCCCTGACACGTGTAGTACCAGTCCAGTCGAGTTGCCTCCCTATGCCGTTGGCCAGCTTGCCAGCCCACCAACAAGGCTTTTATCAGCTACCACACGACAGCAACGCAGTACCTAATACCAGCAGCCCAGGCTTCCTCAACTGCGGTCAGTTCGCCTCATGGCCGTTGGTAACGAACAGGCACGGTACAAACCTGTTTCAAATCACCGACGTACCGCATAGAGTTCAGCCAGACACCAACGGTTGGTCTCGGCCCTATCATTCCTCGCGATGCTCTGGGCAGCAACCAACTGATGCATGCCGCGAGAGCTGGAACCTGCCACCAAAATTCCTACGGCTGCATCGCATGGCACCCAGCCGAGGGGAAGCACACCGGTTGTTTGCTCAAGACCCTTTTTCTGCGAATGGGTGCTTTTCTTCAGCTCTGCGCCCGACCGTCACCTACCCATCGTAATTCGCCGTGACTCAGGGCTGTCATTGATGCCGCCCGTACCGGTCAGAAGCATGTTGGTTGCCCAAGCTCTCTCCCCAATGACAAGCATCCCCTCCCCTCGTTTACTCGTCACTTCCTGTTTTTTTTTTTACCCAGGCAGTCCATTCAATGCGGCATTTTGCTGGCTGACTGTGTCTGCTATTGTTCTTCGGCCGACAATACGAAAACAGAAAAGCCTGGAGGGTCGTACTCGCCGCCAACGGTGCCCAACCGCAGCAAACTAATGCACACAACCCGCCGCCAAGGCTCAGACGAATTCTCTTCTCTCCTTCTAGGTAGGTATTATAACAATAACGGAACGGAGAAATGTTCGTCTCAGGCCAATTGAGATTTAGGACTTGGCAGCTGAAGCCACAAGCTTTCATTTTCGGGACTGACGACCTACCATGCTGGGGGCGCATGCCTTTTTCCGGCTGATAAAGAGAAAGGGACAAAGAAAAAGGCATGCGCCAGCCTCTTGTCACAGTGCCATCATACGTGTTACATCGGGTGCAGCGCAACCAATCCCACCCCAGTAGCGATTGCGCCTTGCCAGCCATTGAATCTATGACTGGCTCCAGACATCCTTTGCTCAAGGGGTTACCGTTCATGTTCAGGAGGTGGGCGCGTAGAGATTCCATTCGCCGAAACTGTCCATTCCAACCTTGCAACCAGATCATTTCGTGAATCATTAGTGTGCCGTCCGTCGAACCCTGTGCACCACAACCCGCACCAGTCACGAGAATTTCATGTTGACTACCCGAAGCCAAACCTAGGATTGTAGTTGATTCGTGAGAAAAGAACAGAAAAGGGGCCGATGCCAGCTTGAGTACGGTATCTGCTGTATTTAATTATTCGATTAACAAGGGTGAGAATTGTTACATGTAGAGAAATCCCCAAGAACAGTAAAAGCGCGTAACTTTACAGGGTTTCGCCAAGTCGTCTGGCCAGGGTAGGATTTGCCCATCCTATGGTATAATATGAATGAGAATCGTCAGTAATGATACCTAATCATCGCTCGAGTCGTCGTCCTCATCGCATTGCCTTCCAATTCTCCGCTTCTTCTCGTTTCCTTTCTTGATGGAAATGATGCAGCCCTGCGCTCTCAGCGCCCTGACCAACCCGCTGCTCTCGCTGATGCCAGGGAAGTCCTTCGCCGTATACACCGTGAAAGGGCGGCTGATCACCTCACACAAGTTGGGGAAGTGTCTACTCTGCCCAGGATTGGTAACGTCCATCATGATCATGTTGAACTTGAGCTTGTACGTCCCCAGGGTCCGAACCGAAAGATCTGAGAACGTGAAGAAACAACCCTCAACCCCTTTCTGGTCCTTGCCAAAAAATGGGGCAGCAACCTGGGACCCCGTGAGACGACGTTGATAGTGGTACTCAGCTGGCATTATCGATGCCTCTGCTGTCCCGTACTGGTCATAGATCCAGCAATGCATGACGTATCCGTCCCAGCTGAGGTACTTCTTCTTATCGTCAGGAGAGAGATTGGGTCCTTCCACACGGAGCTGGACAATCGGGGGAGGGTCTATAGTTCTCCTATCACGTTCTCCTGAGCCACAGGCACGCGCCGCTTCCGGCTGCTGGCGTACTGAAATTCGAAATCGAATTGACGCTACATCCGAGACTCTCCCTGGACCGAGGAGGTTCAGGACTGGTGCGATCCTGTTGGGTGTCTCGCTCGTAGGCCCAAAAGTAATCGCTGTTGGCCTAGCTTGAAAGGTAGATTGCCTCTGACTCATAGCTGATGCATTCGATTGATCTGACACCCCTTGGCGAAAAGTTTCTGTCCTTCGAGGGGTCGACTGATCGATACTTGGATGAGAAGACGACGAATAGGAGGGAGTATGAATATCAGAAGGATAGGAGGGAGTATGAATATCAGAGTGATAGGATGGATTATGAATATCAGAGGGATAAGATGGATTATGAAGGTCAGAAGGCCCCTCCCTTCTTTCCGCTGGCCTGTTTTCTACGGCCTGGTGTGAATTATGATGGGAGTACGTAGTAGGGTACGTATAATCTGGCTGTGGACCTCGAAATGAACGATCGTGGTGAGCTGAATGATCGTAGTGAGTCGAACGCTCGTGATGGGCTGAATGATCGTAGTGAGCTACACGGTCTTGATGAGCCAAATGATCATAGCGAGCCGAACGTTCCTGATGAGTCGAACGATCGTGGTGAGTCGACTGGTCGTGATGGGTTGAACGATCTGGTTGAGCTGAATGATCGTAGCGAGCCGAGCGATAATGAGCCGGACGACCGTGATGAGTTGAACTCTCTGGCGATTGGACCCGAGGCATAGTAGTATAAGAAGACGAATCTTGATACGGTTGGGCTGGCTGAGGGGCAGAAGGCGACGGATAATTATAATGCTGTTGATAATCTGGTTGCTGGCGACCTCTAGTCGGAACACCAGCCACCATGTCCCGCGGAGGAGGGAGGGTGATCCTATGCTCGGACTCACTCGTCATCGAAGAGGATTCCCTATGCCCATACTCATATCCCCCCGGACGAAGCTCGTAGCCTCGGTCATACTGAGGGCGAGACATGATGAGAAAAATTCGTGATGTGCGTCAGATACCACACTAATGCGGCAGTACTTTAGACGGCGCGAGGTTGTCTAAACAAGGTATAAATGGTCTTGAACGTTAGACATGCTCTGAACGAAGAAGGACCGAGTTGTTATCAGCTGCAAGAGAGGTCCCTAAAAGAACCAGAGGCAGCCGACAGATAATATCCTCTTGTGGGAAGGTGTATGGCCCAAGTATAATGAGCCTTCCGCGGAGTTGAAAATATGACAAGCGGGAATATTCCAGATCGTTGTTGGAAAGTTAAAGGAAAGCTCTTGGAATGTCGTGGAGTAGAGAGAGACGAGAAGGGCGCGGAGGATAGTCGAGGTTAAAAGAAGCAAGACTATCCCCAGTTCGCGAAGGCGTTCTTCCTTTTTGCCAGTGCTACGTGCTTGTCAGACTGCATTTGACAAGGAAGAGAGACATGCTCGACTGGCTTCCAGGGTGATGGTGCTAGGGTTTCACTCAAGCTGCAGTTCTGAGACAAATGCCAATGTACTTGTGAGGAAGGAACGAGATCCACAACGACTTGACCTAGAGAACTGGAGAAGACTTCGGAACTTGCTTGCTTTAACCAGAAACAAGTTAACAGCAGGACCAATGCATCGAGGTGCTCAGTGACGATAGAATGAAGTCTAGGCGAGAAAAATGGATGGCAACTGAGACATGCTTCGTCGAAAGAATGACTAGATCGTCCTAAATCCAGGTTCCAGGAGCAACATTAGATGGCTCGCTTGTAAGAGGAGGCCTCTGTCGTGGATAGTGGAGAGATGATGAGTTGGGCGATAGAAGGCGCACAGGAGCCAATGAGGTGCGGCTAACTCAACTCCAAAGTGGCTGCGGTAAAACTAAGAAGAAGAGAAGAATACAAAGCCAGCCTCAGGGGTGGAGGCACGGCAGGTATGGCGGGTAGATGTAGTGAGAGCCGGAGAAGGTTTGGTTTGGTGTGAGGAAACTGGGCTAGGTATAGCGTCCACGAGGTGGGGTAAGACTAAGCAGTTAGACGGCCAGAGAGCGGCCGCAGAAACAGACAGAGCAATCGGAGAGCGGGAGAGCGTTATTGTGCGAGTGGTTGTGGAGGCAATTGGGTGACACAAGACTTGCAGCTTGGAGCCATCCAGTGTCTGAGTGCTGTTGGTTGTTTACGGATCGGATCACTTTGCAATCTGGGACCAATCATGAAAAGGCCAGAGTTGTTACCCATACTTGAGCTCACACCCACGCCCAGGAGGAATGACCAAATGGATTCAACGGATGTGACCCGTTCCTACAAGCTTATTAGCCCAACCACATGGACAGTGCGTTAGGTATGCAGATGATGACAAGCCCCAAAGTATAATGAGGTGGACGATGGACGGATATGCGTCGCCTAGTCCAGGATGGCCTAGGGATGGGGCCGACGGCAGGATCTGGCTAGTCTAGCGGTTGTCAGAGGAAAAAGTAATTATACTTTGTGTGCGCTTCGAAGCCGGGATCGACAAATGGAAGGGAGCCACTGTCTCATGGCTCGCCTCGTTGGGCGCCATGGACAATCTCGCCAACTTGCGGCCAGCTCCGTGTACGCAGCATTCCCTTTCAGGAGTAGGCAAGGGTAAGGGCGAATTTCCAGGTTCTTGGGTTCCCATGAGCGGAGCTGGCGGTGATCAAATGTACCCATCCAAGTCACCGGCCCCTCGTTTAAAAGGGAGGGGACCTTTGCGTACCGGTACAGGAACAAAAGCAACACCACTCTGCATATCGAGAAGGAACATGGATGTATAAGATCGATCAAGAGCGAGGGTGGCAATACTTGTGCCTGCTTGCTCACCGATACGATGGGATGCGATATCAGTGTGAGGTATCAAAAACTGCTGCGGTCTACCCCCGGCTTTGCTGGGTAAGTCGGCTAGATCCCAGAGCGCATTATCCGGATCTGGTTCGCGGTGCCGTAGCCCACATTATGCGTAGGTGAACTTCCAAGACTTCAATCAGAAGAGGGAAAGCTGAGCCGCATGGTATCTCGTCGAAACAAAGCAAGTTCTTGGCTTGGCTTTGGTCGTGTCGTCCCAACGCACCACCGATTGGGGCAAAGGCAGTCTTCCTGCACAACAGAGGCTGAGCGATCACACGACCACGCAAGGAAGAGGAAAAAGATCAAAGCACACTGGTGCTCACAGACACGCGCGCGCACTCGCGCACACACACCAAGAGTGACCCACCCCTAATCCTTTACTCTTGCTCAAGGCTATTGGGCCAACACTGACCAACATGCAGATGAGCACTGCAGAGTCACATTCGAGCGTGAGAGGTGTCTGGCTAGTCCCCATCAGCTCAACTCGGCGAGGGGGCCTGATTGGCAGAGATGGGCGCTCGGCTGGCTTTCAGCTGGCCAAGACATCCTAAGACAGGCTCGAGGATGAGGTGGCTTTTGGGCTGGAACACATGCAGGTCGCACCACAACGGCTGCTGTGCGACAATGCAAGGCCATTGGCCATGGAACTAAGTCAAGACAGCAGGAAACTGCTGGAAGTTGTTGGTGATGAGAGACCAGGGCAGGAACAGGGGAAGGACGGTAGAAGTCCAGGTACATTCAGCATACCCCGTTAGCGAGGTACGTGCCTGCGCTAGACAGCCAGATCAGACAGGCACACGCGTGTACCCTCTAGTACAAGGTACACGCTGGAATAGTCCGGTACCAGTACCTAGCGCCCGTTGCCGATCGATTCTAATTGGACTTCCCCACTCCTCCCTCCTGTGCTCGCCGTGCTCTTAGACTCTGGCTGACACCCAGTAGTTTCCCCACATCCTGCCCATATTCTCCGGCAGAGCTGGTAGCCAACTCCCATCAGCATCCTAAACAGCGCCAGCAGCCCGGTTGTCCCGGGAGGTTCAATTGATCGACCCGAGCTGTCCTATTTATCCTCGGAGTTGTTGAGGTATCACTGCCAGGTTGCAGCCCAGGAAGAAGGTCGCCCAACCGGCCCCCAATGTCCACAGCTAGTCCCTTTTACGGCAGTGCGACGCGAGCCTACCATCTTGCATATCATAGCCTTTACGTTTTGAAACTATGGCCCGTTAGCTCCAAGACTATCCTACCGTATCCTACCGTACATGTGATCTATCACCTCATTGCCCAACGAATGTGAGCGCTGGCCTCCGTCCCTCATCCGACAATGCAAGGGAGGGGCGGAAGGCCAAGAACAGGAAGCCCTCGAATCCTTGGTGCCATGCAATGTGCTGCATAAGGCAGCTAGCCCTCTGGTTGCCTCCGTCAACGGGGCGGAGCGGGATGCAAGGTTGGTCGCTCCCCGAGAGATAACAAGCCACGGTACCTGCTGTACCATTCGTTGATTCATGCTTGGGTGCGGTACCAAGTACAGATCTCAACCGCAATGCTATCGACTTGCTTACCCGCCTTGGTACCTCGCCAACGCATTGACGCGCCCGCGATTGGTGACGGATGTACCGATGGTAACACAAGGCCGCCTCGCCACTCACCATGCAGCATGCGTTCACGGTTACGAAGCTCTGGCTGCAAATTTCCCACAAGACACATGCGCAGTTGACAGATCGTTCTTGTGCCCCTCTCCTGCTGCCGCCATCTCCACTTCCATGGGGCATCTTCCGCCCAGCTGAGTCTCGAATCTACGATGCGGGCTCCTTCCCGTCCTATTGTGTCCTATTGCTTCCATCATGGGCGCTTCCTCATGCGGCCACCACCGCACCACCACCGCAATCAACAATAGCAAATGCGAAGCTCGCAGCCTCATTCAAACATCACTACCTTATCCCACCCACTTGCTTCCCTCACCGCCTTCTCTCTCTCTCTGTCCATCCTCCCCTCCTCCTCTTCCTCGCCTTAATTCTTCCCGCCCTCCCACTCTCGCTCTTTCCCTCCCCACCATCTTCCATCTGCTCTGCCTGTTTTTCCCACCCTCCCTCACCTAAATCATCATTCCTGTCGTTACCTGGTAATCACCCGCATCCGACCTGGTCCGGATCTCATTTGATCCCTGCCCAACCCACGACCCAAGGCGATCCCATCCGAAAGCGTTCCACCCTGCTTCTCAGCTTTACCCAGATCGATGTGTCTCAGTCCCTTGGCCCTCGAGCTGGTTGGTCCTCACCTCGACCTCATTTCCTCCCCCTCACCTTTGGTTTGCTTTTTTTGTTTCCTTCGTCTCCGCAGAGACGCAGACGCATCCGAGCAATCACCCCAGAGCGCGGGCTAAATCTCCCAGGCCACCAATATTGAAAAAAAAAAAATTTGATGCCCTCATCATCGGAGCTGACCGTGGTCCACCAAGGCAGTGTAGGGCCGACTATCAAAAACTTTTTTTTTTCCTGTCTCACTTTTCTCCCACCCGGAACTTCACCTCAGACCGCCATTGGTCCGTCAGAGGGAAACCACGCGGCCTTGCCTGCCGCAGGTCAGATCTCTGATGGGTGAGCCCCTACCGCCGAATTCGGAGCTCTCCGACTGCACCGGCTTTGCATCGGTCAGGAGAAAGGAGGTCGAGATTCGAACCGAACGAAACGCCTGCCTTCCTTTCGCTCGTCGTGGCTGGTCCGTTCCTCTCCGGTCTTGATGCTACCGCGATGCAGCCACGGCAACCGACGTACATGGTACTACGCTACGTGAGGTGACTGTATGCAGAAAGGAAAAACAAGGTTTCAACCTACATATTTGAAGGGTCGCAGCGACCGTGATGCCTACCCTGGCGCCCACCGCAGTGACTCGCCAGGATCCGGTCCCGGTTTGAGCACCTAGACGAAAGCCCGGCGAGCCTAGCAGGATCAAGGTTTTGCCTTCACACCAGAGCGGCAGCCCATAGCAGCCTCGCCCTGGAACCCCAAATCATTAGATACACCGAATCGTAGTGCTTCCTCTCCAAGGTGAATATTGTAGTATTAAATTATGCGTCTGACAAGACTGTTATTATAGGTCGATATTACATATGTATATGTACTCTAGTATTTCTCCTGAGCGAGAAAGCGGGATGAGGGAAAACTTCCATCAAAAATGTCCAGCGCAAGCCAACCCAATGCTACCATGAATGTCCACCGTACGAAGAAAAAGGAAGAATGAGAAAACAAGATTCAACCTGAGCCCTCTTTGCCTTCCATGGAAGGGAGAGGACAATGCTGAAGGCGCCTGTGCCTTGATGCAGTCCATGTGTGAATCCAAAAAGAATCAGGGGCCAAGAAAACCATGTGCCCCCAAACCAGCGCCCGCTGAGATCATAAAGCCTTCCCTCCTTTTTCGTTGTGTAACGTGTTTGCGCCATGCCACTTCGTCTCATCGAGGAAGTGGGCAAAATCCCAGAAAAGAAAAATAATGAGAAATGTTGTCGTCTAAGTAAGTTAAAGTAGATAGGAGTCGTAAAAATGTGTGTCGTAGGTATAGGGTGAGTTGTTATGTTAGTATGCTTTGGACAGCAGACGTATGTAAGGATTGATTGATTGACAGTGTAGTCGGTGTTGGGGAGAGCTTGCTGGATCGAATTCGAGAAAAATGGAGTGGCTGTATGCCGTGTGTATGGTAAGAACCAAAATAATATATAATGAGGGTATCAAGAAGAATAAAGTATCGAAATGGTTATTAAGAGAGAGCTGCAGAGATACAGTTCGTCTCTGGGCCTTGGTTGGATCCAGCCCTATAGGAAGGAGCCGAGCATGAATGCCAAGGCCAGAGTCAATGTAAACACTGACCAGGCCGGGCCGTTGGCAACCGTCCCGCCTGCCTCTGGTGTTGTCTCGTTCACAAAGTTCGGCCCGCAAAGGGTATTAAATTGGCGAGCTGCACCCGTGTACGTTTGGGACAGACTCTGGCTTGTGTCAGCTGATGCTGCGTGCCAAATAGCCATGGTCTCCTTGTTGCACCAGTTGCAAGTGGGCGTCGACGATCCTGGCAGGTTTAGGTCGTACGGCATCAGATACAGGTATGCATCGGACGGCGCGGAAAGATTCGTGACGGCATTGGCAAAGCAATACATTCCCGAATCAGGATCCTCGAGACAAGTCGCGCTGTACATGGTCTGGTATGCTCTCAGGCCGCGGTACGCCTGTACGATAGTCTTCAGGTTGCCCTTGTATTCCGCCGAGCAGTTCTCATCCTTGGTCAGGTTCTTGGCTGCATTCTCCATGAACTTCGTGCAGGCATTGGTGTCAACTCGGCACGATTTGTCGAGCACACGGACAGTGCTAGTGAGCTGTTTCCTGGCATTGAAGAACGATTGGGAGGTCTATCAAAAGGGGTCTTGTTAGCACGTGGGTCGTTCAAATCATACTGGATCTGCCCAAATGCCATCTTCAGCTTACCTCCATCATCATCGAGATCGGCAAGCAGTCCTTGAATGTCTGGTGGTTCAACAAGTCGCTCATGAAGGTAGGGCAAGAATTATCTTCGTTACTGAGCTTAAAATCGGTCGGGATCGAGTCGTCGAAGGCCGAGGGCAACGGCGAGTTGCTGGCGACGGTGGTGGTGGATGTCCTGATGGACACCGTGAACGTCGTCATGCTGTCGTCTTTGTCTGTCGTCGCAGTCTTGGTACCGGAAGAGGACTTGTCAGAGGCACTCGCGCTCGTGGTTTTCTTCGCATCGCTGGAGGTCCTCGCGCTGGAGCCAGAGCTGGATTCCTTTCCAGAGCTAGAGCTAGTCTCATCCTCGTTCTCAGCTCGACGTTTCAGGTCCCAACCTTGGTCAGGGACTTGTGCATGCATTGACTGGCGGGCAGTAGGAATCGGAGCTTCCACGACGGGCACGGAAGGTGACGCTGTTGCGAGGGCCGTAGGCTTGATTTGCATGGAGTAAGGATCGACAGCTGCTGCCCATGCAGGGGAGCCGAGGAGTGCGACCATGGCCAGAAGTCGTAGGTAGGGGCGGGTCTGCCACGGACGGCGTCTCAGCGCAGCGGGGTCGGCGGTTGATGCCGCCATGTTGACTGATGGTGAAACAGTTTGAAAATGCTGGCCAAGGGTTAATTGTCAGTTCCTCGGATGAGATCTGCTGTCCCAGGTGTTGTCCGCATAGATGGCCAGAGCACCCGTGAGGCCGCCTTTGTGGAAATAGGTTGTTGTCGTGATGGTTGAGACCAGCGTAAGCAGTCGCCAAATAGGGGACCAGGCTCCTGGCGACGGTGATGGTCAACCAGTGATCCGAGCCGAGACCACACCAGAGCCAAGATCAAATGGCGAGAACGGGGTGGAAACCCGCAATTGGGTCTCCTCTGCTGAGCTTGGCGATTTTGACGATAATTTGCTATTTCGCTGTCGACAAATTACTCTCGGTCGCGTGTAGCTGAGCAGGGCCGGTAGTTGCTCTCAGAAAGTACCTAGTGATCGTCGGGACTCCACGAGCCAAGTTGAGTAGTAGCAAATCAAGCGCGTTGGTGATGCTGATCTTCGTTCTGCCGTATTCGAACCTCGAAGACGTTGCACAAACGATCGACAAAGGGTGGGAGAGCGAGGTAAGACGAGGTAGGAAGGGCAGAACGTGGGAACGAAGGGCCAAGAAAGAAGATAATGTTCAACTGAAGACGACAAGGAAGAAGTATGGCTGACGGGCTGGAGCACTCGAGGACCTAAGCTTCAGTGCTACGCTCTGGTCGATCCGGGTCGAGAACAGGGCATGCGTGAGCAGGTAAACATGCATGCATACACTACGGAGAAGAGGATGGGACTTTGACCCAAAAGATTGACTTCCTCTGCAGGGCCAAGGGTGTCCTGGCAGGCATATGGGCAGCCAGGAGCATTAAGTAACCAATATGACCAGGGGGGCCTGGCAGGTCGTACGAGGGCCCCCTGGCGATTGGCAAAGTTGTGGTTTTCTGGCTTGAATGGTAGTCTGGGGGTGCAAGCCACGCGGGACCGCCAGGCTCTATTGAGGGGATTTAATCAAAGCAGAATACGACACTGCCCGTGGAGGCGGCGCGCCGTGGACGATTGGGCAAAGATGGATGCCAATAGATCGAAGCAGCCAATTTAGTGGGAGGCGAATAGGGGGCCGCCATGTGAAGACGGACCTCTGAATGGACGGGTAGAGACGGCGAGTAGAGTAGACGCCATGCCGAGTCTGCAGCGGACTGGTTGGCCAAAGACATGCGGTGGGCTTTCATCTCCCAATGCGAGAATTGATACATCAGCCATCGAGCGAGGTGTGGCGGGCTTGACTGGCGACGGACGCCATCGTCAAACGAGAATGTGCGAGTGGAGGAGGAGGATGAAATGGCTGCAGATGGCGTCAGGCCCCTTCCGGGCTAGATTACTCAGGTGAGAACATGTTCCCAATCAGGACCGTTACGTCCAAGGTTTTGGCCCGCAAGCCGCTCAATTAGGCGTTACCGTACCTGAACCTATTGCCCACTAGGAGCCACTTAGAACGGGCTTGTGTGCGTTTTTCTCTCCTCCGTTGCTAGAGTCTCCATTCCGTGTAATTACCCTCCTGGGTACCTACATTAGGCACTGCTAGCATGTGTTTTCGACGCCTTCTCCAGTCACCAGACCGAACTGAACCAGCCTTAAACAGATCAGCGATGCTAGCAGGGCCTTAGGCACGTTGATGTTTTTTTTTTATCCGCAGCCCACATGTTGCATAGGTAGTTCCGTCCGTACATGCATCCTAAATACGACGAAGCAGTCATCTGTCATCATCCGTCCGGGTAAATCTTTCAATAGCCATTGCGCACCGACGACGCACCCAGGTGAACGGCCTTGGCCCCGATCCGTGCTTACTAGCTAGTGGAATGCATTGCACGGAAGGATTTTCTGCCTTTCTGCTCTCACTCAGCCCTGCAGAGCTGAGTTGGGGAAAGCTCACATCTAATCTTCTTATGTTTGTCTTTGTCATAGAATACAACATCGGGAAATCCCTTCAATAGGTAAGCTTCTTCAGGCTTAGGCAGCTTTGAGGAGTAAGACCGTTCCGAGGGCCTCAACAAAGCACGAGGAGATATTACGCCTCGTCCGCACCCGATGGGATTTATTATTATCGATTCCTACTATAGGCAGGGAACTGACCGTGTGTACCTACTCTCGCATACTTCAATATTACTACGACAGAGCATGTTGTGTCGCACCACAGGTTCATACATATTGGTTTCGCCGAGGCACGGACGGCAATTGTCTGTGCCACGACGGCAGTCTATCCATTGATGGACCACACTGAAAACCATCCCACGAGATGGCGGTGGTGGTGGTGGTGCTGCATGAACAATTATCGCCCGCAGCCCACTCATTTCTAATTCTGCACGACAAAGATTCCCGGTGGCTTGCTATATTCTCCTTTTTGGTTCCTTCATTCCCGATGTCCAAATTGACGTTGCTCTGGATGCCACCTCAACCTGTAGGTAGTTCCTGGCTAGGTAGCCAGCAGAAACATAAGCAGCCACAGCATCGACCCCTACTGGTCGACGCAACACAGCCTCGACTAGCTGAACAGATGCCCTCAGCGCTAATCGCGTATAACGAGTCACCGTCTGGTGGTGGGTGTGAAAGGATGGATGTGGCTACCGACCGTTCAGGTGGCCATCCAGAAGGGAGAGGCCCCTGTCCACTGGATCCATCCTCCACTGTGCTGTCGCCCTACGGTTCGTCGGCAGTAAGGACCTTAGAGTGGTCTGCACTAAGACACTAATCCACGCCACTCTGATGCACAAACATTCATATTCTTCCAGCGCCTTCCCTGTACTATGACCGTCGTCCCTTTAGAGCCACCGCAATGACTGTGTCTCCGTCTGTGGCTCCGACAGGGATCGCCAAGGTGTGCATCAAATCCCCATCTTCTCTATCTCCATCTCTGCTGGACAGAATCTGCCGTGTGGAATGGACTGCCAAGGCGGGAGTTAAAACTCCAGAGCGAGTGAAGATCGGCACTCTCCAGGCACATATAGCACGACCACACACAGGACGTGAGCCGCGACGCAACCCAAGGGGATAAGAAAATAGCTCAGCAGCGTAGCATCATGGACTGACTGCATAGTGCGTCCATGCACATTGTCGTACTACTAGTTCATAAATATGTGCATTTCTCGACGCTAGAGGAGGCGGCCATCTTACCATCCTACCCAAGAGGCCACACGCGACCCTCCATCCCCAAAGATTCCAATATTGACCCCACCAAGCACCACCAACTCCACAGCCAGGGCGGAATAGGAAGCAAACGGACACTCACATATCACATCTCCACGCCAGAACAAGCGCGAGGAGCGCAAAGGCAGACAAAGTGCGTGAGAACCGCGTAATATGACCAAAATAGCGGCTACGAGTGCCATACTAGACGAGGTCTAGAGTGCCGTTATTGCCACTGACCATCGGCTTGGATAATATCTTGTTTTTTTGCACATTGAGCACCGTATGTACTCATCAAAACACCTAAAAATAGTCTGAACAATAGCAGAGCAGTTATGTTTCTTTGAATGAGAAATGACCCCCTTGCCTACAGTGCATAGTGCAAATGCACTGCCCAAAATGCATCTGCCTTGACACGGCTCGCATGTCAAGCAATGCTGTCTGCAAGCATTCCTGGAGAGAGCTTACACGGATCCGTGCCAGCGTGGATCTTGCGACCAACAATACCCCGAAGTACACTCTTGGTGGGTTTATTGAAAACACGTTTGTGGGATTCAGCTCGGTCTGCGGAATGGGCAGGGCTCCCAGCAAACTTCCCTGGCACCCAGGTGTCAATAATAACACCCTTGATTTTCAAAAGTCTCTGAGTGTCGGGAGAGGCTACTGGATTTTAGCGACCTTGAGGAGAAACCCCCAATGTAACGGCAAGCTGTAATCTCGGGCCCGAGCTTCATGACAGTGTATCAAAAGACCAGCGCACATGTGTACCCCCCAAAAACTTTAAACAGCAAGAAGGAAGCATAATTTCTAAATTTACATTTTGTCGGAATAAGCCTAATCATCTGGAAGTCAGCCTCTATTTGAATTCCGAGGGTGGAGATTGCCATTTGTTACGAAAATCGGTTGTATTGGTAGTACAGCAGTCCAGTACGAAAAATTGCATGTGAAACGAAAAAGAAAAGCACACATCATGGTGTGTCTCTTCTTAGTGAACAAACAAATTATCTCTAAGTCTACCCTGAGCCGGTGACTTTCGCGTAAATTTAGAACAATTTGAACGTTAATGTGACACTGTGGCCTATTTTTTGAGCCATGTCATGGGGAACTTGGATTTCAGGCTCGTCCTCAAAGTAAAAGCATAGCCATCCATTGGGTATGCATATTGACTGTGCTAGATATAAATGCTCATATACGACTTGGGGGAATCACCTTCGAGTACAAATATTTCAGTGTATGTGTGTTTCTCAGAGGAGAAACGGGTTCAAGCAGTATTTGATTGTTTTTGATAAGTTGAACAACACTGATTTTCGGAGTGAAGGCTTTACGATCCAGACGGTTATCCAGCTAATTTGTCCTCCGCACATTGAAGCTTGTGGCTGCAGCTGTGAAGTCAAGATCCAGGCACGAACCTTCTATTAAGCTTTCGGGATGACTCCTTTTTTCTTCTTCAACTGTGCTGATCCCCTTCTGTTGCCTGGGTCACTCTCTGAGTGTGATGAAGATGTCGATCGCCGGCCATGTATAGGGTAGTTCGTCAGAAATGGTCGACTCACCACTCCCTTAGGCAACTAAATAAGCAACTTCCAGTAAACCAATTACGTCCCGCCTGATTGTCCGCCACAGGCCCGTAAACAGCCCACCGGGCAATTAGCTGAAGTGACGTTATGTATGGCCTTCTTGACACGGTTTACACCTTCATCAATCTGCACATCTTTCAGCTCCTCTCCCCGCCGCGCGTTACCGAGGAAGCCTAGAGAAAAAGTCTTCGCGTACACGTGTTAGTTGGAGATACAGCCTTTCGTAAAACACCAAGGCTATCTCAAATATATATCTGGCCAAATTCTTCCCAGCTCACAGCCATGCAGGGACCAGGCTCTCGACATTCACCCCTGCAACGATCAATTACGAGCAATTGAAGGGACAAGACCAGGCTATCATATTACTCCTCGTCCAAGAGACGGGAATCAAGACCCCGAGAGCCATGAAGCCCTTTACTTCAGCCCTCGTCGCCTCCCTTCTCCTCGCTGGGCCCGCCGCAGCATGGGGTTCATCTGCCAAATCCAAGAATGCCATCCTCCTCTCCAACGTGCAGAGCCTCACACTCCGCGGCAACGGCGCAAAGACCACAAACCGCCGTGTGTCGGCCGTCCCCCAGCTCAAGTGCATCTCCCACCCGGATCTGTGCCGCCACGTCAACATCGACGTGATGCGCTGCACCAACCAGGGCTCCTCCTACGGGACCGAGGACATCGAGTGGAGCTGTGCCGCCTCTGTCCCCGACGAGTTCCAGCTGGGCGGCACCAATGTCATCTGCGAGGGGTATTCCAACTCCGACGACCCTTATGTCCTCAAGGGCAGCTGCGGTGTCGAGTACACCGTCACCCTCACCAGCAAGGGCGAGGGAAGATATCCAGACCTCGCCGATACCATCAAAAAGCAAAATGAATCCTCGTCCAATACCGTATTCTGGTCAATCTTCTTCATCATAGCAGTCTGCATCGGCCTAGCAGCACTGCTCCGTCATTCAGAAAACGCAGCCCCGCAACAAAGGCGTCCTCGTACTAGAAGAGGAGGGGGAGGGGGAAGCGGATGGGGAGGAGGTGGAGGTGGAGGAGGCGGCGGAGGTCCTGGTGGATGGAACCCAGGTTGGGGCTCTGGCGATAACGACGCACCTCCCCCATACTCAGAACCGAAACCAATCTACAACTCAGCCTCATCCTCGTCCTCTTGGAGGCCTGGTTTCTGGTCTGGTATGGCTGCTGGCAGTGCTGCTGGATATGCAGCTGGTCGGCGTGGTGGTGGGAGCTCCTCCCGTGGGTCAACTTACACAGACAACAGTTGGGGTGGTAGGAGTCATGGGGAATCGTCGTCCTCTCAATCAGGACGATCGGGACCCTCGGGTGAAACTCATGAAAGCACTGGGTTCGGCTCTACCAGCCGCAGGTGATCCTTTCTCATAAAGCAAAAACCCCACATTTGGAGACGGTGTGGATGATTACAGCTTATCTTCGGTTGCCTATTGCTAGCAAAGCTCGAGTTTGAATTACAAGATGTATAAGTGCATAGTTGCCCCCATATTATCCAACACCAATAAACTCCGACTGCCGATTTGCGTCGATTGCAACTAACTTGCGACAAATAATATGTACATGGAGAGTACCACGCATCTTCCTACGGGGGAAGGATGCTTGCTCTTTCCTTCCTTTCTTTTTATTAAAAAAAGTACACGAAGCCAGATGTGAGAACCGCCATCATGGGTCCTTGCAGCTCTGGCGAGTCCCGACGCCTCAACAACGCCGCCAAATATCCTCAAACATTGTTGTTCGAATAAAAACCAACAATCATCTGCTTGGGTCGTAAGGGGTAGCTAGAAATATTGCGACCCGAAGGTTCGTTGGTAGTAGTGCCTTGGGTCGAAGAGGCTACAACTGGGGTTGTAGTTTTAAATAGAAATCGGTCGAATGGTTGTATACAAAGGATGAGATTGGTGTGTTAATAATCGTGTTGGTGATGAGCCTGCATGACGTCCATCTTGTCAAATGACCTAGCACAAGATGGACACTTCCGCATACGGTTGCTGATGCGGTCTTCGATACAGCCCTTGCAAAAGAGATGACCACATGTCTTTAGAATTCTGTTCTTGAATTCCTTTTCGCATATTGAGCAGAGAGCAAAACGCTAGACATCGTGACATTAGCCAACAAATCCCTTTCAACGCAAAAAAAGGAAAAAGTCCACAGGAAAAAGGAACAAACTTACCCTCAAACCCTCCATTTCTACTGAATGGTTGCTCAGCGCTTGTGTCTTCCAGTAATCACGATCTTTTTGCATAGCATCAACCCGCACTTTGAGCCTTTCCGCCTCCGTCTCTTGAGCCGTATTCCGCTCCTTCACGGCTGCTGCGGCGGCGTCCTTGGACTTCACCAAATTGGTCAAATCACTAACTTGCTTGTTTAGGGCTTCAGCACGGCGGATCGACTCCTGGCTACTGTTCTCCGTCTCCTTGCTCTTCGCTAGCAGCTGAGCATTGGTTTGCTTCAGATCTGCCATTTGTTTCTCCAAATTGCTGAGGAGTGTCCGGTTTTGAGATTCCAAATCCTTCAGTTGAGCAATAATTTCAGCACTCTTTCCGTTCTGAATTCGAAGAGATCGAATTTCGTTGTTTCTTGTGTCAGCATCCTTTCTGGCAGCAAAGTACTTTTGATCAGCCTTGCTCTTCTCTGCCGTCAAAACCGAAACACGTTCCTCAAGCGAAGCGAAGTCCATGATTTTCTTCTGCGCCAAGTCCTTCATTTTCTTGTATGCCTTCTCAATAGAAGGGAGCTCCTGGTTAATTGATTGGAAGTCAAGCAGCAACTTCTTGTATTTGGCTTGCAGATCCTCATGCGATAATTCTGTGACATCGCTTGACTCCGCTCCTTCCTCGTTGGCTGGGTTCAGTCTGGCAATTTCCGACTCAAGCGCCGAGATTCGATCGTCCTTGGCGGCGGCGAGCTCCTTGATCTGTTCAAGAGCAATCCTATCACGCTCCATGTGTGCTTTCCGCTGGGTATTTTCAGCCAGAATCTCATCACGAGCGGACCGAACCCGTGTCAAGTCGTTGTCGCGAGTTATGATCTCCGCTTCCAGCTCCTGGGTGATCTGATTCGCATCTGTTTCTAACTGAGTCCGGAATGCGGTTCTCTCTGCCTGGAGCTTCTCTGCCTCTTCTCGTAATTGCTTATTCGTGGCTTCAAGATTGTTGATCCGTTTAATGAGATCCTCATTTTGGATTTTGTACTGTTTGAACACATCCGTACGAATGTAATCCTCGTCAGTTAACGCATCACGCCGAGCTTTTAATGCCGAATTTTCGTCTTGTAGCGTTTTGACCTCTGCCAGAAACTTGTCGATCTGCTCCTTTTGTTTCGCTGCAGCTGCTGTTGCCTCCTCATATTTCATCAGGATTTCCCCATGGTTGGCATTGCCGTTGGTTTCTCTTCCATCCGCACCATTGCCTGCACCGGAAGATGGCTCTGTTACTTTTGCAAAAGCTTGTTGCTCAAGCTTTTGCACCTGAACACTTTTAGCGCGATCCAACTTCTTCTCAGCCTTGAAATATCGGAGCGTTGCCGCATTCAGTTGCTCGGAGAGCTGCTCTTTCTCGCTGCTGAGACGGTCGAGTTTCAACAGGTATTCCTTCTGGGATGCTAAAAGCGCAGTGATTTTGGCCTCTAATTTAGCACCTTCAGGCGACAACTCTCCACGATGCGCTGCGATTCGATTCAATAAGGACTCGGCTTTCGATTTTATGTTTTTTCCTTTGTCTTGTAAATGTTTTTGAAAATCATGAAGGTCCTTGAACGTAACACCAGTCAGATAGCGGCCATCTAAAGTGTCGCGTGTTAGTCAAGATTGATCAGATGTAGGGAGTCCGGGCGCTTCTCGCCCCTTGATAGAATTATGGGGTAGAAATACCTGAGGGAGTTGGGTTTGACGAAATGGTGGACTCGGCCAAGAGTTGCAACTCCTCAAGAACCTATCGAGGTTAGCGTACGGCACATGCCTCAGAAATCTTGAGCAACATACCTGCAGCCACCAAGCATCAATGATCCGGAGGTGATCATCGTGATGTACTGATCGCTTATGTAGTTCTTCGAGACGTGATTCCGCAGTCGATGCCCTACGGCTATATTCCTGCATTTGTCGATAGATGGCGCCTTTGGTGTATGACTATCGTCTTGTGTCAGTCCATTGTTTGTCTCAAAATCAAAGAAACGCGCTCGGTTATGGGGCCTTGTTTCGAATGCGGTCAAAAGGGGAGAAAGAAGACGGGAAAACGCGATGACATGTAGAATCTCAAACGCGCGATTTCGAGTGGGATGTTTTTCTGGGTAGACAGAGCAGTCGAGCCGCTGATCTAGTTGGCATCAGAACACGAGAGGATAGTCGTGTCATCACCCCACCCAAAAGAAGGGTACGCACAGCGGACAGGGAGGATGAGCAAAGCAAAAGTGACTGGTTGGTGCGGTTTGAGATTATGGCATCGGTGGCCACCGGAGTAGGATTGATTGTTGAGGGGGCAAGCAAAGGGCTGGAATTCAAATGCTTACCTCGATCCAGCCTTCCTCTTTCATTTCAGGGCCATCATCCTTGGTCCTGGTACCATTCACCGCGACTCGCTTGCTGGGTGGCGCGAGCTCGTCAGTGTTGATTGCCGGTCTCTTCCTGTCCTCCATCTTGGAAGTCGTGGATGGACGGGGTGAGGCAGTTGGTGTCGTGGCCACAGGCATGAGAAGACGTGCGCGGAGCTGAGCCAGAAACCGCCGGCAAGGAAATTAAAATGCGGCTATCGTGACTGGGAGGGCCTTTAAGCAAAATCCCATCTCAACACCTGGCGCGCGGGCGGTCATGAACTTGGGGCGGGGCGTAATGCGTGATGATGATAGAGGATGTTGCGTAGGTAAGGAGAAATCTCGAGGTTGCAGAGTCGCAAACCCAGAATGCACGAGTCTCCACTCTAGAAGAGGCTTAGTGGACGCGCTAACCGAATCTAGCATCCCTTATCGTGATCACTTTCGGGTAAACTTCGCTGTGACATTTTATCGGTGGGGATAATATGAATTTCTCTGTCCCGCATCATAGTTTCAATTGTCGCATTGGCTCCCATCTCGCAAATCCTGCGATAATGAGTTGTATACCTCATCCTGAAACATGAGCTCGATGTTCAAGAAACGAGGCGGCTTTGCCTTCAAGCCCAAGCTTCCTGTCGCAAGGCCACGCCCGACCGCACCAACCTCACAACCACCCAAGCCTGCCACTGCTGCTGAGGCGCAGATCACCCCTCCGCCATCAGACGTGCCTTCTCTCAATGGCACTGAAATCGCGCAGCTGGAAACCTCTCTGTCCGAAACTTCGAGCCCCGATTCCCCAGGGACGTCATTGGAGCCCATCCAGGAGCCAGCCGCCAGCCATCCCGCAATTGCGACTCTGCCAAACCCATCACCGGATCTGCCGCCAGCCTCTGAGTCAGACGACCACCCATTGGCCGCCGAACATACAGCACCCCCGCCTCACCCTCTTCCGAGACAAGATATCTCAGAGACATTGCCCGCCAGCACAAACCAGGCTGACGACCAACAACCGCAACCCGCAGCCGAATATGCCACTCCTTCCAGTACTTTACCAGAGCCAGCTGAGGTGCCACCAGCCGAGGCCGCCATAACGCCGGGCGCAAGCGAGGCCTGTGAAACCCTGCAGCCCACGCCACCATCTTCAACCACCCGAAGAAAAAGGACAACGACAGCCGCGACGGCCGAGGCAAGCGACAGCACCGCAGTCCCAGCACCCAGGAAGCGACAACGAAAGACAACCCAGGAAGACGACGGCGCAAAAGAAGCACCCGCGCGAAAACCGCGCCGTCCCCGGCCTACCGCAGGGGAGGCCGAGACCAGAACACCAAGACGTGCCCGGTCTCTGACACCAGAGGATGCGGAGAACCAGGTGGTTGACCTACAGAAACTAAAAATGTCCGACTTGACCAGAGATCTACATATTGGAAAGAAGTTTAGCAGACACGACGAGCTTAGAGAGCGGGAGAGACAGGCAAGGATAAAGGGGAAATCCAGAACCGAAAGTGAAGGGCCCGAAGCCGAAGGGGAGAAGGTCGAGGCAAACGGTTCTGCTTCGAACAGCGCCGGAGAAACCCCATCAAACCCTACGCCAAGCGCGCCCTCGCAGGCGACCGCAGGTCCGCAGTTCCGCATCGTGGATGGTCAGATCGTCCTCGACCAGAGTTCACTGGTCATGGACCGACACGCTCGTGCTGTTGCGACACAGGGTGAAATGGAAATGGTGGAGGAGAACGACTTCACCCGGCTCATCACGAGCAGCTCCTTCATGAACACATCCAAACTAAAGGGACCCAACATCTGGACGGCAGAGGAGACAAAACTCTTCTATCGCGGACTCGCCATGTTCGGGACCGACTTTGAGATGATTTCCAAGATGTTCCCTGGCAAACAGCGTCGGCACGTCAAGCTCAAGTATAATCGCGAGGAGCGTCACGCTCCTCAGCTGATCCACGCCGCCACTTACGGGGAGAAGACGACCAAGATGGACCTCAATGAGTATAAATCCTTAACGGGCACCGTTTTCGAGTCGGTGGAAAGCATCGAGGCAGGGCAGCGCAAGATGCAGGAGGACTTCGAGGCGGAGCAGAAGCGCATCGCTGATGAGCAGGCCGAGGTTATGCGGAAAAAGCGAGAGGAGCTCTTTGCTGATGATGAGAAGGCAGAGGATGGGAACACAAAGAAGAAGAAGCGGAAGACGAAAAAGCAACACGAGGACGAAGGGCGTTATGGGGAGGTGGTTATTGAAGAAGACTTGTAGAATCATCTGCTGCAGTCGCACATTTGGGAATGGCAGGGAAGGTAACGGATGGGAAGGGCAACCATTTAGAGGTAAGGAAATGTCAGGAATGATACCCAGCTTGAAGATAGCATTTTGCGGAGTTTTTGGTAGAATATTTTATTGCGTGCAAGGCAATTAGTTCGTATTTTTTTCTTTCAATCTCGAACGTTATTCAATTCATTTATATCCGTTTTCTCACGTTACTTGCCCGCATGACCTGTAATCCGCACAGTGCTATGGAAGACGTCTCGGGTTTGCACCATTTCCATTGATGAAGTATCTTGACTGAAAAGAAAAGGCAATCAAATATGAATAGGCCCAACCTATCAAGCCTCTTGCACAGGTCTGCCTCCCATCCTCCCAGTACTGACAAGCATCTGACGTCCTCGTTTCATCAGTAACGCCATTTGATCCCCCCGAATTATTTCATAATCATGACATCCCGAAACCCAGTTCATCATACCCAAATACTTAATTGGCACCGGGTTGATCATCGTCATCGGGTTGGTCGAAGAGAAAGTTGGCGGCTAACTCCTCGTTCTTATCGCAAGCGAAGTAAGCCTGGATGGCCTGGTCGCGGTCAAAGCCGAGTCGGCATAACTAGTCAACGGGTTTCAAGTCAGCAGGGTTTCGGTATTAACCAGGTAAGTAGTGGGGTTCTTACCCTCTCGATCGCGTCCCGTTCCTCCTCGGTAACGGAAATAGCCTGAGCACCGGGGGGCAGAGGAACATCATCGTCGGCATCCTCGCCGAGGAGCTGGAGAAACTGGTCTGGGTTGGAGGCGATCAGCTGAGCCAGTTGAGGGTTTCCCGCGCCGAGTTGTTGCAGGATGGGCTCCAGCATCTGAGGCTGCTGCTGGACTACTTGTCGCAGCTGTTGGAACTGTGCATTGTTTCGGAGGAAGTCCAAGTTACCAAGGTCACCAGCTTGGGCCGTGGCAGAAGGATTCGAGGTTGCCGATCGGTCGGTGCCTCCTTGTTGCGCAGCGAGATCGAAAAGATTTACGTTTCCTCCGTCACCGCCCTGCGCGGGAGGGGCGGCGGCGGCTGGGGGATCCTCACGGGCGACGCCGGCAACTTGCCTCTGCTGCCGCTCTGTTTGGACGTTGTCGGGAATTCCCTTGACCAATGTCAACACTACGTCCCCTCGATGTTCAAGGATTCGTCCAATACACTCACAGTCAGAAGATACTCGACAGCACGGTCGGGATTGTTGAATGCGGCGCGCATCGCTGCCTCGATCTGACTCCTCTCGAATCCCATAGCCTCCATATTCGCAATAGCCTCAGCACGCTCAGGCCCCATGGCCAAACCCGAAGGGGCGCCGCTAGGTGCCTCCGTGCTGCGCTGTGGAGTCGGCGTGTGAGGAACTGCGGCTGGGACGGATGAGGAGTGCGATGGAGCAGGAGGAACAGCAGGTGTAGAAGCGGGAGCCTGAGCTGGTGTGGCATGAACATTGGATGGTGCGGCTGCGGGCTTCTCCTTGGGCTAAATGGATAGTGTTAGAATCCCCAGATAGCTTTCCAGAGAGTATGAAAACGTGTCGCTCACCTTGTTCACCATACAGACAACGTATCCCTTCTCCTCGATGTTATAGGAAGCCACAGTCTCTTCATCTTTCAAGATTTTGCCTACAAGCCTATCAGTCATCGCCACTCGCTCAGCCTCAATACCTCACAAGCCAAACATACCAGAGTAGATGAGCTTCTGATGCTTGGGGTCCCAGCCCTTTTCGGCAGAAATCTTCTCCTTGAGGGACGATATCTAGAGGTAGCCACAGGTCAGCGGCGATGTTCGATATCGGAGGGCCAACATCGAAAAGTCGCCCCAAGATTGGGAGGAATAAGTCGGGCGTACCAGATCAGTCGGCTCGGCATCGAGCGAGAACTTCTGCTGCTTCAGGTCCTGTTACAAAGCCCAGAGTCAGTCGGGTTCGTAGAGTAGCGAAGCAGAGTGGATGGAGCATAGGGCACAGCTAGGTGACGTACCTTGAAAGTGATCTTCATGGTGGGCGGTTTCAAGCAGCTGGCAGACTGCTGCGCCAACAGAGAAGCGGGTTTAAGTAGATGGTGAGGGGGGGTAGAATCGACGGGGGAGAAGCGTCTCTTGATGTGCGAAACGGGCGAGAGAAGCCGGACACCTGGAGCTTGTGAAGCGAAAAAAAGACGAGATGCGTAGATTGGGTTGGCGCTCAGGGCTGGAGGTGTGTTGACATTTGGCTAAGGTCAGTCAGCAGGCAAAAGCCGAACGTGAAAAGGTGGGGTTTGCGGCACTCGCCCCTCTCGAGCTCCCAGTCACAGCTTATCGTCAAGAGGAGTCGTCGGTGTCTGCCTGCTAGGCAGGCGGCTGGGTGACATTAGCCTGAGACACTCAAATAATGTACTGCTTATTCTCGAGTCTGCGATTAGGGTTATCGGAATCGAGGGTTAGTTATATTCATATGGGATAATACACTAGAGACCATTGACCTTTTCTCATTTTATACTGCCTTGATAGGTTACCTAGCCATCAAAGAAAGCCGTCTGTTTATAAACACCGTTTAATTTAGTGTCTCATTTCTTCTGTCACCTGTCAACCAGGTACCTGTTGCGGTGGTAGGTTCAGGGTAGCTGGAAATAGCACTACGCATACAGCTACTGCCTAATGACCCAATTCTGTCGCCATCCATTGGCCTCGCCTCTCCCTTCGGTGGAAACGCGATTCGCGTGAAAGCAAGGCCGGTTCTTGTCACATCCTACTAGACCGAGAACTTCATGCCCCGTTCAGTACTTTCAATTAATCATTGATCATGTAAGATCTTTACCTCGTTCAACAGCACCAACCCATCCATCACAACCCAAGCAGAACATGTGGAAAGATATGACATCAAGGAAGCGCTGATCATTAACTTGCAAGTGGCTTTGAATATTTTACTTCTTTTTGATCATGGATATCGTTTCTATCATCTATGGGAGCCCCGAGTACTCCCATGACACCTTTTTTTGCCTAGTAACGCCTGCTCACCCACCCATCAGAATAGCTCAAGCAGAGCTATATGAAAAACATAAAACAAGAATATTGGCACAGCCATATATACATAAACCAGGGCCCCATCCCCAGAATTACCGGATTAGTCTCCATCTTGATCGAGGGTTACGACTCAGCGGTACCCTTCCAATCCGCTTAGCGGCCCCCAGCGTTGAGCACAAACATGGGGATAGGTGAAGCCAAGTCTGTCTCCTCTTCTACCTCCCGAATGCTCTGCTGCTCGTCGATTGGCTTTCTTTGGGGTGCGGCTTCAAATGTGCTCGACTGAGCCAGCGGGCTGGAGTTTGAGATCAAGCTGCTGCTTCGGATCCGCTTGAGAGACTGGTTGCTGGCACGTCGAGGTAAAACCATCCCGGCATTGGGTGCTGAGAAGACCGAGGTTCCTGGGCTGGCGAGAGGAGGTGGAGTAGGCGAGTCGGAGCGGAACAATGGGTGAATGTGAAGCTCGGCACTCTCGACACTCCCACAGGGTGAGCTAGCCCTGATACTTCCCCTAACCGATCCATCGCTATTGCTGCGTCCACGCGCATGGATGGGTGGGGGGAGCTCCAAATCGCCGGGGGTACCGAAAACAGGTGTGTCATTGACCGTCGGGCTGGCTGGGATAGGTGCAAGCGATCGGGGTGGGCCGTATGCTGAGACAGAGTTCTCACGCTTCATACCCCTGTTATTTCTGCCCATTTCCAAGGAAGCCCCGTCGCCCAAGTCGGAGTGGTCGTCGGATTCCCATCTTCGAGAGCTGGTAGACTCAACTGATGGGCTCCTCCGCATATCTCTGGTTGGCAACAGTCTAGTCTTGGATGAGACAGTGCGGATGGTCTGAGACATGGAGGATCTGGGCGACACGATAGCTGCAGAGGGTGGTCGACTAATGGTGGAAAATTCGGTTGATGACTCGAACGAATTGGTCTCGAGCTTCTCGGACTTGGTAGGCCGAGTTCGATCATAAGGTACTGCCTTTACACGCAACTTGAGGGAGAGCTTGGATGAATACCCTTCGCTGTGGAGTGAGGAGTTTTCATCGACAGAGAGACGGCGAATGATCAGGAAATACATGGCAATGAATGCCAACTGGAAGACGACAGCCATCGCCATGAAGACGGACAGGTTGAGGACGAAAACACGCTTCGATCCATTGAAAGCCTCCCTGTTGTTCTTTTCCGACACCTGGTTGAGACAAATGATGTTTGCAAGTGAAGCCGCAGTTCCGCTGATAATGAGCAGGACACAGATGCCGAATTTAATGCTGCGTCTTCTCGGGGACCAATTGCTCAGGAATGTGGGTGCTGACTTGAAGAATAGACTGGAAAGGGAAGTTGCAATGATAGCCCAAACCAGGGTTTCTAGAACGGCAGAGGCTGTGGCCGATGCCCTGACTTGGGATCCAGGCCCAGCTTGAACAGCAAGAACGAGGTCGATGCTGACCAGGGCAACCGTACATAGTAAGGCAGCCAGGCCGGATACGACGGTAAGAAGGTGAACCATTTTGATTCGGGATTTGAGGCAGCCTGCTCCTAGGGGATGAACGAATGTGGGATTTTGTTGCTAGAATTGGTGGTTTGGAGGCGCCCCTCAATAGGGTAATGGCCTTTCAGAGAAGTACAAGTCCACCAATCTGGTGGTAGTTGCTGGCCATACACTTACACAAGACTGTCGAATATCGATGCTGCCGTCAGATGGCCAGGGCGCGAAAAGAGCTTCGTTCGTTTTTGTTTTCCAACTCAGCGCCGGTACTGGAGTATATATCCTGGGTGGTGGCGGTGTGAATGGTCGACGCCTTGAGTGAAAAGAATGAAGTACTTGGTAGTTGTCGTCGCCTTGTCTTGACTGTTTTTGGTCGCCAAGGGCAAGGAAGGTATAAGTATGAAGGAGATGGATGAGTTGACGAGATCCTATCAATATGGATGGCGGTGCCTTTCTGTAGGTCGCCAGCCGGACATGGAGGACCAGCTCTGGAGCAGATGTAGTCGACGCGGGGTCTTGCAATCTACAGTGGGATGTGAAGGGATCTGCCCGGTGTTGCCGAGGGAGGCTTGTTGTGAAGAAAACAAACCCAGATGAGATGGTGATGAGACAAAGAGACAAAACGGCCAGAAGGGAGGGCGTTGAGTGTCTCTGGGGATAATGAATGTCAGTGAGATCTTATGATTAAGATCAACCAGTTGGGAAAGGTAAGTAGTAAACGAATGACGGAACGAAAGTGGGTGACGGCACGTAGGTAAGTACGGCAACAAAGCATGAATGAATGTGAGAAGAGGGTGGGACGGGCCAGTCGGTCGTTGGTTGGGGCTGAGGGTATATCTAATATTAATTCCGAATGGGAGTCAAGGCAAGCCGCCCTGCAGGACAGACAAGCTCTACGAATGACGCTCCGTGCTCGCAGGCAGCGCATGGGCATGGGCATGGGCATGGGCACCGTGGATGACATCCATGGGGAGGTCTTTGGTACGGACCAACACCAGCCGATGGGCCATCTGGGGCGGTGGGCCCAGGCTAGGTGCTTGGACGGACAGGACAGGTCACCATCAGCGCCCCAATCGAGAGGTTCAGCCCAAAATGACAACGTGTGAGGACTGGCCGGGGTGGGCAGGGGCTCAGGAAGCAAGCTTGAGATCCCCCCGGAGGATGAGGAGGGATTCCGTGACGGGAGAGGTGGAGAGTGCTTGAAACTCGGGGCTGACCTGACCTGGCTGGGACCAAAGCTGAAGCCCAAGCAAGAGGTAGGCATACTGGCTCTTTTCCGTGGCCGCCCTCCTTTTCCCGCTCTGGACCAAGATTTGTTCGATGATTTTGGTGTAGGAGCTTGGATCTCGGAGTGGAAACCATACCCTCCCTCCCAGCCGGTAGAAGGGAGGGCAGAGTTTTTTTTCTCTCTGATTTTAGTTTTCTGTATGCTGCCATTTATTTCTGAAAAAGAAGGCAGCAAGGAGATGGTGGGTGGGAATTATGGGGTCAGCTTATTTTGATTTTGGCTTTTCTCCCGACACGACGTAGCAGTGCGACTCCATTATGCTACTCTACGAGCATGCTAAAGGCACTTTTTACCTCACAGCAGTACTGCACGGCTGTCAGGTACCTACTCTGGGCCCACGGCAAAAAAGCACAGTGCTCTGTTCCTGAGCGGCACCAACGTCTCACACCAATGAATCCACCCATGGCAGCTGTCAAGGCTCTAAGTAGAGGCGAGGGGGCCGCAGGCTCAGCAGGCTCGGGCAACTTATACGCTGAAGGAGGGGCTTTGTTTTGTGTGGGCTCGACCTACGACGTGTGCAATCTCGACTACGAACCCACAGGATCTGAGGGCTCTGGAGGAGAGTTTCTGATTCTTCCCCGAATGCGCCGTTGATTTATATCCTTGTCAGCGTTTCTCCCGTGTTCTCCCATCGCCTGTCGGTAGTCTGGCGCGTGCCTCTTCCTCCCCTCGGTCCCGGTCTCAGCGTTCTCTCTCCCCCCCCTCCCGACACTGTGCGCGAGATTCGCCAACGATGCCATCATGCACGACAGGCGGCGGCGGCTGCTCTAGCAGCTGCGAGAGAGCTTGCTTGCGTGTGTGCGCCGCAAATGACCCCACCCCTTGCATTAAAGCTCAACTGCGCCAGTGTCTCAGCAAGTCAGCCATTCCCTTGTCTCTGAGACAGCACCAAGTGGGCTATTTTTGTGGCCAATGTCACAATTTGTGCTAGTCCCTTAGTGCAGTGTCTTGCGCGCTAGTACCTGGCTAGAGGTAGCAGTCCGTTATATCCACTGCGGAGAGGTACATGGATATAGTTAGCCTCAGGCAGCCGATTTGTGCATCGCCTCCTTGCTAAAGGGTAAGTAACTTAGCTTCTTGCCCGTTATTCGCCTAATCAAGACGAAGCAGAAGAAGCAAAAAGATTTTTTTTTTGTTCCCTCTCTCGTTTTTCTTGTCATTTCCCCTCTTTCTCCATATCCAATAGTGTATAGCCCACCACGACGACTCCGCTAACGCTTCCCAGTAATGTGTTAAGACATATTGATGACGCTGCCGGCCGGCAATATCCTGTGTATTATAGCCCGTCGTGATGTGTTATTTGTTTTGTTTGTTTGTTTTCGTCCTGCCCGCTTGGGCCTCGGTCGTGGGTGTTCGTCTACACAGACCCAGTTGAGAGCAAAGACCTCCTCACCCGAGCTCTTGGGACTGGCAAGACGAACCATCCACTCTACTTCCCTATCCCACACATAAGGTCCTACTTGCATTCCAGGTTTCAACGCCCTGATGGAGGTAGGTGGTACTCTCGGAAGATAACCGCTCAGCAGCATTTCTGTTCCGGGAGACTCGCTGTAGATCCTCCCACGATCCCCCGAGTCTCACTTACACTTTCGATCGGGATGAGCTTCCCACCCCCGGCCTGTTCCGTCTGGCAGCAGGCAGATGCCCTACACCTACGCACCAAGGTGGGACTTGCACGAGCCCTCCAACGGGGATAAGCTGCGTTGAGCGAGCTAACTTTGCTGACCGATCATCGACGTAGGTGAGGTTTTTTTTTTTCCTCTTCACTTGTTCCCAAATTCCCTTGATCCCTGTTCCCGAAGTACAAGCACCCGCACCCGTCCGTATTCGCGGCGTAGCAGGGCTCATTTGTCTCCCAATGCTTTTGACTCTTTTTGTTTCTGTGCCATCCCTAACCTTGCCTGTTATGAAATGCTCTCTTAGCGATGGGTATGGGGCGTTGGTAACACTCTTGCTCTGACTTCGGTCACCGGCGACCTAATTCGCAGGGCAGGGCAGCTGATAGGCTGTTTTTGGCCGCTTCTACGGACCTTGTGCGCGTCACCGCTCTCAGCTCCCCCCAGCACACAGCTCGTATACATGATCTCGTCATCTATCATTTACCTCCGGCCGGCAATCAACAGCTTGGCCAGTCAGGCGCCCGTGGTTGGCTGTGCTCTCGTAAGCGGCAATCTTGATCACCGTGCCGGCAGTGAGCTGAAGCAAGGGAAGCTTGCCAATGTAAACCCAGCGATTCTACGGCCAGGTGTCACAGCAGAGGTTCGACCGCGAGACTACGCTGTGTGGTAGCAAGTACAACCCCCTATTCGGGTGCGGTGAGTTCTAGATGCCATCTGATGTCAATGGCCAGTCGTTATCCTCTATGCATGGAGGTTTGGATGGTCCAGAACAGCTTCCTCTCCCCACCAAACTAGTTTTCCTGATGCAATTCATGCCGGAAAAGAGCGAGTACAAGCCATTCCCAGCTCGACGCGGTAGTAACAGTAGTGCGCGTAGAGTGGTACCTACATCTATGTAGTAGCAATAACCGTTCTGAGTGTGGTGTTCTCGGAAACCTTAACTCGATAGTTGGACGACATCGTAAAGTTCATGGCATGCCGGATTCACACCTTCTGGTTCCCCGTCGACCGTATGAATCGCCTTGCTCATGCCGTCATCATAGCACTTCGATTGGCTAGACTGGGATCATTGCTCTCAAATCAAATCTCACTTTGCCCCCTCCCCTCTCCCCGGAGAGGGGAGGGTCTGAGCGCTCTAGGCTGTGTCGTGCCTGACTTTGATTCGATCTGGATTTCCAATGTTCCATGCTTGTTTTACAGGGATCTCCCTTGACCGAGAAAGCTCCCCTTGTTCAGGGCTGCCAACGGCGGCCGGGCTCCCGCAATTTTCGTGACTCGTGCAAGTCGCGATTTGTTTATTTTGAGAAATCCCAGACGGTGAGAAGCGTTCTGAGAATTGTAAGCGCCCTTCCAGAAGAGCCTTCTTTTTTGGCTGTCAAGGCAGGGCCCGTGATGGTGCTCCGACCGGTCCTCTTCCCCGAAACTGAAGGAGGGTGAGATTTGACATGCTAGGGCCCAGCCAATGACGACCTGCAGCCATGCCCGGGGTCTCTGCACGTAGAGTGTGCGCAATATGTACTGTGATGAATGCACGGCTGAACTTTACGAGAGTCTAGATCCAGGAGTCCATCTGCAGATGTTATATGCCTGCGGGCTGTGCGGAGGACTTTTGCCCGCAGCTCGGTAGCTTGTTTGGCATTTTCCTTACCTACTGTGGCAGAGCGTCGCTCTCGGAGAGGGGACTCGTGTTGGGGAAGGGGGATTTGAGTTCTGCATGGCACCGCAGCGTCGCATGGCCTTGCGTTCGTATCATGGGCCATCGTTGCTTTTGGCATTGCCGCTGTCGTTCCTGCCTGCTATCCGTGCCCTTGATATCTGAGACCGTCATTAACCCGACGCCGCTAATGGTAGATCAGTGGTTCATGGGGTTGATCATAAGGTTCCATGCAGTGTACCGTCTCACAAGGTCACAGTAGCCTCCTTGGGGATGCAAGTCTGGCGTGACTAGCCATGGCTTCATCTCGAAAGTTCCGTAGTAGATGGGTTTGACCCCAACAATTCGATCAGTATTCCCATGTGTCAATAACCCGTCGCGACTCGAGAATGCTACCTACATGCATTCGATCCCATGTCGATGTCCACTAGGGGATTTCACACATGGTTTGTTGCAGAAATCCCGGTATGATCTTCCTTAATGATTCAGGGTTGTATTGGCATGGTTTAGGGTAGGAAATACCCTGAGCTGGAAATTATTTCTCGGCTAGGTCGTGAAACAAAAAAGTTGAAAGGTGCAATATCATGTTCATTAGCCTCACTCCAAAGCTCCCCTAAACCATGGCCTCCACTCAGACTGTGAGTACACGAGTAAGTTAGGTTGACAGTTGAAGGGCGCTATGCTCGCACAGAAACATGACCGGGAGGGCCCTTGATATCTTCATTAGCACATGGCGTGGTACCTCCTTTTCGTACCAGGCGGGACTGCTGGCGTGGCGGGATTGATCCCCGGGCAAAATCAAGAGAAAGCCAAGAGGCACTTCGCCAGGGTCCTAATATGGCACTTCAAGCCATCTCGTTTTGCTGGAGTCTCGAGAATGAGCGAGAGGATCATGCTGGGATTGCTGTCCAACACTGCCCCTAGCGTAGCGTAGCAGGTTATATGTTGGGAAATGTCCTCGGGGGCTAGAAAAAGAACGAATTACACAGGAAATTTGTCGTCGAGATTCCGGTCAAGCTGATGGACAGCCTTTGCGGACATTGCATCAACGCTACCTAGGCTTACATGCCTGGCTTGACGACGTCCCCATCTACCTAACTCCCATTGACTTCGACCCTCACAATGCCTTCATTGATTCGAGCTCTATGAGTCACATCGTTTCCTAGGTCTGAGATTGGGACAGTGCTATCCTCTCTTAGCTTCATTTGCTGCGCACCGCCATTGAGGATGTGAGCCTGTGGCGACGAACACGATGAGAATGAGAGAAATCCCAACGATTTCTCTAATCAACGAAGGATGCCAGTCAAAGAGGCTGCTAGTCCCTAGAAATAATAACCATAATTTTCGGCAAGAGATAAGTAAGGCTGAATGCAGAGACTAGTTACCTGGGTGGTCCCATGAACCGGAGGGAAACCTACAGTTTTCTCCCACGGAGCTTAGAGTATTCTCCTGAAGACGAAATATTGCCCTTTGTCGAAAAACGACTCTTACCTGCAGTGAAATTGGTGATGAGTATGTGACTGGTTTGATGGCAGTGTCAGGCAATTTTCACCTTTATGTAATGATGCCCCCTCTCGAGGCTTCAAGGAGTGTCTCTATCAGATCTCGGGGTATTTCAGTAAACATTGAACATCTCTAAATGAGCTCTTGGGAGCTTACAGCTGCAGGGCACGAATTGTTCAATTGATTATGTGATGATGAGCTTGTTCTATTCAGCCTTTGGATCCTCGTTACGCGAAGGCTTGATCCATCGTACTATAGGGTGGCTAGTTTCTGGGTGAGTCGGGTAGATGGGACGTCGTCAACCCCAATATGTAAGCCTACTTCGGGAACAACGTTGATCAACAGGAGGTCGTCGATGATCTCTGGCTCCTCTCTCATTTTAGTTCCGACTGCTCTGAACTGTTGTTCTGAACGGCTGTGGCATACGTGATAAGTTGGCGGCTGGGAGCGTTCGTGAATATGTGCTCCATTTCTATTAGAGGCTTGTCAGTACCTGCTGGTAGTGGTGAAATTTTGCCTTGCGCGAGCCTCTGGTTTCATGCCCTAGAGCATGAGAATCTATATTGGCGTTGGAATGATGTAATCCTCGACTCCCAACTCCGACGTCGTGCCATTTTGGATCAAGAGGCTCTACTGAAAGTTAGCTTAGTTAGCGGTGCCATGCAATCATAAACTCACTGGAATAAAAATCTTGAATTCCGGTGAGTCTCTGAGGTCTATGTGGCTCTGGAGTTCCTTGAGGTCTCCATAACCGCTGGCGGCCAGATCCGGACATCAGTGATCCGTATGTCATCAAGCAAACTGTCAAAAAAAGCATGGCCCATTGAATTTGCAGACCATATGGTGGGGATGAATGAAATTGACCACACTACTAATGAATCTGGACTGAGTCTCCGGAGCCTCTCGCATATCCTTTAGTGCTGCTGATTCTCCTTGACTTATCCTTGGAAAATTCAAAGTCGGGTTCTTTGGGGCCGCTGAATATCAGCGCCATAGTCCTTCGAAAAACCGCCGGGTTTGATAGTTTCTCTTCCTCGAGTAGCTTTGTTATAGTCGCCTGAGACCCGTTTCTTAGCTCGCCACTGATTCTCCATGCCCCTTGACATGGTTGGATAGACCCTGTTTTCTTAGCAATTGTAGTGACTGTAACATTCAGCCTCGCTGATAGCCCATTCAAAGCGCCAACTTCGTCGTCAGTAAGTGGCATACTGTCCATTTCTAGTAACGGATTTTCTAAGTCCTGGGCCATCTCGTCCAGCCGTTGAATATTAACCATGGTGCCCAGGAACAGGGAGTGTTGGTGAGTAGCAGCATGTGACTTTTGAAGCTCATTATCCGTGATAATGGACCATTCGAAGTCTGAACATTCGGAACTTTGAACAATCCAAAGTGTAAGTAACTTGAATGAAATCTGGAGGAGCAGAAGCTTGGGGTTTCGAAAGACTGAGAGTTCGAAGCTTGGGAGTGCGAAAGATTGGGAGTGCTGAGGAGCTGGGAGATCATCCGCTTGTCCCCTACGATACCACCCTGGCAGCCCCATAGTTACCCACACCCGAGTCTAGGAGGACCTTGCAGGCAGCAAGTAGGGCTGAGGTAGGTCCTTGCTGGCCTGGATATACTTCAATGGTGACCTTGAACATTGCCCATACCTCCGACCAAGAATAGGCCATTGAACATCATGATTCACAGACGAGAGTGGGCCACGATCTTACTAGGAGAACAGAAATCATCTATAAAGAGACCCGGCTTGAGCGAACCATGAAACTTTCTTCTCAATCTTTCAAAGCAGATCCTTCTTTGATCTTCTTGCCACTCCTTGCATCTCCTTGCATCTCCTTGCATCTCCTTACGACTTCTAAAGATCTATCATAGCTTCTTGAGCTCTTTGAAACGATTTGAAGAAGCCCCTGTAACTCTTCGACAAACACTTTGCGACCCCTTCAACTTTTTAAGATTCTTTACGACGAACAGAAGCATCTTCATTTACCAGAATGGCACTTCGAACTCCCCCAAGAGGCGCATTTGACAAGATGACCTTCGAGATTTTACCGAAGAAGTATACTACTGTGACGGTTAGTTAGTGGTGCCCTTAGAAACGCAAGACATATTGCTTACCAGTATTAAAAGACGGATAATATCTGGAAGAAGGGGAAAGCCCACAAGTGGTCGCGAAGCTGCCTTATTCCCGCTGTAAGTAATGCGCCCACGCAACAAGTCAATTTGGATCAACTAACAGAATTTCAGCTTTAGGACGAGAAGACCAAAGAAACCTTCTCTATTCCCTGTAAAAGGGTGCTACTCAGAAAGTTCTAGGTAAAGGATTCAAAGGGGGTTCAAGGCTAGATCGCAGTACCTAAGGGTATCTAAGACTTTCTGAGCTATTTGCTCGTGGCCCGACGGCCGATAACGAAACTCCTGTCTTAAAGGGGTCATCACCCCAACGGCAAACATGGAGAAACCAGCGCCTGTTTTCACATATGCAGCATTCAACCTTGGAGCACTGATAGATTTGGCCGAGGCTCTGAGGAAAAGGCCTTGCTCATGCGACCAAACAAAGAGACCATACAGTGGTAGCCTGAACTGGGCAATCGAGCTGTATTTTGACGAAAGTGTCGTGTGGATGTTTCGATCACCGCATACACGTGGAAGCCCGATGAGCCTGGAATCTATCCAACTTTTGCTTGCTAGTGAAGCCGCCACACTTAAAGTATATCGGGGCGAACACCTCTATTCCCGCGCCTCCCTTGAAAAGTCGGTGCCTGCCAGCTAGACAAAGCTTCCAGGTCATTGTGTCTGCCACGTTGAGGAGGCGGTTCTACTTGCTATATCTGCTGGCTCAAGTTCAATTGATTTTCAAGCGCTGAATACCCTTCAGCGTACAGAAATATGGATTACAAGTCTGCCGTGACGCACAACTGCGAGTTCTGGACATGAGGAGTTATCTCTCTATACTATCGGGACAAAGCAACAAGTCTTCTAGAATTCTGTTAGCCTTCCTGTTTCTTAGTATATTTTCGAATTGGCTAGTATCGAGGAGACTCACCTCAGCATGTCTGAAAATTGCCTCCTCGGTCGCGCGTGTAGAAACACGATGCGGCCAAGTAGAGATTTTGATCTCACACATTGTGGCGCCTACGTAGAAGTACCTAGGATGGGCTTGAGGTCTGTTATTGCAAAGGCCCTTTTTGGCTGGATGACATTGGAGAACCCTGTCTCATCGACCACCGGGTCATTCCAGGAAGGCGATGCGATAGATGTTTCTTGAGCTTGATTTCGGCCGACATGTTGTTACTTGGATCGGAGCCGGAGGGGCCTTCGGAGGGCACAAGCAGCATTCCTAACAAGAGCACAAGAATGAGCACTATCCAGCAGAGTTTGTCTGTTACTATGAGCGCAAGTGCCTACCCAGCCTTCTCAGCCAGTGAGACATAGACGGTAATGTCCCGATGGGGCCCGTTTCGTCCTAAGACACGGGCGGGAGGATGCACAACAACAAATCCCAGGATAGCGGGCACATGCATGGGGAAAGTTCCCATCCTCCGCGTTGTACCTTAGCTCCCCCCCCCCCTCCGGGGATACGTCTCACAACCTGTTTTGTGGCGGTTGGTGAGTTCGTAGACACACTCGCTTGAACAACCTTTGATTGCTGGGCAGGGGAGGAGAACTAACGAGATAAGGTGTCGGGATGTGACACACCAAAACCCATCTCTGGCTGTAACTTGCCGGTCACAGGCTACCAAGGTAGACTGTTGTGAAGCGGCTGACAACGAAAACTGCTGACCGCCTGTCATGCTGTTGGGAGTTCGCCGTGTACCTTGCATCCCAGCTTGTTGCGTACGCAGCCGCCTTAGGTCCCTGGTTGAGTAACACAACGTCAATAGCCTCCAATAGCGACGCCTAGACAATTATCGTTGAGCCAGCTGACATGAACTAGTCACGACGCCGGAAGTCCTCCCTTGTATCTCGCATGAATGTATATGTAGGGGCCCCTGGTGCCTAGCCGTAGTGCACAACGTCAATAGTCTTCAATAGCCAAGGCTGGCTGATGGCGATCAGTTCTCTGTTTGGCTAAGTACCGTGCCATACCTATATATCTGTACACACTTTTGATCTGGCAGGCAGCCGCTGCCAGGGGCCGAAGAGGCAGCAACAGGAGTACCATTGTAAACATGTTGAGAATTGTCATGCTGTAATTTGGCGTAGAGCCAAGAGATCCCAAATATCAAATGTACGTGCTTGGGAGGAAGCCATACATATTTCTTGTATCAGAGGCTGCTTTCCATAGGTCAGCCAACCAGCCCTGCTTATGGTAGCAAGAGCTCAGCCAACAACCTTCCCCGGACCAGTTCCTCTATGCCTCTTTTAACGCTACTGCAATGCGAATTTACACCTTTGTATCCTTGGCCGGTGCCCTGCGTCGTGGGTTTGCCTTTCCAGCTCAGGCTCGGTCTAGACCGTTGCTATTGTGCTTCCTATTGTTCAGACGCCACATGACGTACGCCATAATCTTCTCATCAAACAATGTTATTCGCCGCTGCCAAGGCCAAGCCATTTCTTTTCAATATGAGGAAAGGTGGGGTGTAACACCTTTATTGTTTGTGTGCCACAGTCAAAGCATGTAGGCAATGGGCAGATGCGTATAGTTCTTGTACATGTAGCTCGGTAGCCACACGCCCTTCCACCCCCCTCCCCTGCCTTTGTCTTGGCCTCAAGCTCTCCCAACAAGCTGAGAGATTGCGTTTGTGTGGTGGCACTCGGCGGTTCTGGCGTCTGGTTTTGATCAGCTCCGCCCCCTCTTTGTCTCCCTTCACTAAGTGTGTCTGTGGCCCAGATTCTCTTGCCTATAAGACTTGTGCACACTCTAGTCGGCTGACCTTCGATTCAACCAAGACTCGAACTCTGTTGCCAGCAAATTTGCCCGTCTCCTTGAGGTTCCTGTGCCATACGTTGTTTATTGACCAGGTTATGATCAGGTTGGGCTTGAGAGCCTTCATTCACCACTATTCTTCAGACCACGCTGGTTGAAACATCAGCACGCCAAACATGGGTTCGTTAATCCCCGATTCCCTTGTTAAGGCCCATTTGGGTTCGAAGCGTCACAGTCCTGACCTCGAGGATGGCGTAGACGAGCCAGCCTCTAAGCGAAGCCGGTCCTCTGTAATCACAGATGAGAATGAACACGGCAAAGAGAGCCTCGAGACCATTGCCACTGCCTACACCCAAGCGCCAGAGCCCGATTCCACGGATCATCTCACACATGACGGCCAGGGCTCTACCAGCAGCGTCCCGAGTGCTCCAGATAGACTCGGAAACGACGCTGACGACACAGTATCAGAGAAGTCTGCCGCCCCAGACTCGACCCCCGAGAAGAGTATCGACAGCGTCGTCGATACCGACGCGCCAAAGGCTAGTCCATCCGGCCAGCCCACTCTCAGCAGCCAGGACCCTGCCCTCTCCATCCCAGATCCTACTGCCGTACCTGGCAACGGAGTTGACGATGCGGCAACCTTCAAACCTGCCGTCTCGGGCTCAATTCCCGAAGCGAGCGCCGATAATGCTTCCAACAACCTAGTAGGCCTTGCTTCCAAGATTGACCCTGCTGCTTCCACCACTTCCCTCCCGATTGGCGTCGAGGATGCCCAGTGTGGTGCATATATCTTCTCTAAACCTTTGGATAAACCTTGGGACTATGACTCGATTAACGGTTGCGAGTGCGGAGAAATGCTATACGATTGGTGGGGAGATCTTCGCGCTTTCGTCAGGCGGTTTGTCTACAACACCCTTCCGTCAGTCTACTCTTGGGATAGGCTACCTGGTGTGTGGCAAGATGAGATCAGTGAATGGGCGACGAATGCGCCTAATCATTTCAACTCCAGCAATAAAAATGTTGTTGAGAATATCTTCATTGCTTGGATTTTCCGCATCCTCTATGAACGCGTCTTCTCGGGAGCGGACCCAGATAAGTGGAATGGAGAGTTGTGGCAATCATTTGGCAAAATACAGGCCTCTGCTCGAGGTGTGTGCTTAAATTTCTGGCATCTATTCTTTAATAGTAGCCCCGTAAAGACAGCGCTGACTTGTTTTTATAGAGCTTGTTACCGACTCCGATGACAAATACAACCCCTTGTACCATCACTGGCGCAATCTCACTGCTCGAGTAGTACATCGACAGAATCCCGAACAGAGACACTTTGATACTTGTTGGCTACGAAGCCAAATAGAGAAGCGTGTTCTCAGTATCCAGACTGAATACCTCGAAACCAATCCCCACCCAGAGCTTGATATGACGGTCCTCGAATTCCTAGACGGTAGTTACATGACCTTGATCGATGCAGTGATGCGTATGGATATGGTCATGATTGTAACTCGCTGGCACATAAGAATGGAGATGTCCCACCCAGATACGGGTCAAGTCCACGGATTCCGTCCGGAAGAGAATCGAATGGATATTACAGTCACTGAGCTCGGAGCAGAGCCGGGGCTTGTCGACTACGTCATGGTCCCTGCGCTTGTAGTTCACGGATGGACAACTGGAGGCTTCCCACAAGCGGGAACAGAATCCGTCATCTATCCTCTCGGTTACGATTATTGGTACAAAGCTCATATGTACAGCACACCAATGGAAGTTGTCTGTCCGGAGAAGCTGGAGGAACGGGGCCAGAACTAGGATACCAGGATACCACGAGCGAATGCAGAGGTGCTAACAATTGAATGGGTTGCACATTGATCTCACAATTCGCTACATACCCTTTTGCTAGAAGCTTGTAGACAGATTCTCACCAATGCTAGTTACCTAATTGTGTCATTAACTTTTCCCATATCCCCTTTTACTCAAGTGTGTACTTTTTCTCTCTTTCCTTTCTTTTCTTGGCTTTTCGAACAGGCTCAGACCGTTTACAATGTCTCATATCTTCATTGCCAGCACTGCTTGCTCTCTATTCTTAACCTACGGCGCTTCAAGAAGAGAAGATGTAACAACGAGATGGGACTTTCCCCTACCACCGGGCAGACCGCTCACTCTCCTCTCGATAATTTTTGGGTTATGTACACCCCCCTAGCTAAGCCACCGCACCGAAACTAGGGGAAATCAGCTGCAGCCAACCTACTCCCCCCCCTTTTATCATGCCTTAGTCCTGTGCCAATTAGTTACACAACAGCGGGAATCAGCCAGAAGGTACAACATTATGCTGCCGTCTCAGGCTGGATACAAAGCCCTGCTGCTCTCCACTTATGCATTTTGCTTACTCTGGGTCTGTGGCCCAGTGTATATGGGAGGTGGCATTCAAGGTCCCGCGGCCAAGTACCGGGGGAGGGGGGTGGGGATGCAGAAGCGCCTCCTTCTTGCCTGTAGAGGTAGTTCGCACAGTCTCGCAATATTGGGATTGGACGATGCGGTGTATACTTGCTATTCGCAGGAACTAAGTCCTTCCGGCATGCCATTCAGCTTCTTCAGTTATAAGTACTGCTTTGCCCTCCTCCACCTACCCTTCCTCTTCCTCGCCTCTTCATCTTCGTTAATTGCTTCAAACATACCGTTCCATATCTAGAGACCTTTGAATATTGCATCACATTTTTTCCCTCGCCATTCAGTCTTTCGAGATGGCAGAGAAGCCTCCTTGCTGTCAACCACATGTGGTCATTGGCCTTGATGTAGGCACAACGTAAGTGAACCAGTAGTACGATGGGTGTCAGCCAGTGTTGCTAACACCTCTCAAGGTACTCCGGTGCGTGCATCGTTGAAGCCACCAACTGTTTGACGCATGGACGTCACGAATTCCATGATTCCGACGTGATCAGCAAATTCCAATCGCTTGTAGCGGTCTCTTTGGACAATAATGGTCCGAAAGCCCGCTTCCTTCGTCCTCGTGAAGAGCCGCACGATGATGAAGAGATCCAGAGATTTTTCAAATTCGATCTTTTCTACGAGTTCAATCAATCCGCCGAAGATACCAGGCTGGTGACTTGGGTCAGGGAAAACGAGGGACATGGGAAGAAGAAGGTGGGAACACATGATGCATTCAAGACTTTTCTCGAGGGTCTCTTTGTTCTTGCTCTTGAGAAGCGCAAGAACAGAGGTGCCCCCATCACAGCTGCAATCACGTACCCTTGGAAACTCTCTCGTAGTAGTTTCTCAATCATCCAGAGTATTGTCAGCCATTCCGCCATCCCAAACCAATGCAGTAAAGTGGTCTATGGATCTGAAGCCGAGGCGGCCTTGGCCGGCACATTCCAGCTTTTGCGGACCCGTGGGCCCATGCAGGTATATTATTTATCTTCTCTCTATTTAGGCCCTTCTCAGCTTGACTTCTTCCTTAGTGTTCTCAGCAAATTTTCCCATGATTTTCTTTTTCTTCTTGCTCATCATCTAGAACTTTCCTACCTTAGACTTCACTCACTTCTTCCATCTCCTGCCCCGTCTCTGTGTCCCGTGTCCCGTGTCCTGTGTCTTTGGATTCTATTTGGCTTCAGCTGACAATCCCGAAGGAGCCTGTGATCATCGCTGACTGCGGCGGTTTAAGCATTGTTTGTGCCTTCCAACCTTCTCACACCCCATCCATACTAATCTGCTCGAAGGATATCGCGGTTTTTCGGCCGGAAGATCACGGACGCTCGATCCCCCCGCCTACAAAATCAATCGCTGGGGGTGGTTTATGGCTAGACCAAATTTTCAGAGACTTGATGGAGGACAAGATCTCACACGCTGTCTCCCATGTCCGGAATCGCCATGTGAACGATCTCGAGAAATTTCTAAACCGTCGCCCCAGCTACAGAGCCAAAATCCTTAAAATTTGGGAGGATATCAAGCGTGAGCCCCGCGCGACCACACTGGATATTTCCGTGCAAGTCCTGCACACCGAAATCTATTTCTCCAGGTAGGACATCTCTTTCTTCCCCTGCATTCGAATACCATTGCTCCATGGACCAACTGTGGTCAATTTCAGCCCATCATGAACTCAACCCAATCCTTCCTTCTCCCTCCCACCCTCACCCTCGAGGTACGGTCTAGTTTCAATCTAGTGCCGCTAACATGTCTAAACCAAGTGACGAGATACATGGCGTGATCCACGAGCACGCAAAACGACTGGTGCGGATAATCGACAAGATCGGAGACGACGAGGTCGAGAGCAATGAGCGCGGAAAGCGCCCTTCCGTGCGCCATCACCACTCCTACATTCTGCCCCAGTCTCGATTCATTCTGCTAACAACCATATGACAGAAGGTGATCATGACCGGCGGCCTAGCCAAGATCAGTTTGTTCTACAGCAAGGTGGAAAAGCAACTGCTCAGGGAGAGAGTGGGTTCCGTGTATTACCGCTACGGTGCCGTTGATACGTAGGATTACCAGAGCCTTGTCGTCGGATAGTACCGTCTGCTAACGTGGAACGAACTAGGTGGAACGTTGTGGCAATCGGTGCCGCCGTCTTTCGTCACCAGAACATCCCCGTCAGCCGTCAGATGGAGGAACATGAGCCCCAGGACCATGCCATGCAGAACAGCGTCTCTAAGTCCTAGGGGACGATGCATCCCACAGCCAGGGAGGTGACTTGTGACTTGGAGATGTGATGGGGCGGCATGTTTCGCATGCACCTCATGAGGCGTGGGTGCTGTTGGAGGCTACGGCGAGGGGGCACAGATTTGCGGAGTGATATTGCGGCGGCCAGAGATATTGGTTGGTTGTGGTTATGTAGTTGATAGGTGACTTACATCCACTATGTGGTCGTGCAACCAAGCTAGCAATGGCCATTGAGTGAGCAGCACCTCTTCCTACCCACGATATAGACCTTTGTGCCATCGTCAGTACTCAAATGGTGCATCAACACTCGGAGCTTGTCATCCTCAACAACTACCCGGTGGCTAGGACCATATGTGACCCGCGACCAATGTTACCTACCTGAGGTACATAACGGCGTCTCAGTGTAGCTGGGTGGGCTATACTTTATGCGATATAAGCTGGGAAGGGGATATCGTGAATCTATCCATGAATGTGGTAGAATAAGGCTTGTTTGTTCTGATGCTGAGTGCATATAGAGTGCTGACAATTAACGGGTCAGTGGCGGGTAATTTGCGGGTAAATCCATCAATTTCCCAATCTGGCGTCGATTTTTGAACGACTGTTGGTTGGGATCTCTTTTTCCCATCATATTTTTTTGCCTGTTTGATTGAGCAACCCAAGCCGGACATTGTCACATACAGCCCGGGAAGAAAAAGAAAATCCAAGGGAATTAAATTAGTGAATTAGGCTTGGTGAAGATCAAATGATGAAATTGGCATTTTGGTGATCGACATGTCACTTTACCATGAGGCGGCAGAGTTCCTCCTAGCGCCAACTTCAGACGGCGGCAGTCTCAAAGCTCGAGTCTTCAAGAAGAAGGGCCTCAAGTCGCCCCCCAACCAGCTGTATGCTTTGGTGCTGGAAACTTACAAATGGAGTGTCGTGCTCAAGGAGGTTATCGAGAGGGCCGAGCTTTTAAAACTTGAACGAAAGGTATGGCTCTCTATTTCACTTATACACCTTACCTTGTCGAGCGCATTGCATGCCAAAATCGGATTCTTCTACTTTTTCTTCTCTTTTTTGGGGGGCCTATGGGTATTTCTTCTGAAGCTGACACTGAATCTACATCTCTAGTTGACACCCGCTCTCTCATTACTACTGACACATGATCTGCTCCTGGCCAAGGGCGGCATCGCCCTCCCACAGAGCCATGGTCTCAGACAGAGCGTCGAGCGTCACAAGGGTCGCCTGACGTCCGAGCTGACGCTCGCAAGGCTCCGGCGCAAGGCCGCATCCACCGAGCAGCTACGGGAGCAGGTCGAGCGAGCATCGGCGGGCGAGGAGGCCAACATCCCGCGCTGGGTGCGCGTCAACGCCCTCAAGAGCAGCGTCGAGGACCAGCTGGAGACCACGTTCGCCGCGTACAAGCGGACAACGGAGCTGCAGGAGGTCATCCGCTCCCTGCCCAGCAAGGCGGGAGGAGCAACCCGGCTGGTCTACATCGATCCGCACGTGCCCAACCTCCTCGCCGTCACGCAGGGGACCGACCTCACCAAGACGGACGCCTACGGCGCGGGCAAGATCATCCTGCAGGACAAGGCGTCGTGTTTTCCAGCCTACCTGCTCGACCCCCGCTCCGAGGACGGCGACGTGGTGGACGCGTGCGCGGCGCCGGGGAACAAGACGACGCACCTGGCCGCCGTGCTGCAGGGGCACAGACCGGACTTTGAGAGCGCGCTGCAGACCATCTTCGCCTTCGAGAAGGACTCGCGGAGGGCGCAGACGCTGGAGAAGATGGTCAGGATCGCCGGGTCGAGGAAGCAGACGGTCATCGCCCCCGGCCAGGACTTTTTGCAGGTCGACCCCGAGGCGGAGAAATACAAGGATGTCGGGCTGCTGTTGCTGGATCCGAGCTGTTCGGGAAGCGGGATTGTTGGGCGTGATTCCATGCCTGAGCTGCATCTGCCAGATGCGTTCGACAAGCAGTCCCAGGGCAAGGGTGAACCGCCGCCAAAGAATGGGCAGACGGCGAGGAAGAGGAAGCACAGGGAGGTGGAGAAGGGGGAGAAGGAAGCATCACAGAACGTTCTCATCGATGACGAAGGGAACGAGACGGTCGTCAATTCCAGCAAGGACTTGCAGGCAAGGCTGGAGGCGCTTTCTTCCTTCCAGCTGATTATCCTTCTACATGCGTTCAAGTTCCCATCTGCCAAGCGGATCACATATTCTACATGTTCTGTGCACGCGGAGGAGAACGAGCGAGTTGTCATGAAGGCGCTACAATCAGATATTGCCCGTAGCAGGGGCTGGAGGATTTTACGGAGAGACGATCAGGTCAGTGGGCTGAGGGATTGGGACGTCCGGGGCCTTCCAGAGGAATGCGGCGGGGACACAGAGATCGCGGAGGGATGCATTCGGAGCCACAAAGGGGACGGGCGGGGAGTAATGGGCTTCTTTGTTGCCGGTTTTGTTCGATCCGGCGGCGATGCGGATGGCCGTGGCGGTGGTGGTGGTGATGACTCTGATGAGGGTCCATACCTCCGGGATGTGGAGGGGAGAATCGTCCGGGACCAGCTCGGGATGCCGGTGCTAAAATCCACGGGAGAACCAGTCACACTGACTGCCAGGGATGAGTCTGACGAAGAGGATGACAGCAGTGGTGGCACATCAGATGACCAAGCAACGGACGAGGTAGAGGAGGACGAATGGGACGGATTCGGAGATTAGACTGGTATTGGAATTAAGGCCGCCGCAGGTGGTGATCTGATTAGAAACGGGACATTCGTGAGAAGGCAGCACAGAAGATCAGATCTTGGATTAATGCGAGAAGAACCGGCAAGATTGTGCCGAGCTGGTACGTAGCACTGCGCGGCGACAAGCAGCTATGAGTGGACCAGCAAAACAATAAAGGGTTGATTGTTGGAATTATCTGGGATTTGAAGATCTTTGAGCCCCGAATCCCGGTTGGTGACCAAACTGTCGGCGTCCGAATAAGGCGAGACGTGTCTGGCGAAGGAAAGGTCGAGAAGCCTAATCAAAGAAGCGGGCCTGGATAATTTGGTGTGTCGGGCCCGAGCAGGGATTCGTTATCGTTGGGGGAAGCAAACATTTTTTCTGGTCGCATGGGCCGACGATCGATGGCGTCAGATGGCGGTTAGCGGCAGATGATACTGGTGTGCACTGATTCATCTCTTGTCGGCTTACGGCCAGGAGTGATTCAGGGCACTGCTCCTTCAATGATGCCTCTCAGTGAGCTTCTGCTGCCACCCTCGCGCAGCATGATACACTCCCCTCATATGTATGTAGCCGCATGCAGGTCAGCCGTTTGGAAACAACGCTGTTACGTCGCAGCCGGAGATTGGATCTGGAGCCTCCATCGAAATTGCAACGTGCTGCGGGCAAAGCAAACTCTTGCGCATTCGTATATAGCCCCCACCAGCCGCACGCAGCCTCGGCACATTAAGTAATGGGCAGTGCATTGGAGCCGGGTTGCCGAGCGCCGGGCTCAATCAAGTTGGCGACGCTCCACCTGATCCAGTTCGGAGGACCAAAACTAGCTGATTCCTGGGTATGGCCACATGGACGGAGCGGGAGCCAGGCTGGGATGTGTGAATCCCGGCCTCCCGCTTACTTGATACGGAGGGCTTGGTGTGCAAGATGATCCAAACCCGCTCCATGGAGCGGGAAATCTCTCGATTCGGCTTGGTAATACAGCAGTCTTTTTCGATGTCTTATCTCCGGAGATTTCAAGGGCCAGTAGTCGACATAGGTAGATAGTATAGTATGTGGGCATGGCGGCGATTTTATTAAGAGGCCCGGCTGCCCCTATATAACTTACCTTGGTGGAGCTGGGCTGTTACTTTGAAGATCTTCAACTTCAACACCACCACATCGTAGGACTGCATCGCCGTCTCCAAGCAGCCATGGCACCAACGGCAGAAGCCCCGATATCATCCTCCTCGTCGTCTTCATCGGCCACAGCAACAGGCGCCGATGTCGAGTCACAGCGTACCGCCAGCGACAGGCACTCGTACTTTCGCACTCTGATTGACCAGGCCGGCATCACTCAGGCTGTCCTTGACCACAAGTACGCTGGCGAGGGAACAACCGAGTCTCCCTTCCAGGTCGAATTCATCCCTAACGATCAACACGACCCGACGACATTCTCTCAGTCCCGAAAATGGTTAATCACTCTCGTCCAGGCCATGGCGACTCTCTCTGTAGCCTTTGCCAGTTCGGCCTACTCTGGTGATGTCACCGGTGTTATCAGGGAATTCAATGTGTCGACAGAAGTCGCCATTCTCGGTGTTTCCATGTTCGTCCTGGGCTTTGCCATTGGACCTCTGATCTGGGCGCCCCTCTCCGAGCTGTACGGCCGTCAGCGGCTCTTCTTCTTTACCTACATGGGTTTGACCGCTTTCAATGCTGGAGCTGCAGGAGCCCCCAACATTGCAGGCCTGATCGTGATGAGATTCTTCGCTGGCTCATTTGGTTCAGCTCCCCTGACCAACGCTGGTGGTGTTATTGCCGATATGTTCTCGGCCAAGGAAAGAGGCATCGCCACATCCATCTTTGCGATGGCACCCTTTTTGGGACCTTCTCTCGGTGAGTAATTGAGACCCGGCCTCGTTTTGTCTTGATTCGGCGACTGATTTATGTAGGCCCTATCGCTGGTGGTTTTCTGGGCCAGGCCGCGGGCTGGCGCTGGGTCGAGGGTTTGATGGCCGCGTTCTGTGGTGCCGTCTGGATTATCAGCACTCTGAGCTACCCAGAAACATATTCGCCCGTGCTGCTCAAAGTGAGAGCTGCCGCTCTGAGCAAAAAGACCGGAAAGGTATATGTCTCGAAGTTGGAAGCTGGCAAGCCGACCAAAACCCTTGGCCAACAGTTTGCGGTCGCATTGTCGAGACCCTGGGTTCTGCTCTTCAAGGAGCCCATCGTGTTCCTTACTTCGCTCTATATGGCCATCATCTACGGCACCATGTACCTCTGCTTCGCTGCATTCCCCATTGTCTATCAGCAGGGGCGTGGGTGGAAGCCTGGTGTTGGTGGCTTGGCCTTCATTGGTCTAGCTGTGGGCATGACCATCGCTACAGCTGGCAGCATCCTCGACAACAAGCGTTATATCCGTGTAGCCATTGCTCACGGCGGCGCAGCTCCCCCTGAAGCACGTCTCCCACCCGCCATCCTCGGCTCGATCCTCATTCCCGTGGGAATGTTCTGGTTCGCCTGGACAAACGGTCCCGAGGTTCACTGGGCCGTATCCATTGTCGGCTCAGGAGTATTCGGTACGGGCATTGTGCTCGTATTCCTGTCGCTCATGACCTACCTAGTCGACTCCTATGTCATTTTTGCAGCATCTGTGCTCGCTGCCAACTCCGTCCTGCGATCGCTTTTCGGTGCCGTCTTCCCCCTCTTCACAACCTACATGTACCAGGATCTTGGAATCCACTGGGCCAGTTCGATCCCCGCCTTCCTGGCCGTGGCGTGTGTACCGTTCCCGTTCCTGTTCTGGAAATACGGTGATAGGATTCGCATGAAGTGCGAGTTTGCTTCCGAGGCGGCAGAGGTCCTCGCGCGCATGCGCGCGACACATCAGCCCGTGGATGAGGATGAGGCTATGGAGGAGGTGGTGAGACATAGGACAAACGCCACAAACGCCTCCGCAGCATCTCGTCGTTAAGGAAAGAGGATGTTAATAGAGAGGCATGGAAGCGAGGAACGGTTGTCATGAATTATTGCATTTTTGCTCAAGAGGTGAGGGGATCCTCAAGCATAACAGGGCAAGGCGTTCGGGATTGGCATAAGAACACCTGGACGGGTCCAGGTCGTTACGAATTATAGACAAATAGGCTGGCCCTTAATTGGGCATTTTAATCATAGAAGAGAAATTCAGAGTCAAATAGATGATACCACTTGAAAATGTTCGAGGAACCAAACAAACGATGTGGTTGTTTCTGACCGATACAGTTAATTACGTTGGACCTAAAAGCGGCAATCAAGGTGTGGCGCCCACGGTGAAAAACAGTGACGGTGTGGCGCAGGCGCGTTCATCCCACACAGTGCCACTGGACGCGTCGGCCGAGTTGAGCCTAGCACCAACAGCGGCCCGTGCTGTGGTTGTCGAAAGCCAGGACAATAATTGAATCAGTTCCAGCCGTCCTGCAGGGACTACATGGCGACAATTCATCTGCTCCTCCGTCCCACCATCCCACGGCAGCTGCTTTACGCGTTGTCGCGTACTCACAGATAGTTGCGCCCCTGAGAAGCCTCTACCGACAACGATGGCAACCTTCTCACCGGCTAGCTCTGTGTCGAATGATTCGTCCTTCTACACCGCTGTTGATTCCCACTACGGCAGCAAATCAACGACGGCTAGCAGCCCTGTCTACGAGAATGCGTCGCCGTATGACGATGCACGGCCCCTGCTTTCCGAGCTGAGGGACCATTGCCACATATTTCTGGATGAAAAGCTCTGTGAGTCCCGTCTTATCCGTCTCTTCGATGATTGAAGATGGCCCGACGCTGACAGTCGCGCAGACGGTTCTGGCGTGAGCCTGCTGAGCAGCATCCTTGCTGCTGGCACATCAAGACGATCACCAGCGCTATCTAAACCAATATCCGTCCCTCCTGCGAGCCACATAGCACTCCTCAACACCCTAATACTACACCCGCAATACACCACACGGGCTACGAAAGAAGAGCATCGCGATCTTCCAGCTCAAGCGCTAAACTATCTAAAAAGCCTGCTCTCGACAGTTGGGCCCTTGAATGCTGACTTCAAAGCGGCTACACGCTTTTCTCAGCAATCATGGTCGAGAAGGCGACAACGACACAGTACCGAGGACACCGACACTGATGCGGATATCGTCGCAGATCAGCTGGAGTGCAGCCTCGCCAACAGCGGCAGCCTATGGGGTCGGGCTCAGGATTTCTGGACGGTACTGGGATGGGCATTCAACTGCAGCGTGCTGTACCCAAAGCGATGGAAGTACTGGAAACCTTGGCTTGAGTTCATGCTTGACCTGATGGAGAAGGACTGGGAGGAGCGTGAGCGACAGGACCTGGAGTGCTGCGATACCAACAGCGGAAGCGACGACGTCCAGACCAGTTTGCGGCAAGAGTCAATCATCTCCACCTATATGGACCAGGACGGCCCGGGACGGAAGTGTATCTTGAAAGCCATCTTCGCCCATGGCGACAAGATTTCAACGTCAGCATTCAAAGAAGTATTTTCAGACGAGCTCAAGGGGCCGAGGAGGGAATCCAAGAAAAGGAAGCATGAGAGTCTAGATCTGGAGAATGGCAAGTTCGGAGACTATTTTGATGACGAGGATGCCATCTCGTCAGGAGGCTCACAACCACCCACACCTCAAAAGCCGCGGCAGGCAAGAAAGGCCGAGACTATCGGCGTCTCTCAGCCTGGGCTAGTCGAGTCCGTCTACCTGCGGCTGAGAGTCTTCAAGTTACTGTCACTAGCAACTCACGCGTTGGGCACCGCGAAAGAACTGGAGAGGTTATATGATGACACTGCAAAACTACTCAAGGTGCAGCCACTGCCGTTCTTCTCGTTGTTTGTGGCTTGCCGCGAGTCCCCGCTGGTTCTTGCATCAGAGATCACCCTTACGAAGCTCCTATTCCTATTCCTCCTCCCTCAAAGTCATAAGAACCCCGGAAAAGTTGACCCCGAAGGTGAGCTTGAAGGGGCCCTGACGTCGATCATGCTTGAGAAATGCTTCATCATCCACCCAGCGAATAATGTATCCGTCGAGGATAACGCAAAGCTATCACTGGTCGTGGAAAAAGCTTTGCAGCTTTTATGGTTGGCCGATGAGATCATGTATTCCAAGACATTTGGGGCGGCCGTCGAAGCTGGCGTGCAGGCGCGAGACTCAAAGGTGAAGAACAAACGTGCTTCAAAGAAGGTCAAGTTGGACGCCGATGATCTCATGGCCGAGAAGGTTCTGGACAACTCCGCCGCGAGAATACGACTTCTTGTGAGCGCCATGACAGACACCGAGGATTAGAGTTTACTTGATTTGCATTCTTAGAGAATTATTGGTCGGCCTTGGGGGGCACTGTGTTACTTTCTGTTAGCGGGCGTTTGTTCGGACTTGATGGAATGGGGTTTCTCTTTTTGGGGCGAAAAGTATGGCACGGGAACAGGTCTTAGGAACAGTGGAGTGTAAGGGATGGGATATATGTTTTTTTTTCTTTGGAGTGGTGCTCTTTTTTCTGTTATAGGCGAAGATGTTATACATATTAGCCAACCAGGCCGGACCGGTTACAATGAGACGCACCTAGACGCCAGGTCGGAGATATAATATACACAAAAATTACAGAGCTATACATGCATGATCATTACTTTTTGCGAGCACTGGGGCTCCACGCCTCGGGCTGCCAGTTTTCACTGGGACCCTGAGCCTTGTGCTTGGCCCACGGATCGGGCTTGGCCTCCTTCGTGTTCTCTTCGCTCGTAGATGTGGTTTGACTTGGTGTCGATTCTGGATCCGCGCTGGCAGAACCCAAGGCACGCACAGGCTGGCCGCTGGTAGCACCAGGCGCATCCATGACCCGAGGCTTGGCCTCCCACCGCGCATCAGCCTCTGCAGCAAGCTTCTTCATCCGGGCCTGGCGGGCGACGTCTCCATGCTGCTCTTCGAGGGAGGGCGGGCTGTCCCGCGTGTACCGTAGCCATTGATGCCAGAGCGGGCTCACTTTGACCTCGGAGAAGTGCGTCGACCGCGGGTACTTGACGATGCGTCGCCAGCGTTCTTCGGGACCGTTCGTGAGGCGGAACTCCCAGTAGGTGTTCCCGTTGAGGTCAGAGCCTGCAATAGGAAGATGTCAGCGTTGAGCGAGTCGCTTAAACGATGGGAGCCATGGCTGGAGTGTGGAGGTGAAAGGGACTCACCAACGAGGAAGCGCTTCCGCCAGGGAAGCCGAAGAGCTTTCCACTTGTGCCATGCCTGCGCTAGAGGCCCTATTCGTGCCTGAGCCATTGAAGGTGGTCTCTTCTGGGAGTCAATCGACAATGATCCTGGAGGGGATGAAACGGCGAGCTCCCCACGTTTTCCCTGCGCCACAAGTTTTCTTTGCCTGAGGCGATGTAATGACTGCCCGGCAGTTTGGTAATGCGATAATGCTGCAAGCTGATAAGCCCAGCCACACTTAAACAGGGGTGGCACCCGCCACCTCAACCCACGTCATTGGGCCGCGACGCCTCGGGTACGTACCCTGTAGGTGCCGAATCAGTGGCTTGGGCCGGTGACGGGAGCCAAGCATGAAGCAACGGTTCGCTTCACTAGCCGTCTCTCCTGGCGACAACCTAACATGAACTTCTCTTCCTCATCCACCTGCGCATTCTGGTCCAAGAGCTATCCCCTCTTTCACATCTAAGGACCTGCGGCAGTTTCACTCCTCGAGGAATGCGATCGGCATCATTAGGACCCGAGAGAACACACGCATAACAACCTCCTGCGACATCCAACATTCCCCCTCCAACGGTGGCACATATCCCCCACCAGCCGGACCCAAGTGCGACACCACCCTTTCTGCCGAAAACCCTTCCGCCCCCTTTTCGCTCTTGATACCAATACAATCTAAGATAGCGAGCGGGAATTGGAAACAACCATGGCTTCAGTTTCGTCCTTGGATAAGGATTTGCGCAAGGTGCGCTTAGACAAGTTTACGCCTGCAGCAGCGAACGAGGCCAGAGCTTGGATCGAAGAGATTCTCGGCGAGAGACTCCCATCATCAGACCTCCTTGAAGCCCTTAGGGATGGAATCGCTCTGTGCAAGTACGCGACAATCAACATCCCTTTCCATTACCCCCCCTTTCCTTCGCTTCCGGAGCGCCCGCGCGACAGCTAGCTGACCTACTTTTCTTGCGCAGATTGGTGAACCTCGCCTTGCCACCTCCCGGTGTCAAGTTCAAGCAGTCGGCGATGCCATTCGTACAGATGGAGAACATCTCCATATTCCTTCGCGCCTGCCAGGCCCCGCCGCTGAACCTGCACCAGCACGACACCTTCCTGACCGTTGACCTCTACGAGCAAAAAGATCCCGCCCAGGTGCTCCAGTGCCTCGGCGCCTTCAGCAGGGCCGCCAATGCCGCCAGCCCGGCCAACTTCCCCAGGGTCATCGGCCCCAAGACCCGGGGCGGCGGTGTGGTCAGCCCCCAGGGCACCGGGCCGCCTTCGACCCCTCCGGCGTCCTCCCGGGACCGGGGTATCTCCGTCACCAGCAACTCGTCGTCAAACTTTGGCGGTGTCTTCTCCCACAGGACGGGGGATTCCGGGCGCTATAGCCCTACAAAGGGCTCCCCCGCCCGCGGCCCTGGATCTCCTGGTCCTGTTACTAGCTGGAGCAGGAAGGAGCACGAGTCCGCCTCATCACCGGCGTGGAACATTGCGCAGTACGGATACATGGGCGGAGCCAGTCAGGGGAACCTTGGGATCGCATTCGGGGCCCGGAGGCAGATTACAAATGCGGGACCCAAGGTTCCCAGTCTCGCGGAAAAGGAGCGTATGCGCAAAGAGAAGGAAGCTGAGGAGGAAAGACTACGGCAAGAAGCAGAGGAGGATGAGAGGCGCGCTCAGTTGGAAGAGGCGAAGAGGTGGGAGGAGGAGGAACAACGCCAGAGGGAGGAGGAGCGACGAAAGGCAGAGGAAGAGAAGAGGCGATGGGAAGAGGAAGAGCGACAGTGGAAGCTCACAGAGGAGAAACGCCGACAAGAAGAGGAAGAGGCCGAGGTGCGCATGGAGGAAGAGCGGCGGAGAGCCAGGAGTCGAAGTGAAAACAGGCTCAAGGGACAGTTCCTCAGCCAGTACCAAGCAGAGCAAAGGGCATCCGAGCCCCCAGCCGAAGGGGAATACAGCAGCCGGGTGAGGGAGCTGGAAAAGGAGCTGGAGCTGGCCCGCCAACGCGAAGCAGAATATCAGCGAGAACGTAAGGGGAAGTTGGGACGGCAGGAGTCGGACGCTGAAATCAAGCCCAAGCAAGACCCCCGAATCAAGCAGGCGCAGATACCAACCAGGCAGGACTCGTGGTCAAGAGACGAGCGCGAGTTCCTACGAACAAAGTGGAATCAGCACCAAGAAGCACCAGAGCCAAAGCCTTCCACCCCTGAACCGGCATCAGCTCCCATTTCAAAACCGGTCACGTCACCTCGACCACTGCCAGAGCCCACCGCAGCTCCCAGGACTAAGAGTCCCAGTCGGCCTCTCCCTGACCCCTCAGCTTACTCCTCGACTCCCCCAGCCCCCCAGAACAGAACGGATAGATTTCTGGCGGGCAAAGCACCTCCTCCTTTGGCACCGAAACCTCAACAGACCTACTCCCGCGAGCTCGGTCTTACCCAAGAGCAAGATTCCGAAGACCGACGCCGGGTACAGAGCCAGGAGAAGACAAAGGCCGGAGGCTGGGCCTCCAAGTCCCTCCTCGAGCGCGAGATGGAGATGGAGCGTCAGCGCCAGAAAGAATGGGAGGAGTCGCAAAAGGAGACGGCCGCAGCCGTCCGAAGCGGCAACGGCGTCGACGGCATCGGCGGCGGCATCGGCGGCAAGTGGGATGTCGGGCAATGGGCCGGCTTCACGGGTGGTGATGGCCAGAACAAGGGAACCCAAGGCATCGGTGCCGGGAGGAGGCAGATTGTTGGGCCGCGGCCCCTGCCAGGACCTAAGTGAACTTGATGTGGCCGCGGTGGAATCGGTTTGGTTGGTTCTAGGTTTCTATGCCCATATTTATCCCCGAGGTCCATTATCAAGGAAAGCCCGTGATGATAGTTAGCACAATACAAAAGATGGCAGTATACAATTCACAATAATGATAAAGCATTAATGCGGCTTGGGGCCTACCAAAGTGACTGCCTTCATTTTGGGTTGCTGATGTCAACGGACCCATCTATCCATCATGAATCAACTTACTACTACCTGTCATAGGAGCCTAGTCACCTTTTGCTCTTTAATCATATTATCCTCACACGCCATAGGATTCTCGTGAATCTCCTGGAATAACTCCCGAAGCCGCGGTTTCCACAACTCCCAACACTGAGGATAATAGTCGAATAGGGGGGATGTTTCCGGTCTTAGCAGCCAGTTAATTCACCAAGAGAAGACAAGTTCGGATAGATTCCGTAGTCGGTAGCAGGAGCGGGCGGACAGTTGCCAGCTACCATGGGAAGACTGAATTTCGCATGATCAACTACATGTGTGAGAGGGTCTGGAAGTGGTCACAGGGCATTTCTTTGTCTTTTTGAATCTGGATCGATTGATCGAGGGGGCCTCTAGCGCTTTTCGGAAGAGCGAGAGCGTACAGAGAGCAGGCCCATTAGAGAGGTATCTGTTCGTCTGCTTCATGCAATACCTGGGTCACACAATGGGGGACTGCAACTTAAGCACCCATTCCCGCCTTCTTGATTTTGCAGCGCTAGGGTTACAATGTATATCCTGATGCCAAGATATTTGTAGATATCAACAATTAAACTTTCCCGTCTGTGTTGTAGAACTATTATGCGGTTAGCTACGTAGGTAGTAGGTACATATAGATCGGGTAACCAAAATAACACAACGACGCAACAATGGCCCATTGGGAGGGCGTGAAAATTGGGGCGGGTATTTTTGTGGACAAGAGAAAAGATGATCTTCACGGATTTTAGGCAATACCAGATCTAAGATGTCAACTGCTCGTCATGATTAACTAAAATATACTGACATCACTTCGGTGTGATATGGTTACCTAATCGAAGTATTTATTTATTTATTATTCCTTGTCATCAGACTTATATCCAAGATTATGTAGAGATTTAATATGAGCTCTTAAACACCTCACCTGGAGGCGTGGTGCATTAATCTGAGCGGATCAAAGAACTGGACTGCATGCCGAGCCAACTCCTACCAGCTTGCTTCTTCCCATCTTCATTATACTCCGTTAGTTTCGGCCTTCACACCTGCGACTGCTGCTTCGTCACGGCAACGCTGGCACATACACCAGCCGCCCAAGCTACCCAGGGCCCATTCACGTCGTTGTTGAACGGGGAGGTTGATGTCACAATAGTGATTTAGTATTTCTTCGTCGGCCTTGATCCCGCCTTCTTTCCCTCCTATTCGCTCTTTCTTAGCCCATAGAACCATATGGCCACCCCATTCCCAGGTTACATTTGGGTTGCAATCGTGGTTGGCCAAGCACCAGTATGGATGGACAGCAGCAACATCTGGCCTTCCGTCTCGAAGGCTTTTCCGAGCCGACGCCGTCCCTCTGAACTTGGCATAAAGGGTGTTCAGTACCCACAAATCATATTTGGCGAGAGTGGTGTAGATATCCACGTCCATCTTCTCGAGTACGTGGAGCGGGGTTTCGATGTTATACTTGAAAGAAAAGGGGAGTGTCCATTCTGGAGGCGGGCCCGCATTTGGCGATGGGTTGATGTCATTGAACCTGGAGGGCACGAAATCTCCCCAAATGAATCTCACCTCGCGGACTTCGAGGGGGTGTATTTCTTGATGAGCAGCCAGGGCAAGTACGCGGGAGAGGAGCAGAAGGTAAAGGGTTTCGCCGGCTTCGAAAGCTTCGGGGTCCTTGGCAATAGCATCTACATCTTTTTCGCATACGGAGGGGTGGTAGCGCTCCTGGGCTTGGTCGTGACAATCCTGGCTGCAAAAAACAGTGTCATAGCATTCATCGCAGTTGACGGCTTCTTGTTCACTGCCGAGTGGTGGGAGATCGGAGCTGCAGGCATCACAGACCGGGTCCTTTAGTCGGTTATTCGCGGTCAGCAGGGAGTATTCCCGCAACACGGCTTCTCCCGGGGCGATGTCCTCCTTGGCAAATACACCGAGCTGCTTGCAGGTAGGTATAATGTCGTATTTGTCCGTCTCGCTTGCTCCATCTAACAACACGGGTAGCGTGGCCACTCTGACCTCGCACTTGGGTGCCATTGCTTCTAGATCGGCGTTGAGAGCGCCGAGAGACTTATCCGAGAAGCGATCGGGCTCATGATTGTTCCAAGGGTAGACTTCCCTTCTGACTAGGCCGTTGTCGGGAAGATCATTGATATTAATGCCAGTCTTATGAAGTTTGCGACTAGATACCGTATGGATATGGCTTTGCACATCGAGCAATTCGCGGTTCGAAGGGGCCAAGTTGAGCCCGCGTTCGCAAAAGGTAGCAGCACTCCTGAGGCACCCGCAGAGAAGCAAACTCAAGGAGAGTATTTGATAGGCCCGTATGGATGCGATTGTGGCCAATTTCATGGTGGCTGCCTCGGTTGGTCCATCGGGGTTGGACCCAGGGGTGAGCGACCACTCGTTGATTAACGAGCCAAAACTGAGGACCTCGGGGAGCGCAACGCCAACGTGCATTTGGAGGCTCTCGAGGGCCTGTTCATGGTACTCGAATCCTTCGTTGGCGACCTCATCGGAAAGTAAGAGTGCGCGATAGGCATCGCCAGCTGCGAGGTCGGGATAGCCCAGATCGGAATGGACTACAGCACGCTCGAGGTAATGGACCAGATCATAGGGAAGGCTGCCCAGGGCTTCTGTTAGCTGGAGTCGGCGGTCCAGAAGCTGCTCGTGCATATCAACCTCCCCATCCATGGTCGAAGGCGGAGCGGATGGTTGTGTCCAGAGGGCAGGCAGGTAGGTACAGACAATGCGATGATCGATTGAGGTTGAAAATGGGGGCTGTTTGTCTGTGTCTGTGGGTCGTACTAATTGGCTACAGGTGATTCGCAATTGGGGAGGTCGGCAGGCGAAAGAGAGCCCCGGACGATGCTATATATACTTCTACGGGTCCAGACAATTCGACGGCTCGAAAGCACCTAGAATAAACGTCGACGCTTCTTCACCCCTTCCACGGCCGCCCCTCCATGAGGAAGGACCCTAGATTTTCATTATTTTTTTTAGGCGGGGTCCTGCACGAGGGTGACCCCTCAAGCCCCTCCTTTCTCGGCGTATCGCACACCTCCCGCTACACCACCTCCCCAGACATGCTGTCCTTGCGACCTGCCATGCGACTGCTAGCTGCACCATGGTGAGCTGAACGTACGTCACACTGACCGAACGTTGGATAGATTTGTCTCTGCTGACAAAGTCGTCGATGGTTGTGCTACTGCGCAAGCGAGACGTTGGTTCATCTCCCGCCCGAATGATGTGTTGAAGAACAGCATCGCCATTTCCAGAGAATATTTAAAAGCCACTTATGCTAGTCCTCGATATGATGACGCATTGGTGCCTTGACATCACGGGCTAAGGTGCCCATCGTTTGTCATTATTGCCGCACAGGTAAGCTGGGCCAGAGGTTGTTGGGGAGGTAGGCACCTAGCAGATTCATGGTTCTTAACCTACCCACCAAACCCGCCCTTCAAACGAACCTACCTACCGAAGTGCGACCTGCTGGAGGAGATCACACACATACCTACGAGCTAGAGCATTCAGCGGCTGGCGGGGCACGGGATTGGCCCCTCAGCAAAGTCCGCGTACCCTGGAACCCTGGAAGGCATGAGGCAGTACTAACCTACCTGAGGTAGTGCGATGAAGGAACAGTAAGGGAATCTTCAAGAACGCGATCTGATTGCACCAACGGCGCGCAGGAAATCTCCCGAAAGCGGCTTGGACCCTGATGTTCAGGAGCATTTCCTCCTGAACACCCTGCCTACATTTGCCCGGAGGCCCGCTTGGGCAAGGGACGATATCCAAATACTTGATTGTTGTGACCGCTAAAGTCGTCTTTATTGGGGGCCAGGAGCATCTCGTGCGAGGCTCAAAGACTTTGACGTCATTTCTGGCACTGAATTTCGGAGCCTCGGGCACACTTGAAGCACAACAAAACATCCTGGTTTAAGAATCCCGTTTAGAAATAGGTATTTTCAAACCCTGATCCCCCCTTATGGGCAAGATACCTCCGAGACTGAAAGTACATGGCATGGGGGCAGTTCTTGAGGTCTCGGCCCTTGCCTATTATGTTGAACCTTTGCCTGTATCCCTTCAGCTCCTACATCCACACTAGCACGAAACGGTACGCCGTCCTGCCTGATTATCCAATACAGAAACACAGAACCCAGTTACTAGGCTATTTCTCTTGACAGTTCCATATTATTCCTCCAAGGGCCCCGATCAAGGATTCATACTTGGTACTTCGTGCATTGAAATGACGGCCGCATCTTCTTAAAAGGTGTTCTTGGTAACTGGAGTCGAAACATACTTCTTTACGTACCAACTGAAGCAAAGCAGCCTCGTCAATGGCATTTGGTACCGAGGTGTCTCGATGTTCTGCTGTACCGTGGTCTGTAGGTATGATCGGTTGTCTTTCCCTCAGAATGACTTTCCAGAGAGAATCGCTATTGATGAAAGAAAGGAGCATAAGTACAGCCCGATGGGATGCTCTTGCTCCCAAAACTGAGAAGATGGCAGGCGCAAGAAAAATGAGATGCCCTTCATGACGAAAGCGTCAGTGAGCGAATACACCAATGAAATCAAAGCAGAATGACAAGACCAGTACGAGGCATCAAGACTTCCCTGTTTGCCAATACTGAAGTCCGATTATGGCGCCTACTTTTGTTCAAAATGACCAATCACCATATGATCTCCTCAAAGCTGAGCGAAGACACGCAGGATACCGGCTTATTAGAGCCGTATCTTTCGCATTTGCCATAGGGACCTTGTCAATCAACATAAGACGGATAGGCAATCATGGTGGCAGACGACACTACGATGGCCCTTTGACGCCAAAAGATCCAGACCTGGATCTATCAATTGTAATGCCCAACCCCATGCTGATTGCTCGGTATGATTGCGGACCGCGCGCCCGCGTCGCTTTCTGATCTTCTTAAATCCACTACCTCGGACCAACAGAAAGGAAGATCTTATCATTAGACTGAGCAGTGCCACACGGGCTGTATATACATATAACACCCCTCTTCTCATTGGAAAGAAAGCCAGTCAACAACCTCAACTCTATCCCACGTACCCTGCCATGATTTGTCCATGGCGTGATGGGGTTCGCTGTTGGCTGGCCTCTCGGCCTGCTAACTGCTGCTTCTTATTCACTGGGACTAAATAAAATATAGACGAAGGGTCGCAGCGTGCTTATTATCGACGGTTCAACTTTGAGATGCAGGCCACCAAACGGTGGAGGCCCCATCCTTCACAGATATCCTCAGGCCGCCCATGGCCGGTTCAACTTTAATAGATGCCATAATACGAGCGCGAATACCTTTCTCCCTACACGGTCATATTTAGTTTTGGCCCGGCAATTCAATTGATACGGACAGACAGCTATTCGGAATGCTATTTCAATTGCGTTAAGGAGTTATCTGACGGCCTGCCGGGGTAAACTCGCAGAGGTATTAATACAATCAATGGTCCCGGTCTAAGCCAGCAATAGATGTAATTTTAGACGAGATCCAGATGATTGGTTGAGGAATACTTTTTTCCATGGACCCCAAGGTACTTGTTTGGAGACCATACCAAGGCTTGCGAAAAAGAGCAGAACAGTGCAATCCTTCCATACAACACAGGTGCAGTTCAAGTTTCCCATCAAGGTTCAAAGAAACTACGAGATGGTCCCTGGCAACGTACCCACCTACCTAGTTTCATATTATGCATCCTCAAGGGAAAGGGAAACAAGCTTCATTACTTACCTATTGTCGCTGCGTCAGGACGATAGTGCTTATATTCGGCTCCAGAGTCGCATGAGTTACGGGTTGGCAAGGTCCAATCTCACCAGCCCTGAGCTGCCGACAACCAACAAATAAGCCACCGTGGCATCCAAAATGCACATGCTGGAATCTAAAGCATGAAGCATTGACCAACATCCTTGTCTTCCCCCTCCGGCTGGAATAGAGGAGCAGGGCACAAGGTGGAACAGCGGGCGCTGGTTCGCTTCGCTGGCTCGTTCTCATGCCGGCTCAGGGAGCGAATCCCGGCCGGGACATATATCATTTACATGTGCATTTACTTATATCCCACACCCATGGTCAGCCAGCCAACCCGCTTGCTTCCTCGGTGGGCGAAAAAAAAACGCTGACTATCTCGCGGGCTCGGTAGAAGGAGGTAGGATGGCGAGTTGGCACAGCCATCTGCAGCAGGACCCCGGTCTGGCGAGAAGGTCCGTCAAGCCGATTGGTGTTTTCGAACGGGAACATGAGGGAACCTACGATGCCGCCCGCTGGCTGCACAACTGGCATGACGTGACACAGTTTTCGGCGAACAATTTCCCGCTCGGGGTGATGAGAGCAGCAGACAGATAACGTTAGCGGGGCCATTTGAGGGCGGGCAGCAAGCAATATAGCAAGCCCCAGAAAAACGAAAAACCCTCATCACCACTAACCATCGCCATTTCGTCATCATGAGGGGCGGACGTTCGAAAGGTGGGAATTGATGAGATGAGATGGGCTGGAGAGGTGAGCGCTTACGGCTCTAGTTTCCGGGCGCCTCCTTGCCACCACTGCTTCCATTATTTGCACCTCGCCTGTCTCCTAGCCATTGGGTACACAACGCATACCACAGACCTTGTGGGATGCCAATTCTCCCTGCAGTGGAGGAAGACAGATGAGGATGATTGAAAGGTCTGGACTGTGATGCCATCATCCCACATCACATCCACCCGCCAGCGATATCCACAGCCCACAGCCCACAACCCACACCTTCGCCCTCGGTGCCTTAAATGTGCAAATCCGGAGGCAGGGAGCATGGGTAGGGCGAAAACTCAAAACATGGCAGGGCTCGGGAGAAGATGGCTTGAATGCCGATTACCTGACAATCGTAATTTCTGATAACGACCACTAGTGCAGCACATGGGTTTTCTAGACGTCTTGGATGACACAGAAATTCATCAGACTTAAGGGAATCCTTTGCTGCTATGTCATTAGGTACTAGCTCTATTAATTGTGGTGGTCCGGTACTCGCCCCCTGTTGATGTTACCCCTCCATCTCTTTTAGATCAGTCACCTCCCCCTCCAAGGCTCCAGCCCACCTTATACCGAGCACATTATAGCAAACGACTGCCCGGGCTTGAATCCGACAGCTCAACTTTTTTTTCTCTCTCCCTCTTCTCCTCTTGTACCCACCAATTCCCAACCCGGTCCTGCCTGTGCCCTCTCCAAAGTACACCGAATAAGAAAAGAAGTGATCGAAGAGCGCTGCTCGCCCATCTGCCGCCATGCCCAAGACGCAGCCCAACCTCTACGCCTTTTCAGGCGTTGACACTCTGGCGCCAGCCCTGCGCAAATACATTGTCCAGAGCCAGGCCCTCGGCCTCGCCCGCCACGGCATCTTCAAGGTCGCCGTCTCCGGCGGCTCCCTCCCCAAGACCCTGGCCGCCGCGCTCCTCGCGCCCTCGACCTCAGACGACGACGTAATCGACTTCAACAAGTGGGAGATCTTCTTCGCCGACGAGCGCGTCGTGCCCCTCGACCACGCCGACTCCAACTACGCCCTCCTCAAGTCCGAGCTCCTCGACAAGATCCCCGCCGACCAGCAGCCCACCGTCCACACCATCGACGTCGCCCACCTCGACGACCTCCAGGAGGTCGCCGACAGCTACGAGCAGGTCCTCGTCTCCAGCTTCGCCAGCCGCGACTCGGTCCGCCTCCCCATCTTCGACCTCCTCCTCCTCGGCTGCGGTCCCGACGGCCACACCTGCTCCCTCTTCCCGGGCCACCCCCTCCTGCGCGAGACGAACGCCTGGGTCGCCCCCATCGACGACTCCCCCAAGCCCCCGCCGAAGCGCATCACCCTCACCCTGCCCGTCGTCACCCACGCCGTCCGCGTCGCCTTCGTCGCCACGGGGGCCGGCAAGAAGGACATCATGAAGGACATCTTCGACGCCGACAAGGGCCTGCCCTGCGCGCTCGTCAACGAGGGCGCAGGGGACCGCGCGAGCTGGTTCGTCGACGAGCCGGCCATCCAGGGCGTCAGCTTCCCTCGGCGGTCGTTCCTATAAACAAACATAAAAATAAAAAGTAAAAATGAGAAAAAAAGCAACGACAACCAAAAAAAAAAAGAAGAAGAAAGGAACGGAAACATCATCTCACGCCAGTGAAGGAGAAAACCCAAGGGAGGGGAGAGACTACAACAGAGCTACGTGCGCTTGAAAGTGACGACTGCGGAAAGGGGGGGCGGGGGGCTCAAAGGAGGAAAAAACGAAAACCTGAAATCAAAGCAATCTAGAATTCTCTGCCATTGCGCTGTTTCTCAGCTTTGTTTTTGCTGCGTTCTGTCGCTGTTTCTTACGCATGGAGCTTTGGGGGAGTTTTCTGTTTTTCGTTTTGCGTGTGAATCTCAGGAACAGGGTGATTTTTGAATAGGAGTGCGAGGCAGCTCGGCTCCTGAACACATTGAAATATCATTAATATGTTTTTCCTTCTTCTCAGCCCGTCTCTCTTTTAGCATCTACGGCTTGGGGTGGCTATCATGAGTTTAAAGAAAGTTCAATCGTTGTTCATAGAGAAATTCGAGACGAATATTCCCAGTATGGATTAATTAGTACGCGTGGCGAGAGCTGTATGTTAAGTCGTCATGTCATTATATATATCATGGGCCCAAACTGCTAGCAAGCAATTATGCTGCCGCTCAAACAAGACGCCAAATCGCTCCAGCTCCGGGGGTATCATCTCTCTCCTCGTCTCTATTCATCCTTTCAATCCAAACGTCCTCTCTTGCAAGAATCTGAGTCTCAATATCCTCCATCAGACTGAGCTCGGCGAGCGTGTCGTGGATCAATGCCCGAGACCCCTCGAGCATCCGAGCCAGGTTCGACCCCTGGGTGTCTTCCCCTGCCGGAAGATCACCAATATCTTGTAGTTGTCTGCGCCACCCATCCAAACGACGGGTAATGCTTGACAGATCCTCCTTCCAAGATGAGTCCAGCTCGTCGACGAAGAGGGCCTGGCCCCCACTCTTCTGGACAGACATCTGGCCCGTCTGGCGCGCTTCCTCCAGCTCGGACACTTGGTCGATCCAACGCTCGAATCGTCTGACCAGGCGTGCGTATCTCCCACCTGCCTCTGTTAGCGTCCACATCCCGTTGACCATCCCGTCGAGGGCCTGGATTCGCTCTTCGAGTCCACCAGCTGCACCCCACTCCCGTAACACCAGAACATTCAGCCCTTCAACTGCTGCCCGGTCCTGCTCAGCAATCTCACGATTGGTTGACACAAGTTGCTCGAACCTCTGCCCTAGCTTGACCTTGGCGCTGGCCTGCCAGTCAGCATCGACAGCGGCCGCATCCCGGTGCAGAAGGTGCAGCTGCAGGAGCTCCGTCTGCAGCCTGCTCGTCTCGGCAGATGCGGCGACATTGGCTGGGAGCTTGGACGGTGAGGGCGGAGCAAGGATTGCCGAGGTCAAGGGCTTCGGCGCGGCAGATTTGGCTGGAGAGTAATGCTGTTGCAGTGTGGAAAAGGCAGGTCGTAGACGGGGGGCGGCCTGCTGTGGCGGCTGCTGCTGCTTGGTAGGAGTGCTGATGCTGGGGCCTTTGTCTATAGAGAGTTTGGGTGCATGGAGGGAGCGGCTGGTTGTGCCATTGGTGGTTGGCTGGGAAGGCGCCCGCGAATTCAGTCCGGCTCCATTGGTATTACCTGTGGTTACGGTGCTTTTGGCACGTGTATGGCCGGGCGGTACACGCCGTGTGGTGGTCTGGCTGCCCGTCGATGTTGGCCTGGTGCCCAAAGTACGGGTCGTTGCTGTGGTCGCTCGGGTCGTGGATGTGATAGGAGGGTATCGGCCGGTGGCTGTGGTGGTAGTGGGAGACGTGGCGGTTTCTTTCTTGGTAGGCTCCGACGGCTGCTTTCCGGGGACAGGGCGAACGCGAGAGCCAGATACTGATCGTGGCTGCCTCAGTACAGTGGTAGGCCTTGCCGTCGTCGTTGTCGCAGTTGTGGTATTTGTCGTTGCTGCTGCTCCTGTTGTTGGGATTGCAGTGGCAAGCCTCGTTTGGGAGGACGTGGATGTACTTGTTGAGCTCCGGCTGGGAGGTTTGACTGGGAGACGGCTGGGCGAGCCATAGCGTCCATCTGAGTTGGCCTGGGAGTCTGCAGAAGGGGATGAGGACGTGGATGCAGATACGGGTGGCACTGTGGCTGGCTTCCGGAGCGAGCGAGTGCGCGCGATAGAAGAAGACATGGCAGATTCGGCCTCAGCAGCAGCAACAACAACAACAAACAACAACTACGGCAGGACAATGTGAGGCAGAGGATGATGACAATGGCCCAGCTGTCAGTCGGTCAAGTGCCCTTTGATAGCGCAGTTCCCCCTTCCTGCAGCATGCGCATGCGCCTATCAGCATGAACCTTACTGATCCTGGCTTAGAGTCAGCGGTGAGTTGCAGTGGGTCGCAGGGGCGGGAGGCTCTGTAACCCCTGTTCCTTCCCGAGGGACATGGTAATGAAAGGAACCAAGGGCCATGAGCTTTGATTTCAGATTACAAGAAGCTACTATGTAACGGTAAATATCCATTTCTGAATTACTCGATGCAGTAGCGTTCTCACAACTGACGCTGTTACTGCTTCCGTCCCTGGCAGCGGGTTGCCAGCTTACACAACGGGGTGCATTATCTCATCCTCTTCTTAAAGGAATTCAAGGAACAATGCTAGCAGTTGAGGCACGAACTTCAACCCAAAACTTGAGAGGGCCGCTTGCTTGTTGAGATACACTGGGAAAATTGCAAAAACTCGATATGCCGCTCAGTAAATATCTCGATTCTGGCAAGGTAGGATCGTTATGCAGGTAGCTTGCCAAGTGCCTCCCCCCTCCCTTACTATTCGTCTTCACCACGCCTTCCTGAGCCATGCGAACACCAAGAATTGGCAGCTGAGGCGTTCCTGCTCTGGTTTCGAACTCCTGTCCTCAACGCTCTCGATTGCCTACCTCCCGCTTTCCCACCTTCCTTGTCTTGCAAGTGTGCTCCCCTGGTTTCCAGGACAACGTCGACGTCTCTTTCCGTACCGAAAATACCTGTGTATGTATGTGAGCACTTGGTAGACTATTTGGGCAATGGAGGCAGGCATCGATGCCGACCCCCCTTCCATTCCGGGCTCTTACACTCGTGCTGGCTCAAGTGCTGCTTTCCCTCGCTTCGTCTTTCTCGGTTGGGGATGCCGTCCATCGCTTGGCGTCGCGTCTTCCTGTCCTTCTGTCAGCTCAGCTCCTCTCCAAGGCAAGAGTGTGTATGTGGAAAGAGTGAGCGACCCACGGTTATAAAATGCCCTCCCAACCCAAACTCCGTCTTGGTTTTTCTTCTCTTCTTTTCTCTCCATGATGTACAGGTTACGGGCTACCGGACCTATTCTCGCTTCGGCCGGAAAGCTGTCCTGCCTTTGACGTTGTCAAGAGTCAGGCGGGTGCCGGTCAGTCACCCCCTTGCGTGAGGCATACTAACAATGACTGACTGGCTGGTCCGGTAAGTACCGCAGCATAATTTTTGATTTCACTGTTGTGGCCCTGGTATTACACTACCTCCAGGTGTCGCGCAATTTCTTTCTTTTTCTCATTGAGTTGGCGACTTGTTCGTTGATGCTCGTGGCGCCTGGTATTGCACTACCTCCAGGTGTCGCACCCTCTTCTCTTTTTTCATTGCATTAGCGGCTCGTCCGCTCATGTGAAGAAGAAAAATCATCATTTTCCCCTACCTAATGAGTTAGTAGAATGAGTTTGCCCTCCGCAGTTGCCTTGGTATCTGCTTCTTTTGGCTTCTTCCATAGTTTCTCGATGAGGCCCGCGGACGGTGTTCAGCCCCCGGTACGTTGGCTTGCTTCTTCTCCTCTTTTCTCTCATGTACTTGGGCACCTTGCAGTAGATGCATTCTCTCATGCTTGCGGCACACCTTACCTTTGCGGTACGTGTGCGCTGTCCTGCCCTTGACGTTGTCAAGGTGTCGATGACGGGGGCCGGTCCCCCCTTTGCGTAAGGCATACTGACAAACGTTAAAGGCTGGCTGGTCTGGTGAGTATCACGGTATGACTTTCAGTCTACATCTCCTAGCCTACTCTTTTCAGGGATTCGGATGGATTTTAAGTCATCTAGGGCACTGGGAGGGCCTTTTATACACTTGAGTTGGCTGTGTGATGTAGCAATTGAGAAGGGAGGGGGCGCAGTAAATGCTACTTTTTTGCGTTGGACTTATTCGGCTTTGAATCTAAAAACATGGCGAAGCAAGCCAAGGGATAAGTTTTTTCTCTCTTGTCATCTGTACATTTAAACTTCGCCGTGGAGCTTCGGCGGCGGGTTGTTGTAGGCTTTTAGGTGCATCAAGTCGGGTATTCGTATGCATCTAGCTGGGCCTGCAACAAGGAAGGTTTAGCCACGGAGACGAATTTTTTTTTTAGAATTACGACTCTTTCATCGGCATGAATCTTGTCTTTGTTCTTATCTTCATCGAAAAGGTTGTCTTCTTAACCTAGCAAGTGGCTGAAATAAAACATGGCACACCAAAGCCTCCATACAGCCTCAGATTTCGACACAATATCAAAACAATCAACCCAATTATCAATATAATATCAAGCTAAATAATATACAATAATATATTATTTTACTGCTATTGTTTGAAATATTATTAACAACAGAATGAGGTCTCCAGCTTATATGAAAAGAGCTCTGGTGTGCCATGTTTTTTTTTTTCAGCCACTTGCCTAGCTAATGTAGGTTTGTTAAGAGCCCTCGTGCTTGAAAGTAGGTGTAAACCTAGATATAGCTTGAGCCCAAATGGTGGGTAAACCTGTATGATCCCGTGTTGGAAAGAAACTTTTTTTCTTACTGTCAGGACCTCGTGTAACGAACTTGAAAGTCCGCAAGTGGCTACGGACCTCGAGAGAGCCCCTCGAGTAGCGCTGCTGTGATGACAAGAGTCATCGTAGTGGCAATAGCAGCCAGTGCTGGTCGTGCTAATCCAGGTTCCATGTGAGCGCTTGGCCGTTATGCTGTTTTGATCTCCCGATGTGAGAAAGTGTCTAGACTTTTCGTCGAATCCTTGTGAGATGGCAATTTGGAATAGATGAGGAGTAAAAAGGAAAGAAAATGCTCCTCGTCTACCGCTGCTACCACTCCTAGCGTTGGTATTGCAGCAGCAATTTTCCCCTTTGTTTTAGGACGGGCGGTCATCTGCTTAAGCTGGTTTTCGTCGTAATCGCTATATCATCGGGCCGGCTGTTTCTGTGTCTCGCGAACACTGCTCTCACCGACCGCTGGGTCTCCAGCTTCCAGTTCTGTGAGGGAAGCTTTGGTGGAGGGTTTAGGTGCTTCCAAGACCATTAGTTGCATGGTCAGCCCGTAGTCGAGCCCGGCTTTTCTTATTTGGTATTACGGTCTGGCATAGTTGCCGTGATAATTCACAACCTGTCCTTGAATCCGAGTCTGCTTAAGCAAGTCTCACCTCTACTCTCGCCGCCTACTTGGAAGGAAGCATCAGATTATCACGTCTCAGTTCAGGGTCGATCATGCTTGAATTTACTTTTTTGTATTTTTTTCGCATCGACTATATGTGACAGCGCCGTTCTTCTTCATCTACCTATTCGTAGATGGAGTACTAGCGTTTGGTCGACGACACACTCTCTCTTCACTCGTAGAAAGCATAGGGTTTCCCAGGCCGCACATCCAGCGGAGGCCTTCCCCCTGCATCATCCAGGTCTGATGTACAATAAAAACATATGAACTTGATATCATCAATAGTCAATCCAAGACTAGCGAGTCCTGCACATGGCATTATAGCCCCATGTTTGTTCCCCCTTCTATTATATTCGAAACCCAAAAAGATCAATGGTTGTTAAAGAAACCAACATTCCCGTTCTATATAGCGCAGCCGGGAGACTTGAGAAAAGTAGGAAATAGAAGAAAATCGAGGTAGGAAGACGACAAGGTTGAATAGGTTGGATATATTTGGCCAGGCTGAAGCCAAGGTAGAAGGAGAATTATCGGTGAAGACAAAGAGAAAATTCATTCGTGTGTGAGCTCTCAACTCAGCTGGCCGAGGGCGTTTGGCCCGCCAAGCTGTGCATTAGAGAAGCCAAGTCTTTCTTTTTAGAGTCCAAGACGCCCATGCAGGAATCGCATATTCTCAGGGAGCAGAATGTGCAAGCCCATCGATCTTCCGTATCCGACTTCTGGCACGTTTGGCAGGCCAGAGGGTAGAGTTTATTGTTGCGCTTCAGCATGGATTTGTGAGATTGATAACAGCGGTAGTGGGTGTTTCTAAGAGGCACCGCTTGGAAAACCGTACCCTCGGCGACAGGCTCGCTATTCTGTAATGGGAAATACGCGGCCTTGGGGTCGGGTTCCCGAAGCTCCTTCATCTCCGGATAGAGCGTTCCGTCTCGTCCTCTGTAAAGAAGCTCACCCGAAGATGAGCGAACAAACCTGTCGGGCTCCGGTGCCGTACTTCTCATGGAGTCTAGACGTCGTCTTGAGTCAGGATGGGCTGAGCCACTTCTTGACTCTGGGCGAACAGAGGCATTTCTTGACCCTGGCCTGAAGTAGCCCTCAAACTGGCGACCACGTGGTCCGTCTGGACCAGGCGAGTTGCGGCCGGAAAGACCAGGTGAGTTGCGGCCAGAGAATGGCATGGCCGCGTAAGATGGAAACGGTTCAGTCAAAGGAGGGGTTCCGGCTCTTGACCTCATGTCAAGAGAAAGTCTTCTTGGTGTTATTGGGGCTGGAGCTGAAACCGGCTGAGGAGCTTTAAGAATAGGGTCACCAGGGGTAGGTTTCATTGGTGGGGGTTGAGTCTCAACCTTCACGTCTGACACCAACTGTTCCTTTTTCATTACCGTAGGTTGATTTTCCGACTGAGCCTTGGGCAAATCTTGTGCTGATTCGTTATGGAGAGGCTCTGGAGAGGAGGCTGGGGAAAGAGGGGAGGCGAAACTGTCAACGATTGGAGTCTTAACATCCTCCTTTTGATACTCCGGGGTCGGTGGCCGATATCCAGTAGGTCGGCTCTGCTGATCATTGCCTTGGGATTCCTGCGAAGCCTCTTTATTGATGTTTTGGTTGCTCTCCTTTAGTTCGTTGGGGGGTCCTTTGACGGGCTCCTTGGCAGGCTCATCGATCACTTTCCTCGAGGATTCCTGGATGGCTGTCTTTCCGGGCTCCTCGACGAGTTCTTTGACAGGATTCTTGGGGGGCGGGTAGGAAGGGCTCTGGAAGTCATCAATCGCAGGTTCCTCGACGGTTTCTAACTGAGTTGGGGCGGCCCTGTGTTGCTCGAGCCAATCGGAAGACAGGTCAAAGAAGCCGGAACCTGACTTTGCGAGTGATAATCTCGGGGGTGCCTGGTTCACCTTTTTCTCGGGACTTTCCTCGACGATTTCATTGGCAGATTGTGACGGGATCCGCCCATGCTTTGGTGGTTCCGGCCAATTCTCCTGTGCCAGGCTCGGCCCTCCTTTCGGTGGTTCAGGCCAGTTCCCCTGTGTTAGGGTTGGCGGTCCTGTTGGCGGCATTGGCCATTTCGCTTGTGCTGGAATGGGTTCTGTCTTCGGGGTATTTGGCCAGGCTGACTGGGATGTGAGTGAAGACGGCAGAGGTGGCTCTGGCTTCGCAGTGTCTGCGCTTGGTTGCTTTGGCAAGCTAGGCATAGCTTTCGATAGGTCCAATCTGGTCATTCCGGGCTGGGGGAATTCCGGAATGGGAGGCTCCGGCGATGTCGTGTCCTTCATCGAGTTCTTTCGTGAACGGCTGCCACCATCCTCAGAACGGCGGGGAAAGTGAAATTTGTCCCTGTTGAATACATCTTTGCTGAAGACGTCCTTATTAAAGACATCCTTGCTGAATACATCCTTGTTGATTTTGTCCTTGATTAATTTATCCTTGAGCTGCTTGAACTTGGAGGTTCCATTGCCCATTGTTCGGGCAAAGGAAGACTGCTCAGCCACTGTTGAAGGCTCAACAGTAGGTGCTGTCGGTTGCTTCTGGGGGAGAGGGGGTGGGACTTCGGTCGTCGTAAAATCCGCCCGTGTTTGCGACGGCTTGCGAAGCCCAACGACAGACTTGGGTGTGGTGGGAACTGTGGTGAAGGTTGTGGCGAAAGTAGGTGCAGGTGATGGGTTGGCATTTACAGCTGTCGAGCCGAAGCTGTGATTGAGCTGCAAGTCCGGAAGATCGCGACTCCCTTTGCCTGTTCGGCGCGTCCAAAGTTGTTCTCTTGGAGGTGAGCGAGCCCTGAGATCGGGTGTGGTTGAGGCTGCTGGGGTAGATACGGGAGCCGGGGCCGGAGTGGGAGCGGGAGCAGGGGGCCGCTGAAGCTGACGCGCAGGGTCCTTGGATGGAGGCGGCGGCGGTAGCGGGGAAGAAGATGGCTCAACAGCACTTGGAGGCTGCTGCTCTTGAGGTTGTGCGGGTTGAGAGTGTGAGCTGTCAATGACGGCCGGGATTGTGGATACGGGCTGGTTTATGGTTTTAGCTTCGATGCTGGAGGAGGCCCTGACGATCGGTGTCGGAGCCTGTGCCTGGGCCTGTACCTGCGCCTGTACCTGCACCTGCAGCTGTGCCTGAGCTTGCAATGGGGGCATAGGTGGGGCATGAATGCCCAGTCCCTCGTCGTTCGTATGCGAGTCGCGCGTGCTGTACGTGCCATCAGAAGATCGATAGACGGACTCGGTCGAGCTGCGCGAGTATGCAGAGAGGATGCTCAACACCGAGTCGGCCGGCGATCTGAGTGGCTGCGCAGGCTGCGAGGGATCCAGGAACAGAGCCGTGGAAGCTTCCTGTGGCCGCACGTCATCCCCCTCTGCAGGCTCGACCCTTGGTTGCACCTGGTTGGGCGCATCTACTTTAGGTTCCGCATACGCCTGCGTGGCCTCGTTGCCCGTCTCCTTCGGCTGCCTTACTCTTGGACTCCAGGTTTCGGGTCCCGATATCGAGACGGGCCTCTGCGGGCTGAATTGGGCTGGAGGTTCGCTTGCTTTCGGCGATGATAGCGATTGGGAGGGAGTTTGCTGCTGCTGTTGTACTGGTGGCGCAGGCGCATACGCAGGCTGCTGCTGGGCGGGAACCTGGTCCTGAGTTTGTCCCGAGATCACACCCTGATTCACCGGCGACGTGATTGAGGGCTTCCTGGCCGTATGCTTGGTGCTACCGACAGGGCGCCTTGGAATCATCATTTTCGGCAGCCCGGTCGCAGGCGTCGCCGGTGCCGTGGCTTCGGTAGGCGCGGGTCCCGGGGTCGCTGTGGCTATCCGCTTCTTCGGAATGGGAGGCAGAGGAGTGAACTGAATAGGTGTTCGAGGGTCGTCGTTATGAGGCGGAGGAGGCGGAGGAGGGAGCTCTGAGTCGCCAGGAGATCTGAGAGTTACAGGCGTGGGTAGGACGGCGGTGGGCGAGGTTGTCGAACTCGAGAATGCACGGCTCTCCTCCACATGGCTTGTATCGAGGCCCGGGATGGCAGGGAGCGCTTTCGAGAAACGCGACCGCCCAGTCCCCGTGGAGGGGACTTGGAGGGATCCTGCTTGCAGCATTGCGAGCTGGCCGGCGTGGTGCGCGCGTGGTGTGTCACAGTGCTCGTGTTGAGGTAATAGGGCCTGGGAATGGGTCTTGGTGTCGTCTGACGACGAAACATGTACGCCCAGGTCAATGTTATGCGTCGTCCTGTACAATCGAGTTCCGGCTGGGTCCGCACGATGTCACGAAAGGGCCTGGAAAATCGAGAAAATGAGTCCGGCGTGTTACAGATATGCCCTAGGCCAGCGAGTGCATGGTGTCGGCGCCGTCGTTGTTCATGCCGTTTCCCCCTCTTTGCGGATCCTTCCCTGACGTCTGTTCTCGAAACTGCGGCGACAAGCAGCGGCTCTTTGTGTCGTTGAAGTTTGGGTTTCTGCGCGTCCAGTTCCCGGCTGCTTCGGGGGCGAGAGAAGTTGTACGATGTGGGAGACGAACTATACGGCCAAAGAGGAAGGCTGGAAACCTTGGAATGCTGTAACCGTCGGGGCGTAGGGGCGAAAATTCCCACAGCGGCGCTATAACGACTAATACATTCTATTGAAGACAGGGGTAGAACGATCTGTGACAACACGCGATGTAATTTACAGCAAACCAACCCCTGCAGAACGGGGCCACCTCCACTCTCTCCTCGATGTGACTCTCTTGATTCGCCAGGGCCGCTTGGTGGTTCTCTCTCCTGGGACCTTTAAACCCGGGAGGCACCGCACATTGTTCCTGGCGGCTTCGTCACTAGCAAGCGCTTGTTGCGGGATAGCGCTCAACACTTTGAAACACCGACTAGGACGGACTGCTCGGCGAGAGTGGCTTCTGTCCTGTCATTTATTTCTTCGCCGCTAGGCAGATTCGTGTGGGTTTTATTTGGAGCATGCCAAGGTGTGGGCACTGGGCAGCAGCGATCGATTTTGACTTCAGATGAGTGTCGCATCACAGCCGAACAGATGGACCTGGCTCTGGGGAAGCAATGAGGCCATCGCCATATCCAATCCGAAACGTACCACCAATTCAGGCTGTCTCAATCTGGCAGTCCCCGCCCAGCAACTAAAAGAACCATTAGCCCTCCGCACCAGCCAAGATTGATTTTGGCCACGGAACGGAATGTGGCCAGGAATCAAGAGTCACAAGAGGAGGGTTGGAGCAACCCGAGTTGCCCGAGGGAATGTCTCATAGCATTGCCTGGCGCCGATGCTAATTTCCCGATACTTGGATCAAGCTTGTTCGCTGTGCTGAAATATGCACGCGTGCATGGCACTGTGGTGCACTGCATTACCGTATTCTTGGTTGCTGACGAGCGATACATCCGGAATTGAGCCCAGGGGAGGCAGCCAAGGCAGCCAAGGAAGAACTCATCAGAGAGGGAGGTGCCAATGACGCACATGTCAGATGAGTCCATGTTTCAGGCACTCAGCTCGTCGATCACTTTCCAACAAGTCAGGGGGTTAGCGAGATGTGATGTGGCGCAGCCGTTGCCGATCAGCCACGTCGGCCCTCCATTTCAGCCACGGACTTGATTGTGCTGAGTACACCGAGTCATTTCCATTCCAATCCAAGGCTCCCTCGGATTCAAAGCTGAACAATTGTGTCTGGGTGAATCATCAATTAAATGCCCCCTCTTTCCTTCTTTTTTTGCTCAGCTTGAGGCTCAGGAACCCGCAAGCCCAACGATGATTTTAGATGGCGGGAGTTTTAAAATTCGATACCCACCAGCTAGCATATCCCCCCCTGTAAGCTGTGGCTCGTGTCTCTTCAGCTATCGGTGCCTGGCAAGCTGGATAAACTCCACCTATTCTTAGGTATCCCGAGGCTATTTGCTTTGGTGCGACGAGCTTCTTCGCCCTAGTCTCTGCTTTCTTGATGTCCATTGAAAAACGCATATTGTGAATCTTCAGGCTTATTTTCGCACGAACGTCGGTTCTCTAGCATTTAGAAGACCTTCTAGAGTCTGATTTTTTTATGAACCCCTCTTCGGGGACATTTTCCGCATCCGTAATTACCGGCATTGGCTGTTTAAGATCACAAAATTCCAGCATATCGATCATTTCTACATTGTCACGGGGTCCGGGTCTTTGTCAAGCAATACTCCAACACCCTCAACAAGCTCTCTAAGCCAATTTCTGGTAACCATTTGGGATGGGCTAACCCAAGGCAGAGCTTTAAGTGAGAATTCATGAACGTAGTTACCAGCATGCTCGAGTGTAGCGTTGGCATTTGGCTCAATCTCTTCTCAAATAGTCGTATTTGTATCTTCATACATTCGCCGGCATGACGCACGGACTGATTTTATCCAAAATAGCCAAGGCAGCAAGGAATACTCAGCCTATGATGAGTCCGGTTGCGGCGCAGGAGGGAGGCAAGAGTGTTTACGAGCCAGGGCCAAGAACATATATTCAGTACAGCATGATATTTGACTTCTGCTAGGCAATTTTCATGAAGAAAGAGGAAAGCAGAATTAATGAGTCCCAAGTCAATCAAGTTCTACCTTAGTAATGCAAAAGAAGAGAGGAGCCAACGCCGAAGAGAAGGTCATGCTTTCTATATTAACCGTAAAGTGGAAATGGGTATAGTTCGACTCTCGTATCCTAGTGAACCCACCAATCCAAGCGCTCTCTCTACTTTTTCCCTTTGAGGGGCTCCATGCCAAAAATATCATCAGAACTCAGGGGATCTTTCCCGTCCACCGGAGAGGTCACCTCGCCAAACAGAAACGCATTTCTCTCGCGGCTCACATTATTAGAGGACCGCTTTTTGTGGCTCGGGCTAGCGGGAGACTTGATAGATGCTCGAGGAGAAAGGGAAGGTACAGACTCGTTCGGTTCCAGCATCCAGGAGAAGGATGATTGGGCCAATGTTGAGCGTGTGGGAATGGGCTCGGGTCTCTCAGGAATAACGGTCTCGGCTGCCAGAGGACCCTCCGTGACGCCGTTCGAAGACGTGTCAGTGCTCTTCTGTTTGGACCCAGAGTCTTTCGAAACCGTCGACTGTTCAGGCACAGCATTATTGTCCGAGAGGCTTAGTGAGGAAATAGCGAGACCTTCCGGTTTGTGCTGTCTTATTATCGACTCCTTGGCGACTACCTTGGGGTTCGGCTTTTCGTCGGTTTCCATGGCATCATTATCCTGGCTAGAGTTCGGTTCGTTTGAAACCAAGAGCTCCATCGTGGGGTCTTCCAGATATATTTTGACAAATTGGATCTTGGCCGCCGCAATCTCGATGAGTTCGAGGCTTTTAGCCTTCTCGTCCATGGGGAATGCAGAAAACTCCTTCAGGCTCTTCACTGTCTCCTCGAGTACATTCGCCAGCTGCTGATTTCGCTTCTCCATGGCTGCCAGCGCCACTGCTGCATTTTCACCCTTGAAATCCTCCGTGACCATGCGGGGTGTAATCATCGATTCGTTAAAACCCTGCATATTTCGCTTGATTTCCCCCACGGCATCCCTAACTGCCTGGTTAATCCCAAGTTTCTCGCCTCTTTCAAATACGCCGCGCGCGCCCTTTGCAGCACCTTGAAATATTGCCTCGACGCTGGCCTGTTGATTTCTGAACGCGTTCGGAGAGCTGAGCGGGGATTTTGCACCGAGCGCTCGCTGGCGGAAGGCATTGAAAGTGCGGAAACTAGGTGTCGACGGCCGAGATGCATCTGGTGATTTAGGTCCTATGGGCATTTTACCTGTGTATCTCACAATGAGGGTAGCACCTCCAGAAATATCCAGGTGTGTACGCAGGTACTCAGCATCGTCAACAAAGGTGTGAGGTCCGTGGACTGGGTCAGGAGGCGGGTATTTCAGTAAAAGTTGTAAGCATACAGAGTAGTCGGCCTCCAACACTAAGCGGAAATAAAAAAAAATATTGTCAGATATCCTCACACATGCGTGTGGTTAACAGAAGTGATAACTTACATTGCCAGCGAATTCGGACCAGCATCGCAACACATATTAAGTCTATCAACTGCAGTGTCGGATCTACAGCAAATATAGTGTCCCATAGAACGAGGAATTGTTCGAATGGGAACTCTCTGCTAAATAAAAGACGCACCCATCGGCTATGCTCGGTTAGAGGAATCAGCTCTCATAAATGAATGAGAGGTGAATAAAGAAAACTTACATGAGGAATATTTGTGGCAGAATTTCTATGCTTGTTAAGTGGGACGCAAGCTCCGGGTCTACTTTTTGCAAACAGACTTGATGTATGAACTGGCTTCGTTCCACAATGGTCGACGATTGTGACCGGTTCTGTGATGCCGACTCTGCCTTTCCAACCGTAGGCTCTAGTGCATAGAACGATTGAGCATGCTCCATCAACGTCAAAAACATAAGAAATGCATCATGTTCGATGAATGAGATGTCGACCAGCTCCAGGAGAAGCGTGTCGATGGATGATTTGTTGGCGGCGGCGGATGCGTCAATGGCATCACTCTCAAGGACGTGGACAATCGGCGCCAGTAGTTCGTGCATGCCTTGACGGTATCCGCCTCTCTCGGGGTACAGTTTGCAATACATGAAAAGGACGTCCAGTATCAACGTTTGGATTCGTTCCTCGTGATAGTTTGCCTCATCGGGAAGTCTCTTCACATCTTGCTGGATTTCAGCGCGAATTGCATCATCTTGCCGCGCGGTTTCCCAAGGGGACTGCATAGGTTAGCTCTTGTCAGCGGCAGCAACTCAGATAAGGCAGGAGTGAGTGTAAAATTGGTGACATACGCTGGGGACATCTGCCAATGGGTCGACCGATAGCTCAGCGAGGGCTTCTGGGTGCTTCACATATTTCAATAACGACTCTCGGCGACGAGCATAATCTTCTCGGCCATCACGTAAGGTCTGAAACCAGTCTTCCTCGGCCTTGTTACTTTTGGAGAGCAGAAATGTCTAGAAAGGGTCCAAAAGCTGTGTGAGAAGAGAAGCACGAACCAACCAGGGACGGTAATCGTAGTGCTTTCGTAGCTCACCTTCCAGCATAATGAGCGGAGCCCTATAATACAGGGACTCCCTTGGCCGTTATATTTGACAGCGGTTTGAAGCTCAGAGATGCTGTTGCTTTGTGCTTGTGTTTCATGCCAGCGTTGGCTTCCTCGTATGTTAGCGGGATGACGAAGGCAGTCGATGGAGGAATAGCAATCTTCAAACGCCATGGTTTGAGAACTTACTCACATTATTTCGTCTAGAGGCCTCATGCTGGGCGCCGGAAGGGTAATGCGAAGCTGGCGCGGGCCTGAGCGGTGAAATGCGCAACTGATGTATTCGGGAGTGAATCCTAGTACGCGGATGATGAGGCGGGTGGCGTATTGATTGGGAAGTAGCCGGCGTTGAGAGACAAAAGATTCGGCGTAGGCTACGTTTAATGGCTGTCATAAGTCTTTCTAGTCATTTCGTCTCGTCTCATTTCATGGCTAATAGTGTTGTGCTTCCTTGTGTGTCCTACGTTTAGATCTCTAAGGAAAGAGATCAGTACCCGAAATGCGCCTACTTTCTACCTCTCCACACATATGTACCTACCTAGGTACCTCCGCGTCGGCTTGTCGGCGTAACGTTTCCCCCACCCCTACAGTCTTACTAATATCATAGATTGTATACCTCTTATCCAAGATCAATATAACGCTCGGTCTCCTTTCTTGGCTCCTTGGAGACTATAAATTTGCTCCTTGGGGACTATAAATTTTGGAAATTTGTTTGATTGGGTTTGAGTTTTTTTTTGTCGCTTGATTCGCGTTATTAAATGGTTGTGCCTGAACCTGTCACGTGATCCGCCAGATACAGGTAAGGAGGAAGCAACCCATCAACCTACGCGACAAGCGATCACTGGAAGCCGGGCCTAGCAGTCAGCGGCTGCGACAGCCAATTCGTACGGGCCCGACCTCTCTGTCTTCTGTCAAGGTGAGCGATTGCTGTAGACCCGACCAAGCTGGATACTGTTGAGACGAACGATCGCTGCGGGCCTGACCTCTCTGTCACCGTCACCTAAGGGAACATTTTCACCCCAGTCATGTCGAAAAAAAGGGTCCGCCTGGTAAGGGGTAGGTATCTCGGAAAGTCAACGTAATCCAAACAATATGGAAATTGCCGAAATCAAATGCCATGGAAATGAGTAAGTTTGATGAACACCAGTGAAATACTTTACTTTGCAGCATCATTCCAGGGCAAACACTGCTCATGGATTTATTTAGATGAACTGCCGTCAACATAGCACCTAGTTCACTCCATCTTTTTCAGCATATCCTCCTGCCGGTGGCGATACACAACCAGCGCAACGTAATATAACACGGTGACAAATAGATGCATTGATGCAAGAACCACCGCCTCGGTGAAGAATGTGGTGTTGGGCCTAACACAATATAGCGGGATATCACCAGTGACAAACCACCCGATGTGTCCGAACATATTAAGCAAAAAGAATCTCGCTTCCTATGCTAAGAAAGCTGGCGATCTTTGTGAGAACAGGCCTAATCGATCCGGAATGTGTAATATATTCGACTGGATGTTGTATCCTTGTCGCGCAATTTCGATCAAAGCGATCCGATTGCCGTCAGCATCCACGCTGCGGAGATGCTCCCACATCTCGCTCATCATTCGCAGTAGTGGCATAGTTGCTTCTGTGGTGCATTAGCTGTGGGTTTCTAGACGAAGTTATACGTCACACTCAAGGTCTTACCGGTGAATTGACTGCAATATGGTTCGAGAGGAGAGTTAAATATTGCAGAGCTTTGAGTAGAAAGAGTAGTGTGTTGTTGATCTGACCTTTGAGGTAAGGAGAGAAAGATGCTTTGTCACAGCAGAGAAACCAGAGGGCTGAGTACTATTGAAGGCCACAGAAACTTTAATGTTTATCTTCTGTCACCACAAACCTTAGATGAAAATTAGGCTCTTCAACAAGGAAGTAGATACCCCAAAATGATGTAGAATCGAAGAAGAGGAAGTGGACCTTTTGTGTACTTACCGACCCAAGCAGCCCATCCCAGTGAATAGGATGCCTCGAACCCGGCCTTGGGCACTGAACATCAATCTATATGGTGAATTATTGATGTCTACAGCTCATGGCTAGGCCTTTAAAGGCGGGCAGCTTGAATTCTTACCGGGGCGCGGCAATGCGATGTTCAAATTCTGTCACAAATTCACTACTGGGCTTGCCCAACCGGTTTCATGCTGAAGTTGTGCGAATTTCCCACAGAAGCGTCAGAGTAAAACTCAACCTACCTAGCTAGCGTAGGTATTCTTGATAAATCAAGATATGTAGATCCTGCTGGGACTGATCTCAGAAGTAAAAAAAAAAATTCGCCCATGGCAAGCTCCATCATCTCGTTCAGCTCCTCGTAGCTCTATCAAGGTGCTGTTTTATCTGTATGCGCCCCCCCAAATCTTACCTAAATTGCCCGAAAAGAGAACGAAGGTACGCAAAAGATATCTAGCAACTAATTATATATTTCAATCGGGGAGAGGAAGGCTCATGATAGAGGAAACTAACTTATATATATATATATTTGTTCATGCAATATTCATTAATGATTTGGGTATACAGGTTATTAGAGGCACCTACCCATGGCGGAAATGGCGGTGCTTCAGCAGGGTGGAGACACGGAGGCCAGCACTTGGCGCCACATTGTTCGTGGCAGCTCCATGAATCGAGGTCAAGCAAGAAGTGACAATTGTCTGTTCTAGCCTGGCCGCAATTAGCTACCCGCTCGCATTCCTGCTTGCCAGCTGATCCGCTCTCTTGAGGACAGCAAGGGTCAACATGTCTGCGGATCTCTTTGCTGAGTTCAATCAGCTCTCGAGCGGCCCTCCGCCAGCTCAACAGCAGCAACAGTCCCAGCAGGCGCCGCAGAACTCGTCCTCGGCATTCCGGGGAGCGCAGAGTACTTCACAGGCCCAAGACTCGTTCGATTTCTTTCAGAGTAGCAACCCCCCTACGTACCAGCAATCTCAGCAATCACAACAGCCCTCAAGTGGGCTAAACACCTGGAACACCTCATTCGCTCCCGCCACCCAGCAACCACACCAGTCTTCAGGTGGGCTGGATACGTGGAATAGCTCATTTGCGCCTACGGCTCAGACGTACAAACCACAGGAGCCTGTAGATGATGACGATGGCTGGGGCGATTTCGAAGTTGCCGAGTCTGAGGTAGCCAAGCCATCGCCAGTCTCGTGGGCAACACCTTCACAAAGCATGCAGGCTGCACCTCCGCCTCCTCCTCCTGGAAAACCCGTCAATACCAATAGAATCCGCGCCTCCACAATGGACATTATGACGAATAATTTGGTTGATCTGGGGATGTCACAGCACCGGACAGCCACTGCAACCCCCACATCCGCGACCAGGAGAGAACGTGTAATGCCAAAGCAAAAGTTTGCGCCTTCGGATCCAAACGTACTGTTTGACGCCGATGACTTTGAGCTCCAAGTAGTTGAGCAGGATGAGGATGACGAGAACGAGGATGACGATGATTTTGGTGACTTTGAGTCGGTGACTACATCGAAACCCAGCGAGAAGCCGAAGCAGCCTCAAGCAGTGCCTCCTCCTACGCTACCTTCCATGGACTTACTATCCCTTGGTGATTCTCCTATGACGGCTTCGACCCAGAGCCAAGAAAGGCCCAGTGTTTCAGTCAAGCCTGCCCCGAAACAAGCTGCTCGTAGTAAACCAACTATTTCGAGTCAGCCTCGAAAAGCTGTGGCGAGAGCTGCTACGGCCTCCAAGGGCGGAAAAGTCACCAACACAACCATCAATGAAGAGGAGGAATGGGCAGCTTGGGATGATTTTGAGTCTTCAAGTGGTACTAAGAACAAGCCCGGGCCTGCCGCTACCAAATTACAGTCACCTACGGACAATTGGGAATGGGGTGCGGATGATACATTCCCAGAAGCGACAGACCCAAACGCAGGAGTGGCGTCAATGATATCGGCCATTTCACAAAGTGACAATGACCCCCCTCCTACTAACGTACCGCCGCCATCAGTCATTCTCTCTGCATTTCCTTCGCTCTTAGCATCGGGGAATTCTCTATTCAAGCCCCTGGTGGGACAGAATATTTCAATCAAGCAGCGAATACTGTCAGACCCGAAAGCCATCGAGTTTCTCAAAGGATACATTCTCCTAGCAACAACGGCCGGGCACGTCATTGCGGGTCGAAAGCATCGATGGCACCGGGACAAGATCCTGGCAAAGAGCATGTCCATCTCGGCGGCGGGGAGCAAAGGGATGAAGCTGGCAGGTGTTGACAAGACACAAGCTGTACGGGAGGATCGGGAAGCTGCAGATATCGCGGGGGCGTGGCGCGACCTCGTCGGCCGGGTCCGATCTGCAGTGGCAGCAGCCAACGGCGAGGGTCTGGCGTCCTTGAAGGTACCGGAACTTTCCGACACCTTGCAGGTCCAGACGGCCAAGTTTGTGCCCACGGGGACAAGCCCATGCATCATCTGCGGGCTCAAGAGAGAGGAGCGGGTCAACAAGGTCGATCATGATGTCGAGGACAGCTTCGGGGAGTGGTGGGTTGACCACTGGGGCCACAGGGCATGCAAGAACTTCTGGGTTGAGCATGAGAAGATGCTACGCCAACGTTAGCACAACTTACACACCTATTTGCTCACCTCCCACATTGCACCAATACATCTTTAAATATGGGTATGTTCGATGGAAACAACTAAGAAGTGGCACCCTGTTTGATCAATTGGAGGCGGAATTCCTTGTTTATCCATCCAACTGGCGTGATGCCTGGCCGGGCGAACAACCATGTACATAGGTGCACTCGACCTGCAGAGTAACACACGGGCTACCATCGCACCAAGCAACACCAATCAGTCCACATCCCCCAGCCTTTTAGCCAAGTATATTACCATCTTGATTGGTCGAAACATGCCGAAAACCGGATCCAGCACGCGTCCTCAAAGGGTTGAAGGGGGAATCCGAGCTTGATAATATTCTCAGCACATTGGTCATTTGTATTGGCGTTATTTCCATAGCGGCTCATTATTTGCTTGCAATAAATATATGTCATAGCATTTTAACGCGGAAGATATTGAGAGAACACCGGGTCATCCACCACACTTGTGCCGGCCACTAAAGGTCATGGACTACAGTTTGTTCCTTCCGTATACCTTATATATCCTGTATCAAAGTCAACGATCTGGCGTAGTCGATCACAAAACATGAGGCCTCGTGAAATACCAAAGCTATTGATGTGACACAACAGGTGTCACGGGCCTGATCGACTGCTCAAAGCTGGAGTCCTGTGAACCCAGAACGAAACGACCCTTGCCCACACTTGACGATCCTGCATTGGTGATGCAGACTCGTACCTCACGATATTACCGTTTGCAGTGGAGATTGGTACTGACCGCAGTGTTTCAGGATGATGCAGAATACATTGCGGTCAATGAGATTGACTGCTCTTATCAGGTCGCCCGATTTCAATCCTAGGGTTTGCCATGTCGCAATCAAGGGCCGTTTGCTTGATGATGGCATGGTCTTCACTCACTGCCGTGTGCCCTGAGCTAACACCGGTCCCTCATGGCACAATAGCTTTATTTCCACCATATCTGGTTTGTTTGTGTGATTGTCGCTCTCTTGATGGTATCCGAGCCGCGAGGGCCATGTACAGTACCTCGAAACAAGTAGAGGTACATCTGCATGTCTGCATATTAACCCACAATTCCATGCAGTGATTCATTGATTGATTGATGCATGGGTGCTGCAGGCTGGTCTACCCCAGCAACATCCATCCGCACGAGGAACCTGGCCGGATGCAGACGCTACACAGACGATACCCAGACATCGTCCAAGACATCAGGCTCTATGAGGCGAGAGCAGCACAGTAGTCGCAGCTGAAGGTAAGTCATGTTGGCCATTTCACCACACGTGCATGTGTCTTTTTCCTCTCTCTCTCGTTTCTTCTTCTAAATCCGACCTGGGTTTCTGGAGCTGCCACTATCCGCAGCCAGTTGGTAGGTACTTGTTGAACTGACCATTGAGCCTCTGTTCCCATCCATGCCTTGGTCTCCAGGGGTATACTGGCTGGCTGTTCAAGAGACTGAAAGAGGAAAGATGCAGGGCGATAAAAAGAAAGCAGTCTCTTTACAACTGCGATATTTCGCAGAGCTAGGCGCTTACCGCTCAACAAGAAAAAGAAAAAAGTAAACAACGTGCGGCTACCGCCACTGCCCTTCCTCGTACCCGGTACTTTGATCGCCAGGTCCTCCCCCGGACGAACCGAAGTACCTGTTGAGGGGTTAAGCAGTCCCTAGGTGGACTTTGAATTCCATCACCATCTGCCGACCGACCTGACTACCACCCTTAGCGACCTATTACCCACCTGCTCCCGCTGAGGGGTTGGACGTGCCTTGGGTTAGGTAGCAGTCCAAGGCTCCTAGTTCCCTGACACGACCTCCATCCACAACGTGACGGGCTGCGCTAGTGCCTTCTCTCATGTCCTGTGCGTGCAGCAGAGGGCTGCCAGCCGCCGTTGATCTAGGCCTGTGCCCCCACCACCACACTCCACTCGGGACCACAGCATCAAACCATCCATCCGTTGACTGGCCGATGAGGCAAGCAAGATGGATGTTGCAGACAGGAGCGCCATGACTCTGGGACGGCAGGTCCGTTATACTTGCCAGCCGTAGCTCCACGTACCACCCGCGGCGGCCAGGTAGGCACGAGCCTCGAAGTGTCGGATGGGCGTTTTGGCGTCCATCATTGGAGAAGTAGCGTCCCAGGGCTGCCCGGTACATCCACCCCAATACCATATCCGCCCTCACACAAGGTACCTGCTACCTGTGGCCTACATGCCTTCCTCGCCGCGCTCTGGCAGCCAGCACACTTTTCCCTCCTACACCTCCATCCACGCCTCTCTTCCCCTCCGACAAGCGCGTCCGCCACCACCCACCTCCCACCTCCATCCTCCCTCCCTCGACTTCAACACCTCTTCCTCCTCCCTCCCAGTCTCCCATTATCACCCTCCCCATCATCCCCCGTCCTCAACCATTCCGCTCCCGCTCTCCTCACCTTCTCCCCCGTCCGTCCGTTTCTACATCATCCATCTCTCTCCGCCGCCTCATTTCGCCCCTCCACCTGTCAACCGGCTGGGCTCTCTAGTTGTTCAGATACCCACCCACCAACCAGGCTTGTTGGCGTCCTCTGCTCCTCAACCCTGGGCCACGACCCCGCCATTTCAACTTCTACTGCACCTTTAAAAAAATTCCGTCCAGCACACGACAGCATCCATCTAGTCTTCAAGGTCATTTGTCCTTGCCAAGGGTCAAGTTTACAACCCCATCCAACTCTTTCACTGGAGTAGCTTCCAGGCAATCCAAGGTTAGTTCAGAAACCCTTGCCTGTCTCGTAAATATAGCCCAGCGCGACCCCGCGCACCACCACGAGTTGCAATATTTCCACCCAGGCACATGCATACCTATGTTAGCCTCGTGTCACACAACGCCATGACTGCTTGTCGCCTTAAATTGCGATGCACTTTCTTCAGGTCGCATCTAGGCTCTCGACTGTGCTTCATTTGCATTATCTGCTCAAGGCCCTAACCGCTTCTTCAATTAGGTCTTCCCCTCCAACCACTTTCAAGCTAGCTTTGAAAGCCTGGGTTACGCTTCCCTCGCGCCAACCCTCCCAACAACAGCTCTCATCGCGTACCAGTCTTTTACAGGCGCGCTTCATTCTCTTCCACTTGCAAGATGTCGACTGCTCAGGATATTCACCCATCCAATGGAGGCGACCTTGTTGACGGCATCGGCCAACTGAAGCTGGACGACCGACTGGGCCCCGACGGCGAACCTGCCCCTAAGACGGACGAGGAATACGCTCAGGCGCAACTGACTCTTCGTGCTATCGTTTCCTCCAAGGAGGCTGGTGTCATCATTGGCAAGGGCGGAAAGAATGTGGCTGATCTTCGCGACGAAACTGGCGTAAAGGCTGGTGTGAGCAAGGTGGTGCAGGGCGTCCACGATCGTGTTCTTACGATTACGGGTGGCTGCGATGCCATCTCTCGAGCTTATGCAATTGTCGCCCGCGCTCTGCTGGAAGGCGCACCTACCATGGGGATGGGAGGAATTGTCCAGAGCAATGGGACCCACCGTACGTCATTGCATCTTTCCACTTTGCACGATATTGCTAACAAGAACAATAGCCATCAAACTTCTTATTTCTCATAACCAGATGGGCACCATCATCGGAAGACAGGGCCTCAAGATTAAGCACATTCAGGACTCATCAGGAGTGAGAATGGTCGCTCAGAAGGAAATGCTTCCCCAGTCAACAGAACGAATTGTAGAGGTTCAAGGCACCCCTGAAGGTATCCAGCGAGCCGTGTGGGAAATTTCCAAGTGTCTGGTCGACGATTGGCAACGCGGAACTGGCACAGTGCTCTACAATCCCGTCGTGCGAACCCAACCCGCTGGCGCAAGCAGCGCTAGCTCTGGCTATGGCACAGGAGCCCCGAGGTCAGACTACAACAGCAGCCCTCGCGTAATGCGCACTGGTAATGGGGCTGATTTCAGTGATGGCGGCGCCCGTCCTTTTGGTCGACGCTCTGATTCTGACGCAGCAGCTCGCGGACCTCCCACACACGACGAAAATGGCGAGGAGATCTTAACACAAAACATCAGCATCCCCGCAGACATGGTTGGCTGCATTATCGGTCGCGCTGGTAGCAAGATTAGTGAGATCCGCAAAAGCTCCGGTGCGCGTATTTCCATCGCCAAGGCGCCTCATGATGAGACTGGTGAGCGTATGTTCACCATCATGGGCACCGCCAAGGCCAACGAGCAGGCTCTCTTCCAGCTTTACGAGAATCTTGAAGCCGAGAAGATGCGCCGGACTCAACTCCAGGAGTCAGAGTAATCCAGGCCATCAAACTATGTTGCTTCATTCTTAAAGGCTTTTCAAGTATGATTTAACAAGACCGAGTTAGAGCAAGCCTGGCTGCGGGCGCATCTCTCTACTCGACATTCTTTGGGGGGCTTTTGGGGAATGTCGAATACCTCGCTCGGGTGTTTGCATTGGCAATTCTTCCCGAAAGCGCATACATATTCCACCAAAATTCCCTGTTCGCATTCCTTAGTTTCTCTCTCTCTCTCTCTTAACTTGTCTGTCTACGCCTCATCACTCACCTATACCGAGCTCTTCTCCTCTATCGCCTATTACTCCGTTGTTCCTCCTTCTCTGGGTCTCGATGTCGACTTGGGCTTCGTCTTGAAGTCCAACCAAAAGATATCAAGGTCCGATACGGCAGCCCAGGTTCTCATGCGCAATGATTCAATCTGGGTTGGCAGTAACGTCTACCTCTTCGCCGCAATGCAATGAAGTATCTTCAGCACCTCACGATCTCGCACCTACGAATGTGGAAGCAAAGGTGGCAGTACGACGCTCATGCCACAATCTCTACTCCTCCCGCTCACGATCCTTGTCTTTTACTACCGCCTTATCATGATGACGAAAATTCCTCTTGACTTGTCGAAATGCCATCGCCAAACGACCCTAACATTGTTAGTGGCACTCAGCCACATCTCAAATCCTCTCCGCCGTTTCCCCCCTAGCTTTACGATCCTCTTTAACGCCAGATGTAATCCGACGACTTGGAGCCTATCAGCTATACCCGAATTCTCGATGGGCGGATTTGGGACGGAATGTCTTGATACCTTGGAAGTCTAGTTAGTTAGTCTTTCGCGAGGAGCTTAAATATATTGAGCGTAATGGAAATCCAAAACCCAATTTTATGGCCAAGAGTTGTAGTCACTCCACCAATGGTCTACAAAGGCCTAATCAGTGAACGGGCATTGAGTTCGGCTCCTTCGTACAAGTTACATGTGTTCCCAAACCAAGCCGATAAACCGATGGCCCTTGTATGAATCTGCAAGAGGCATTCCAAGGACAAGAACAAGAACCTTGTGCTAACTTTGTGACTGCATATACGAAGTCAAGATCTGGACGCTAACCTATTAAGTTTTCGGGACGATACTCCAATTTGATGAAACTGTATGTGGCCTTTGCATGTTTCCTTCTGGCTGTTTAGACATCCAGCTGGCAGGCATTTGATGGCAACAGGGATTGAAAGACCCTGGAGCAGGGTCAGATCAGGGTCCCCAACCCCACATTTAAATTTAGACAGCTGGTCACCCCCGTCGGAATGACGCAGAGGCACGCGATAAGATAATGGGCCGCATTTCTGGATAAATGCTCCTGCGGATTGAAGCCAACCTGGCCGTTTCGCCCAGCTGCCCCATTCGCAACGGAAGGTTTCGTGAGCCACCTGCCACTTAACCCACACATTCGTTCAGTTCGTCTTTTTCTATTTGACTTTCTCTTTATTAGAACTGGACGGTCCTTTTTGTCTTGGTTTGTATTTTCTTTCTACCTTGCTACCACCCCGAATTCCACGGAGAATATAAGCATCCATCGAGCGCGTTCCGTCGCGACGCAAACCCGTTCCCTACATTTACCCACAGACAGCAGCAGCAATGGCTCGGTCAAAGCAACCGGCAGTGAAGCGCGAGTCGTCTTCGGAATATTTCAACAAGAAAACTGCGGATTGGGAAAAGACCATTGATGGCGCCAGCAAGGAGAAACAGTCCAATGGCCAAGTTGCGAACGGCGGCGCAAAGCCAGCCAAGGGCTCGCCAGCCAAGAAGGAAGCTGGCGTGGTCCAGCTGGTCATTGCCGTCGCGGGAATCTATGCGTCGTTGTAAGTTGGTGTCGATTCCGGAAACTAGATCGCATTGTCCATGTCTGTCTAACCAAGCCTTCCGTCGCTCCGACTATAGCTTGACGTGGGCATATCTGCAAGAGAAGCTCACCACGACGCAGTACGGCCCCGAGGGAGCCAAGGAGGTCTGGCGGTTCCCCGTCTTCCTCAACACCGTGCAGTCGCTCTTCGCCGCGACGGTCGGCCTGTTCTACCTCCTCGCATCGACCCCCAGGGGCCAGGCCGTCCCGCCCGTCATCCCCTCGTCCGCGATCCTCTTCCCGCTCGCGCTCGTCGCCGTCACCAGCAGCCTGGCCAGCCCGTTCGGGTACGCGAGCCTCGCGCACATCGACTACATCACCTTCCTCCTGGCCAAGAGCTGCAAGCTGCTCCCCGTCATGTTCCTGCACATCACCGTCTTCCGCAAGCGCTACCCCCTCTACAAGTACCTGGTCGTCGCGGCCGTCACCGCGGGCGTCGCCGTCTTCACCCTCCACTCGGGCAAGAAGCACAAGTCGAGCAGCAAGTCCAGGGACGACGCCAGCGTCGCCTGGGGCCTGCTCCTCCTCGGCATCAACCTCCTCTTCGACGGCCTCACCAACAGCACCCAGGACTACATCTTCCAGACCTTCCGCCCCTACTCGGGCCCCCAGATGATGTGCGCCAACAACATGATGAGCACCCTCGTCACGGGGGCCTACCTCCTCGTCAGCCCCTGGCTCGTCGCCACGGGCGTCGGCGAGTGGCTCGGCATGGACGTCGCCGGCTCCGCGGGCGAGCTGCGTGCCGCCCTCGACTTCATGGCGCGGTACCCGGCCGTCTGGAGGGACGTGCTGTGCTTTGCGGCTTGCGGCGCCGTCGGCCAAGTCTTCATCTGTAAGTGAAATATTATCCCCTTAAGAGATGATTCTC